CTCCGAGACGCAATATCGCACCAACTCGCACTAGTTACGGCTGTATTTACACGCGCGCGCGCACACCTATATGTATGTATCGTGAAATTGAGAAGCCACGGTTGCATGCTCGCGCTGCGATGTATCCACTCGCAGAAGCGGTGAGAGGAGCGAAGGGGACTAAATCTTTGTCGACGCTTTGGAAACACGTGGTGTCGTAAATCATTGTTGGTATGATCCCTCCTGCGATTAACGAAAACCCGAGGTCGATGATACAGATAAATTTGAACGCCAAATAAAGTCGTGGGGCTTACACTTCGAAGCTTTTCAAAGATAAAGCCATCCGTATCTCGTCGCGAGCTTGACAATAACTAAAAAAAATGCTGAGAGCTTAATGCGATGAAGAGCGATTGGACATTCGTTCGTTTGTTCTTTGTTACTCCATTTACATTGTCAAATTAGAAACTTGCGTCGAGGTATTCGAGGTATTTCCATGAGTTGACCTAGTTTTTTTGTTTTTTGTTCTGCTTGCGAATAGTGTCATTTGGAATAGTCATCTAAAATCCAGGCAATCTGCTACTGTATGCAATATACTAGCGTTATAAATCTTGTCGAAATGAGTGCTAATTAGAAAGGCTCGACGTCGCTGACAAAACCAGACAGGTGATAAAGGTCGGTTAGACTGACATTAGGCGACCAGCACCGTGGGCGGGGCACTTGACACCTCACCGTGATCCCTTGCTGACTTTTATATAATGACCTCTCGGTAACTTTTCACCTCAATTGATTCTTTTGGTACACGCTCAGGGAGTCCAACGGATTTTTAAATCACATCATTTACAATAAAACTGCGGTAAAACTAACTTTCAGTCCAAATAAGTCTAATTGGTTGTTTATAAGTGATGGGAAAGTGAAAAAACGATGACCAAATTATTTATATAGAAATTTATCGATTGATTTGAAACACAGTTTCAGGTTAGATTGCATTAAACTTCATTGAAAATGTGAACTCCTTTCCCAAGATTTTCCAAAAATCAGCCTAACCCATTCATTCGTAATTTTCAAGCGAAAACTTACCAATTTTGCAGTATTGGCAGCGCTATCTGAGAAATTATATAAGCAGCGAATAGCCATTATTATTGCTGCAAAGGTATTTTAAATCGATAGTTCATAACAATAGCGTTCATGGTTACGGAGATATGGATTTTCAAAAAATTTTCATCAAAATTATTTTATTCTTTGTAACAGTTGATCAGATCATCGCAATGACTTGAAAATGTATACCAAAGCTTCCCACTATGTAGACAATGTTCGTACCGAGTTTCAGGAACATCGGTCATCTACAGTCTGGACGCCAGTCGTAATAGCCTGGAACGGTCCATCTCTAGTTTACCGTGAAAGGCGTCAAAAATAAGGTGTCAAAAGCTGTGCGCTAGTTTTCTTGTTTCGTCATCTCCGATAAAGACATTTAACAATATTGTTTCATGAAAGGCAGCTCTCGCGCAAACCTTAATTGCGCTCGTCCTAGAAACGTTCCGCAAACAAATTGCTCAGTCGATAATCGCTTTCCCGATGCGTGTGGAGGAGTTATATGTTCGCGCGCGCGTGGGAAAAGCGTCGCGATGTTTACTTACGCTGCTCGTCGAAAATCGACAGCTATTAGTTTGCATGCTCTCTCGCATCGTTACTTATTTGTTCGCGCGCGTGTAGATAACACACTTTGTTTTTGAGTTACGATCGAAAGCAAGTTGTTGGCGCGTCATAAACGTCCAAACGTCAACAATTAAAATTACTTCCGTTTTGTTTTTCTTTCATTATTTGATCTAGTTTTCACAATTGAATGGTTACATTTCACTGGTATCAAAGTATTTTCGAAATATCCCGTGGTCCCTACTTCAAGTAACAATTTTGCTCAGCAGGTCACACTGGCTATCGACATGTCTACAGTTTCGTTGTCGTTTGTTCGTCTCGCGCTGCATTGAAACAATTGTAATGGCAAGAATAACATTCGAATTGTCGAAAGTAATAGCGCCCTGCTGAATGGTCAAAGCATCTTACCTCGATAGCTCGACACCCATTATGGTATATATACAAGATTAATCGAACAAACGAAAGCAGTAAAACGTATAAGTTCTGCGGGTGAGCGTGACGCAAAAGCTCTGTCGCGCCCAACAAGCCATTCGAATGGGAGAAAGGGAGAGAGCTTTTATCGCGAACAAAATCGGCGATAGGCGCGACCGAGTATACGTACATGCCTTCCACCTAAATTGCTGCTCTCTCGCCCAAAGCGACTTTCATCGCTAATTCGTCTTCCAATCGTAGATCTTGATAAACGTTCGCGAGAGAAACTGAGAAAATTGATCCTTTGGAAATTCACCGATTATTGTTTGTCTTTTCTCGAACGTTTAATTGGTAAACGCGACGTTTCTCCTGCTAACGAATCGTCTGTAAACTAGGTCGACCCAGTGCAACTGGAAAAAAGTTCCGGAGTCGCGCGATATATATCTGCGAAGGCGAGACGACTTCATAAGTTTTGGGCTTCGCGGAGCGTTTCAGCTTTGACTGCTGTATTTTTAGTGCGCCGTCTAAATTAGCTCGCCGAACGCGAATCGGGAATGTCGATAGCGTGTAATTTTAGAGATCGACCCTGTTCACCCGCGATGGAAATAGATTATTAATGGCCGACATAGAGCAATTTTAGTGATCTCTCATTGCGACGCGTGCGAAATTCGCTTCTTTTCCGAAACGTGATTTATTTTTAGAACGCGTCAATGTGTAACACATCGAAAACACGATAAAAAAAACCTGTCACTTTCCAGTTAAATTGTTAAAAGTTATAACGCGTACGTCGTTGTTGTTTCTTTCTTTTTTATGGCACACCTACGCGTCCGCAGCTTAAAATTTATCGGAATGGTTCCATTTGCTTTCGTTGCGAAATTCAAATGACGCTTAAGCCAGTGTCGATTTTGAAAAAAAAATCGACAAAAGATAGTCAATTGAATTTAAGAATAATGTGAATAAGTTACACAATTCCACCTCGTTCTACATTTTTTTTCGAGTATCTGAATTTCCTAATACACGTTTTTTATTCACCAATTGGAAGGCCTTCACTCGTCAAAAACAACAAAAAAAAGTCTGGACATTCGGTATAAAGAGTATTCGTGAAAAAACGTGCAGCAGGTCAGTGTGTATTTTTTGCAAACTGCGCAAATGCATTATCAATGAAATCGACAGAGTACAGATCGATGAATCACCATTAGGAAACGACGACGTGTTTTTCGCGAGAAAGCCGAGTTCATTCCGAGGTTACGTGCGACATATACAGTCTCAACATGTAAGGCGAAATTAGTTATCAAATCAGTTCAAGAACACTCATAGCTTATTTAAAGATCCTCGTCCCGAGAGGCATACACGTGCGTTTGTATTCGTTTTTTTTATTGATCAACATCGTTAACGTGGTTGTACGGGACGGCTTCTGTTTATCTGAAAAATAGACGAGTGTATCGGTTGAACGTTCAATTTGATTGATTAACTCGATGCGATAACTGCCTCTATATCTTCAGCTATTTTTTGCGCGACACGATTATTTCATCGTGATGGAAAACAATAATCAATTAAAAGCAAGAACTTATATGAAAATATCATTTAGTCTATGAAAATAAAATAAAATTTTGGAGAAATCTCTTGGGGAATAATCCGAAGGCCTTTCGAGAGGACACCTATCGTAGCCGTCGTCGTCATCGTCATCCCAGATATTCGCGTAGTCTCTCGACACTGCGTCACGGGAGTAGGAAAAAAAAACAATTTTCACAAGCCGGAAAATCCAAAGTCGTTGCACATACACACTTACTACGTCGTGATAAAAAACAGTTTCGTCATCGCGATCGATCTCGATAAGACAGGCGCTGATTCACGCGACTCAATTGATTTGCCGGGCAAGAAGAATTGCGCTATTTTCTAGCTCACATTGGCCTTATCTTGAACTTCGAAATTCCGACGAAATATAATTGGCGAGAAGATCGCTCGATAAAGTCCTCGCGCGTTAGATAACGATCTGATTTATTGCCGCAGACGACGACGACGACGATGACGATCGGGATGGACGCTTTTATAGGCGTTACTCGTCGCAAACAAATCGTTTGGCAATACCTCGTTGTCGCGCGTACGATCAGTCGGGGTGCTCATCCCGTCGAGCGACGCGGGACGGTTTCGCGCGGAGACGCGCTACCTTTGCTCCGTTAGTGCGATTTCGCAGGTGGCAGGAGGCTCGGCAAGCAGGAAGCTACCTAACTCCGTGGGTGAAACTGCGAAATTGAATTGGACGTGCCGAGACAATGGCAACTTGCCCCTTTCATTCGGCTTATCTGGCTTATCTAACGGAGTTTCAGTTGCTCGGCGGCGTGTTTCCCTTACTACAAGTCGAATGAGAATTGGCCAGCGCGGCCGCTACGTTTCCTTCTTCGCTCGGACGATTGGAATTGATTATATCCAGCGAAGAGAGAGAGAGAGAGAGAGAAAACAAAACAAAACAAAGAAGGCCCGTGACTAATTGAAGGCGTACTTCGTATAACGTGCGCGCGTCGCCAGCGAGGACGTTAATGAGCAAATTATGCAAATGTTATTTGTGTTTGCGTACGAGAGGGGAAAAGTCAATCCGCGCGTACGTTATACGAAGCGCAGCTCATAGAGCGCGTACATCGATTGAAACGAATGGCTGGAGCTTCCATCATCCGCGTTTAACGTTGCCAATCGCACATATCACTCGGTAATTTTTCTCTGTGATTCCAATTGGCTAAGCTCGAGCCGACTGTCAGCTGTAAGCTACGTACGGCCCGCCAATCGCATTAATTTCGCCGAATTGGATTCGACACGAGCGACTCGATGGAAGCCAAATGAGTCGGGTCCGGGGAAACATACGCTCGCTAGGCGTCTCCCGCGAGTGGCCGTGTTGCAGAAACGCAAAGCGCCTCGATTGGCAGGCTCGCCGAATGAAATCGAACGGAAGCAAGTTGTCAACTCACGCGCCGAGAGTCCATTGCTCTTGGATGCGCTCTTGTTCTTCTTGTTTCTGGAGTAGAAGTTGCCGATCTTGCTCTGACCGCAACCCATGTCTTCGCTGTGGCCCGCGCCAGAGCCAAGGGACGCGGACGAAGATCGATCGGGCCCCGTCACACACTTTCGTCGATCACTTTTGCGAGGCGATCGTCGCGCATCCCGCGCCTCGCCTCTTGCATTCGCTGTCCCCGTCGCTCGTCCGACGAGCGCAAGGGAGAAGCTAGCTCGCGGAACTGACGATGCGCCTTGGTCTGGATGCGATCGATGTGCTCAGCGGCTGCGGAGTAGACGGCGTTGCACCCTCGCCTCGCCGATATTGCCGTGCAAATGCGTCGTTGTCGTTGCCGGTCCGTGGTGGGCTCAGCCGTGTCGCAGTGGGTCGTTCGTCGAGCGGCCAACCCGTCGCGCAGCGCGCATTATCATCTGACGCCGCCGCCGCCACGCCGCGTCCTCATCCTCGGTCCTCATGGTCGCAGCGAGGCCGTCGAGGCCTCTCCGCCAGCCGCCAGCTGTCGCCGGTCGCCGCCGCGCCTGTCCATTCACGACCACCGCGAGCCGCCCACGGCTTTGGCACGGACCTGGCTGCCGTCGGCTCTGGCGCCGCTGCCGCCGCCGCTGTAACACAAGCAGAGCGCGCACGCGGTTACAGCCCGCGCTCGCATCGCCCCGACGCACAGCCGAGTGAAGTCGTAGAAAGAACGAGGTCGCGCCCGCGCCACCGACAGGCCGCCGTGCTCCGGGGAGCCACTGTCCGCGGCGCGTCGTCGCCGAGCGGAATAGGCGGAAGTGGCCGTGCGTCGGAGGCCAAGTGGCGATCGCCGCCGCCTCTCTCTCTCTCTCACTCTCGAAGCGTCGCTCACTGCCGCCGTACGCCTGGCTTTCGCGGCCCTGCGCGTTGGCTAATTAGCCCCCCCCCCCTGATTCGATTTGCCCGCGTTCAATCGACCGGATCAATACTGTGAGCTTGCAGTGAAATATCGTTGGAAAGGTATCTACCGTGCGGCAATGCCGTAGGCTCTTCTTTTTCGGGAGTCGTTGTACGTTCGCTCGAGCGTCAGGTGTTCGTGCAATGTCGTTTAAAGCGGGAAAACAAGAAAGAAATCTGCCGAAGGGGTTGCCGATCTCGATGGACGCGATGCTCGACGCGATTGTCATGTACGGAAGCGCTACAACTGCTGACCGAATCGACGATGCCTCTTTTCCTTGCTCCGAAAACCGTATATAGTAAAAGCCTACCGCGATGATTTTCCCGCGGCTAGATATTCTGACATACGCCATTGCGAGGCTCCGAATACATTCTTTGCTGGTTTTCAATAGACAATTCCACCGCTGATCATTTGTTTTTCTAATTTCAATATTCGCTTCCTTTGCAAACGCAACAATCGAGAGAAAAACAGATACCTATAGATTGTTAAAAAGTTTATCTTGTTAACATTGGCGGTTCTCTGGGGCTTTTACTTGCATTTGTAAGGTCGCGCTATTCTTTTGAACGAATTTTCAAAGAAAAAAGGAGGCAGGAGAAGACTTTAACCTAGATTTCGTTGTTTCTCTCTCTCTCTCTCTCTCTCTTTTCACCTCTACTTTTTGCCTCTTTGATGTCTTTTTTCTTCTTGTTAGACGTCAAACACTCTCAGAGTTGGCTTTAAAAGCTTTTAAAAGGCAATATCGTTATCGAGACTGATCAGACGTCATCAGGAGATAAACCCAAGTGCAACTTACGAAGTGCGTTTTTAACCTACTAGAATTTGAACAGCGCGCTTTGCGCGCACCAATCTGCATTTTTATTTCCCATAATCAAGTTAATAAAATTAAACACGATTAATAATTATTGAATGTTATTGTTATGGTTATTGTGACTTGAAGAACTACGTCCATGTGGAACGCTGCTGGACACTAGGTACCTTTACGCATTAATTTTGGTTTTATATAGTCATGAGTACATAGATCCACTTCTCCGACAATTTTTTTTAAATGGTCTAGGAGAAAGTTTTACACGCATCGCGACTGATTGATTGATTGTTTGGTTAATGTTATGAAATATTTTGAGTGAAAGAAATTGTACGTTTGTAAAATATTAATAGAATAAGTTTAAAAAATTTAATAATCATGAATATAGCTCTTTATAATTTTTTGACGTTTATATTTTCTCTTCGATGATCGCCAAGATAAATTATGACGGAATCCTAAGATCGAATCTGAGACATGGCTACATAAGGCTGTTCGTGATTAAAAACATTCCTTCGTAGATCTACACCAATTTTGTCAAATGTTTGACTTTGCACTTTCTTTATTGTGATCGCAGAGGCTTATTTTACTGGAAACTATCTCTGCTTAAAGGCGAAAGAAAATACGTCTTCACAATATAAAGTTATACGAAAAATATGCGTCAAGTCCACTTTTCAAAAGCGAATAACACCTCTGGCTCTTTTACAATTTTCAGAACTTTTGCCAGAGGGTTATATACCTTATAAATTTTCTGCTTTATAACAATAATCATAGTGCAAAACATAGCATTTTTCTCAAAACTTATTAATAAAAAAAATTAATTTTTAAATAAAATTTAATATGCAAATAATTTGAATTAGGAATATCAAAATAATTGTATATATTTATATTTAAACGAAAACAGAAATTAGTATAATTTTGATGAAACATTTGTAAATAAGATTAGATTAGATTTAAATAGAAATATGCATATTGCACGAATCAATCAGATAGCGATTATCTTGGATTCACAAAATCTGGTCGTGACTTTTATGAGGAGATTTCCGTATGTTTTTGAGCGTGAAATGACCAAGATTAACGCGAAACATCCAACGTAATGTCAAAAATATCTTATCGAGCTGATTGTCACTCGAATTCTCAAGGTGGCAAATTTCTCGAAAAATTTCTTAATAAAGGACAGTTATCCTTCAAGTTATCCTAAAGAATGGCGAGTTGAGTTTTCTACGTGAACCCAAAAGTTCGTTGAACAGCTAGCGAATGGTTCGTCGATTCGCGTCAAAATCGCATCTCGGAAAACATAAAAATCCCAATATAGAAAGCAACAGCAGTGCCAAAGTTTACAAACAACGAGAGGAAAAGTCGGACCATCTCCAGATGCTAAGGCAAACTTTCGAGCAACGACTCTCACCATCTCGTGTGTCGCCATGTCTCTTTGCGGGCAAGTTTGCGAGAAAAAAAATAGTCCCCGCAACGGCTACATAACAATCTTGTTAAAATACAAGAGCGAAAATAAAAGAGGCTTACAGTCTGGGTTAAGATTACAGTTGCGGACTGGCGTATACATATAGATGCAGGACAATCGTCAGGTGCGCTATATTGCTACGAGTAGATGCTCACGTACTCGTCCCGCAGGGAGGTTATCGCGTTACCTAGAGAGAAAGAGAGAGAGAGAGAGAGAGAGAAGAGAAAGAGAGAGTAACTAGGTCAAATCACAGCGCAACGCTAGTGTGAGAGAGAGAGAGAGACAATGCTATTGATATTCCTGATTTCTACGCAGACGTTGTGCAAGATTAGGGTATATCAACGAAAACAAAAACAAATCTTCAATATCCGGCGAGAGAAAGAGATTGAGATTGATATGGATAGATCTTTATTTTACCTGAAGGCAAAAACGATACATCTATGTGCCAACATACAATTTTTGGTCAAGGATCTATCACAGTATAAACAGGGAGAGAAAGTGAGAGGTTTTTTTTGCGGCATCTCTTCATTATTGGCGATTGAACATTCTTTTGACGGTTGCTTTTTCGTTTTTAATATATTGCGAGCTTCGGCATACTTCACCGGGAGTTTTTTAATTATCGATACTGAGTTATTACTTTTTTCCTCTGCGAAGAACGGCTTGCTGACAATATGGAAATTTATAAGATAAATGTGAAAAATAGTTGAAGGTGCATTTACATAGCTTTCATTGCGTTCGACTTCGATAAACAACATCAGAAATAGAGCTTCGAGTTGATCGTTAATTGCTTATCAAAGATATAACGATTCGTGAGAAAATCATATCATGACATACTTCGAGCTGTTCTCGAAAAAGAAACGTGTCGTTGCTGCATGCAACGAAAGAGCATCGACAGTTACCTCGCGCGGAAAATCTTGTGTTGTGCAAGCTCTCCAAGTGTCCTGGTGACGCGATATGGGGATATTTTTTTGTACAAATCGAATAAAGCGAAAGTCGTGAAAGGAGATGGACGGAAAACGAAGCATATTGACGGCAGCCATAATGTTCGCTGACCTGAAATCCGTACACGTGAAACGTGCTTTGAGGGCCTTAAGGGACGCAAAGCCATAAGAGAAACTTGATGGAAAGCAAACGCCGTTGCAAATGTATTTCATAAAGTGCCAACTCTCGCAGGACCGGGGCTTCAATTAAAATTGCGCGAGTAGCTTATTAAATCGACGGAGAGTCGACAATTTTTCGCTTTCAATTAAACGAGAAAGAGAGAGAGAGAGCGTCAAACGACCCGCGACGATAAAAAACAGAAATCTCGTTGAACTCTTAATTAGCCGCGCGAGAAAGTCATTTAGCCGGCGGTTAAAGGGCGACATTTCAGCGGTGGCTCAAGGCCTCGATTTATCTCGGATTGGGTAGCGCTCCGCGCGAAACAATCGCTACCCCGACTCGCAGTCGTTCGCTTGCCTTTTTGCTTTGCGCTCGTTTCGCAAGTAAATAAACAGCGGTGGCGCGCGCGAGCTTGCGTGCCTATAATAACCAAAGAGAAAGCAGAGGGCGCTACGACTCTCGGCGTTAGTTCCACGAGAACCGTGGCCAGCTCGGTTTCCTTCTCGCCGTCCGGGAGCGTCTCTCGCGTGCGAGCTCGCGATCGATGAAAGCGCGCGCGCGAGAGAGAGAGAGAGAGAGAGAGAGAGAGAGAGAGAGAGACTGGCTTCGCACGCGCGAAAATCGATGATCGAAGTTCGGCTCACCTCCGTGCCGCCACGTCGTGCATAATCGGACGGGAGCTTCGCGCAGTCCCTGCTGGCTCGGTTCCGCGGGGAACTACACTGGCTCGGCTGGCCGAGCGAGGCGTCGTGCGTCGACGGGCAGGCGACGATGAGGCGAGCGCCCGGGCGTGCGAGCGCGGGCTGACACGGGCATCGACTGGCCGCCTTCGCGTCGCAGCGCGAGGCGAGCGAGGCGAGCGAGGCGAGACTATGGCGCAGGCGCGCCCACGGCGAAAGCACGCAGCCCGTCGCCCGCGCGGATCGCAGCGGCTACACCTGCGCCAGCCACGCAGCTGTTGCGCGCCCCGCGCTCGTCAGCGAGCTTTCGCGCCGTCCTCGCCAATCGTTCTCGATCGAGAAACGAATGCGGCCTCGCCTTCGTCGGGCGGCGCGCGTTCCACGGCGTTGTCCAGCGTTAGCCTCTTGCGCCAACGAGTTCCGCCGCTAAAGTTGCACTCGTAGCCCTGCGACAACGGCAACCGTAAAAGGGAGAAAAAGAGAGAACCAAATAGGGCAGCAAGACGCGTGTAGAAAGCATACCTATATACGTCCGCAGTCAAGTTGATTAGTTGCTGAAACTTCCCGGGAATAATGCCGCTTCAAGTACGAACTTTGTTTCTTTCTCCTTTTTTTAATTAAATTAACGCGCATCCCCCCTCTTCCCTCATTCGCTCTGGCACGTCGTAATAATCTAATCTGCGGCAGCGCTGGCGCACACCGCTCTCGCGTCCCTCGAGTGCGACGGAGATTAGAAGGAAGCTCCGACCTTCCAATCGGGATTCTCAACTGCAAGCCATTCGCGCGCGACGCACTGCAAACGAACTTGGCGCGGATAGAAATGAAAGCGCGATCGAGTAATGGTAGATTACGTACCTAGGCCCAGGAAAACATTGGTCAATTCGTATCATAGCTGTGGCCCAGAAATGCTACTTTCGGGCCGTTAGACAGAAAACAAATTTATTTTCTTTCTTCGCGAAGGCTTGATTTATGCCACCAACCTTGATCCGTTGTACTTGAATGCGTGGGACATTAATAATTCCATATGCTAGTTTCCGTGTCTGCCTTGAGTTAGTAATGTTTTTTTTTAATTACTTGAGTTTTCATTAGCATGGAAGCCAAGAAATCTATAAAGCTACTTCAGTCGATCCTCGAATTGTATGTTTTCCTACGAACAGCGCTGAAACTTGGCTTCGTTAAAGATCCATCTTGTAAACAGAGAACGGTGTGAATACTTGTTTGGTAGTTTACATAGACTGTTACGTACTAGACTGCAAGTACATTTACATTACGGCTGCAGTAAGTACATTTAGTTGATCCCGCTAACAGCCTTACTGCGCGCCCCGCCAAAGCTGTACCGCGAGCTTGAGCGAAGAGAGCAGTATACCAAGGAAGAATGGAATAACTTTTGTGCCCTTATTTCGGCTTCGGTCGCGACGTTGATCGAGCTTTCAAGACTAATATCTGTCTAAAAGAGCCGACCGATGTATCCGAATCCGAAATCTCAGTTTCTCTAGCTCTGAAAATGCGAGAGGAAACGTTGCTCTTCGGCGTTCACCAAAATTATTTACTCGACTGGGCGAACGATGTCGCGTCTCGTTCGCGCACGCTAATGTCGGACAATGCACCGTCGACGCGAGCGGATGGAAACGCGTGCCCTGCGACGGTTTACGACCCAATTCAGCATTGTTGTCGCGAACGCCGGCCTGCGAATATTCGCGACAATTGCCTGCTGCGATGAGATCAGCAAGGCATTCGCCGCGGTTAGCGCCTAAGTAAGAACTTAACTGACGGCGAGCAGCATTTGGCGTATGCTACGAAATACCGGCCTCGGGCACAACTCCAAACGATTGGCGTAACGATACAGGATGCTTACGAAGCCGCCCGTGAAATCCATTCGGGTTTTGACAATGACGACCAAGCACCGCGGTCGCGAGCCTCTCTAAAGTCTTGCCTATTTTCTCGTTAGGGCAACCGAGCACGCGTTGCTTGTTGTTGCATTTATCGAGACGAAGATTCGCGCGGCTGTAAGGGTGCAATCGACCGAACGGAGTACCCGCGCACAGAGCAACCGATTGAAGTTTCTGATTTGACGCGCAGCATCGCTTCACCTGCGTAACCGAGCGTTATCGAACGAATTTCATCAGGCTCAATTACTTGGCATTGTTTAATTACCACGTCGTTTGGTTATTTTCAATAAAGCCTGCGCAAAGGATCAATTTGTATATTAATTAACTTAGCGCAGTAATTCGTACGTTATATAACGTAACTACAGCAATACAGGGCTGAGCGCGTTTCTTCGAACAGCTGGAAATTATAAGCTGCGGTAAGCTAGATTACAGTTAATAATCCCAAGTAGCGCATTGGAGTGGAAAGTAGCCACGAGCGACGATTCCATTTGCACGTAGGCGCGATTCGCCACTTGGGCATTCGATCATATCCAGGAGTCCGAACAGTCGTCGCCGCGAGCTGCCGATCAGGAAGAGAGATCTTCGATTCGTCGCGGAGGTCGGGGAACTCGAGGGGCGCCGCAAAGGTGCGCCGTCGAGAGCAGTCGAGCGTGCTCGCAACTGCAGCTCGCCGAATCTTCGAATCTCGCGCGCGAACACTGGCGGAGCGTCGCGCCATTTTCGCACCGAGGAAAGTAGACGGAATAGACGCGTGGGGGGCTATCTGCCACGCGAGCCTCGTGTGCACGCAATATCGTGATTGATTGCCCGCGCAGCTGCTTGCGAGCAATGGAAAATTACGTGCCAACTGTTGGCGGCGATGCACGCGCATGGATCGATCCAATCAATACGTATCGTATGCGCGATTAACGCATAATATCGGATAACGCGATCGATCCAATGGGGATGGCACGGTAATCGAGTCCATTCGCTAGAAGCGGACACGGTTCGCGTGCTCACGCCCTACAGACGAATCGCTAAGTTTTGGGCTCTAGTGGAATGTCGTATAAGCACGTTAAATGCCAAGCGAGTATTTTCAGACTGATCGTTATTAACGGATAAGTTACTTTGCTATTGGAGAATGAGTTTTATACATTTATTCATTCACGAATAAACTCACCCCACATTGCTCTAACCTTTCGATTAGTTTTCAGCTCTTAACAGTAGACTGTCAGAGTAGTGAATCGCTAACTTTTCTGAAACATAGAGGAATGGCCTCTGCCAATGCACAATTCACGACAAAATGCCCTAGTAATTGTTTTCTTTGAACATGCTGATAAATTTATGGTCGAAACCACCAAAATAAAAGAATTTGATATCTACAGTTCCCAGCTTAATTAAGTATGAGCAAAACGAATCAGCTGTGATTTTAGGTATTTCTTATGTTAATTTCCACGTGGAAGATGAAAGGCATATAAGACGAACCCAGTACCACGACAATCCTTGTTATTAATAATGTTAGTGCTAGAAAATTCAAAAGTACAATGTCATTGATAAATTTGCGCCTTCTTCAAACACCAATTGTTCTAATCTTCACTTACCATCTATTCAAACCAATCCGACCACAATCTTTTTCGTGAGCTCAAACGAAGCATAACAAAAATTCATCGCACGCTTGCAAGTGAATCTATGTATTCCAGACCAAACGGCGTCAACGCTAGTAGTTGAAGGAACGTTGACTATGGCGCTAACGTCAATGAATTTTCCATGCGAGCTTCAACAAGTGCTCGTTTCTAAATAGTCTCCCCTCGCTCCCATAATTGTTTGCGTACGACGAGTGGGAGAGGGTGAAAAAGTAAAGAAATTGCGTGTGAATGCGGGTACGAGCGAGGGCATTGCAGCGATCAATTGAAGAGGTGCGCGAGTGATCGGATGCGGCGAGAAAGAGCGAGTTTTAAGGTGTTGTCTAGAAGATTTTGGTTTCATTAGGAAAGCACACATCTGCTGTTGTATCACACTCGCTAGTTTTTGCAAACGGTTTTTGCTCAATTATTCGTATAATAATAATAGTAATAATAATTTTCACAAATAATTTTCACAAGTGCTTTTTTCACATTTATTAAATACCCTAATCTGTTAGCCGACGTCCTTTAATCTTCAAGTATAATGGCAGACACTGTTCTTCGTAGTCTATATATAATCCGGAAATTAAAAAGCAATTAGTTATTTTTTAAACTTATACTAAAGACTGAATCTTTAAAGTTATAGATTAGAATCTAATGCGAACGGATATTGGCAAGGAAATGGGAATTTTTATACATTTACAGGGACATGGGCTGTATGCAAGAGAAATACATCAATATGACAGTGAATATTTTCAATTTGAATGTTTATTGAATCTTACAATATCTCAATAATTATATACAATTGTCACAAGAAAGATCACAAATCCATTATGCATTTACAGTATAACGTTGTTATTTCTTTCTTCCCAAGAGACACGAAATATTCAAGTAATTTCATTGTGCAAACAATAGGTATATAAGTAAATGGTAATCATTATTGCAAATTTACGGATCGAACACTTTAATAGAAAAAGAAAAGTATATATACATACACGTATGTAACGCAGGTTTTATACAAATAAAAAAAATCCAAAGAAAAGAAAACGTGAACCAGCAGTTCTTATTTAACACGTATTACAAATAGAGTTGGCAACAATATTTGACGTGGAACTTTGTGAAGTACATTATCCCTGTCTTTTGCTCTCCACTATATAAAACGGAGAAGAAAAAAGAACATAGATAATTAAGGAGAATGAAAATAGTAAGAACGTTATATGTATAATATCGCATGTAATCACGCCCACAGTCGTAAATCTATTTTTTCTCTTTCTCTATCTATCTCGCGCATATAATCGTACAGGTAAGAGTTTTTTTTGTTCCTTTAATACTCGAGACGAGAACCGAGAAAGTAGGTTCGTAAGGTACAAAAGTCTCATTAGTCGACCATCTCCCTCCCTATTTAGGAATTACACTGTTTTCCATGGACGATTTGACTCGTTATGCCGCCGCGACTTTAAATGCCGTGCTTGTCTTCTTTTTTTTCTTTACTTACAATAACTAATCCTAGTTGAATTATTTTCAATTTTTATATCCTTTTCAAGGATGTCGCAAAAAAGAAATAAACGAATGGATAGCTATTTATCATAGTTTTTCTTTCGTTTTACTGATTGTGTATTGGACGTGGCTGCAACAAAGTATTTTTGCACGCATGATTTTTTTTAACAATTTTAATGATCTCGATTGTAGTATGATTGTTAAGTTCGATTCTATTCCCTGATTAAGAATTTTGAAATTATTTTTATCGTTAATTTTTTGATGATTTTTTTCAACTACTCAAAATCACACTCAACATTAGTTTAGAATGGTATTGCACGTAGAGGAAAAAATTACGCGTATGCAGCATCAAGAGTCGACGAAAATTATTTGTTTTTGTTAAATGCGAGACATAAGAAAATCATTTACATCATCTACAATATTTATAACAGTAACATATTTTGTTCTCTGATTAAGAGAAAAACAATTTTTTTAGGCATTATAGTACTATAATACAGAATGACAATAAGTAACAGAAAAAATATAGACAAGTCCCTCACCGTATTACGAATCGCATTTAAAATCTTTATAAAGAATTGAGCAGCGACGAATCTTAAAAAAAAAACTTTATTTAGATCATTATTTCATCTCTCATAAATTGTCTTGTTGAAGTGTTTTCTCGTGTAATTGTAAAAGTATTACAGCAATGTGTTTACACACAGAGAAATTTTGTATACATATATTTACATGAACAATAGCGGTTATCAGGACTCGGAATCGAGCGTCTCGTCATCTGCCTCATTTACCTTAAATCGATAACAACATTAAACTCATGTATGTTTTCTCGATCCGTAAAAGTCGAATGAACAATTATTGAAGAAAAAGAAATTTTCCTTATAATGCACGTACACATTGTATCACTCACGCTATCAGTAATCACACGAACACTCTTTATAAAACAAATATACGTAAGTTACGTAAGAAAAACAAAAAAAAAGGAAAAAAAATGTAGAGCAAACCTTAACGATGTCATTAGTGTCAAGTGTAAACGCAGGTAATGATAATGAACGCACATGCGTAAAGTCTGTGTGCGCGCCTGTGTGTGTGTACGCGCGCGCGCGCGCGCGTGTGTGCGTGCATGTGCGTGTGTGTGCGCACGCGCGCGAGGGATAAGCAATTTTAAGCTTCCCTACCGCAATGATCATAGCGGGCAAGGTAAAGCCTAAGGAAGGTGTCGAGTAATTTGTCCTCGGCCGCGAACTTGGTTGCGGCATCACTGGCGCGCCTTCAAATGTTGCCGCCACTCGGGTAGAAGGGAAACGCGCCGAATTGAAAATTCACTGGCGTCTTTGGCGAAGCGCACGTGTACATAAAGTCGTCGCTCTGCAGCTGAGTCCTGTTTAAATTGGGCTCGGATGTTGATCTCGTGATCTTCGGTAGACTCCTCAGAAGGTTCTCCAAACTTGCCAAAATTTGACGGAATATCGGTCGGTCGTCCCGTGAGAACTTAATGCAATCCTCAGTTAGTCTTTTGAGTGCTTTTGGCGTTTCCGATCTTAATTTGTGCAGATCAGGGCGCAGATATCCCCGGCCCACCATAAATAAAATCTGGTCCTTATTGTTGATGTGTGAGTAAGGCAGTTGACCAGAGAGCAACTCGAATAGCACTACACCAAAGGCGTAAACGTCGGATTGAAAGCTGTAGGGATTCTCCTCCTGCATCCTAATGACCTCCGGAGCCATCCATAGTATCGAGCCCGTTGGTTGATGAAATTGTACTGAGCCTGACCACCTAGTCTTAGCTGTGGCCAGACCAAAATCGCCAATCTTGACGGTGAGATCATCGTGCAAGAATATGTTGTTGCTTTTCAAGTCCCTGTGAATAATATTCTTTGCATGAAGGTAATCCATACCTTGCGCCGTCTGCCTGCCAATCTCGATGAGTGTCAGTAACTGGAACTTAGACTCGAACACATGCAAGTGTTTGTACAGTGAAGAGCCCTCGCACCACTGGGTGACGATCGCTAGTTGAGGTTTGCTCACGCACCCCATAAACAGCAAAATATTAACGTGTCGAGTCTTGCGCAGTACCGCCACCTCATTCTTGAAGGCCTGCAGCTGTGCTGAGGTGGGTATCTTGACGTTGAGCGTTTTTACTGCGACGGGACCATGCCAGTGCGCCTTATATACTGTTCCAAAGGATCCTGAGCCGATCCTTGGCCCCACAAGAATTTCGTCCGCCGGTATTTCCCAATCCTCGATTGATTCCCTTGGCGCCAGTAGATTCTTGGAGCTCTCGTCAGCTGAACGTGCCCTCGGACGTTTCGGCCTCAACGTATTTGTCGGACTGGCCTGCGTCGACTGACTATGCTTGGTAGGACTGCTGCTGGGCGACACTGGAGACTGTTGAGTGCCAATGACTCCTCTGCCAAGGCTCTGTGAGCGCGAGTAGTCTTCAAGATTGATGCTTGTCTCAACGCCTCCCATGGGCTTGATCATGTTGAAGCAGACGTTGGGTGCCGAACTCGAACGATCCTGCTGACCCAAAGTTCTCTGCTGTCTGGCATTCCTCGAAGATGCCTCGAGCGTTGTTGGTATACGGCGAATATAGCCCGCGGGCAGTTGCAGTATTCCCGCGCTCGTCTCCGGATTATGCGCCAGCAGTGCTTGATAGTAAGCGTCTTGCATGCGTACCTGATGACAAAGCGCCGGCACGCCATTGGCGCAGCGCTGATGAAAGCGATAATTGCACGTGCGACAGTAGAAGCCCTGAAAGAGCAGCTTGTGGCAGCACTCGCAGAACGCTAGTGAGAAGAAGGTTTTGCGAACGAAGTTATGTGATATCGAGGTGGTAATCGGGAACTTGTCCAGTATCTCCACAGATATCTCATCGCATTCTAGTGACGAAATATCCGTGTCCCATGGAATCGGATGCTTCACATCTTCACCGTCGAGGATGTATACTACGCACATTTCGGTCGTCAGATTGCGTAATTTCATAGCTTTGGCTAGAGCGTCTCGCAGAGATAGTCCTTCCTTTACTTGTACGCTAGTACGTTGCTGATTTGGCAAGTGAGCGCGTAGCAAGGATTTCAGCGGTGTGCGGGAACTAATTCGATGAGGCTGCTGCTGCACTTGTCGAGATCCACTAGTCGCGCTCGACTGCGACTCCGAAGTAAACGATTCGTTGCTTGGCCCCGATGTGACTTCGGCCATCGACGCTAGGAGTTCCGTCAACTTTTGTTCTTTGGTCTCCAGCTCGTGTAGCTTCGACGTGAGCTCTTGGTATTCCAATAAGTAGATCGTTGGTGGATCTTGAAAGTCGGCGAAACGGGCATTTAAGGCGTCGATGTTTTGACGGGTTACATGGATTACACTTTGGATATTTCGTAGCTCAGCCCTGCAGATAATAACATTGAATTAGTACATGCTTCAAAGAGAGTTGTCGAAAAACTTATCCGCAACAGATTTAAATTACTAACTCATTTCACAACTACATAAAAAAATACTTACTTTTACAAGGTATCTATTAACAATTAGAAAGAAGTATTTGTGGAATTACCTCAGTGGATCTGTATCCAGATAAGCATCCTCAGAATCACTAAGATCAAGCTGATCGCCTCCACGGGAACACATGATGTTCTCTTGGGCAGCACGGACTCTTCTTCTCCTATATCGACGACCAGAAGGTGAGTCTATTTTCCCTTTGTTTCGTCGAATATACTGCTCAAAACCTTCTTTCTTTGGAATATGTGGATAAAACCTGTTTATAACAAAGTTACCATAAGTACTTATACTCAACAGACATTGCATCAAATTTATCTACTTGTCATCTATGTGAATTGGTTTAATACTCTGTCAAAAATTATGCTAGTTGTTATGGATTATTTTTTGTATCCAAATAAAACAAATTCATATGATAAATGATCATCTTTTACACTTTTAAATTGATATTTTTTCAACTTTGTTCCAAACATCACCAGTGATAACGTGACAATAGAAGCATGAACATCCAGAGATTACTACTTCACTGACAGGTACAATTAAAGATACATAAAAAAAACTGAATATACAACAAATAGTATAATGTGTCTGAGTTTCATTGCATTTTTTCGTTATCAAAAGCAAAGTATCTTGACGATAAGAGTTTGCAAGGCCGATTATTTGAAAACAAGATTTCCGAGTAAACAGAGAGTTATGTCATCAAGTCGGACCGTTACTTCTAAAACAAATGATTAAAATGCTGGGGGAGAGAGAGAGAGAGAGAGAGCGTTGAGTGCAGCCAAGTTTTGATTGTTTATAGGTTAAGTTGATCTCAAACTAAATTGAATTTGCTGTAGATAAGTGTCTAGCTTACACTTCCGAACTTAAAATTTTGATTTCACAGCACGTTCCGCTTTTATGTCCTGCTAATAACCAATACATCAACATCTTTAGCTCTCACTTTGTAGTTAACTCGCACCTGCGAATACCGCACTAACCGCATTGAAGCGCAAGAAAGAGGAACAGAGACAGAAAGATAAAACACTTGCGGTAAAATCCTCGCAATATACAAGGCATGTTATATAGACTGCTTGGAAATCCGAAACTGATAATCCTTGATAAATCTCATTACAAATAGAACTTATTAAATATAACTTTTATTGGATTAGCCTAGAGTAATTTCCACAAGTTGACTAAAGTCGTAAAGAGAAGACACATCGGGAACAGGTCGCGCACATTAAAGTACAAAGTGTGTTGTATATCGCACGCACATACATGTATACACACGCTCTGTCGTGCGCACACCTCCAAAATACATCTCTCGCTCTCTATCTCACCTGGATTCGCCAATCACGGCCATCGTCGTAGTCCGAGAGTCGAGGTTTTGCTCATTGTGATCCAGCTATTCCGAGTAATACTTTAGCTTGCGGCAGCGGAGCACAGCACAGCGAGGATGACGCTCCTGCAGTGCGGCATGTGTCCTGTGTGTCTGTGTAGCTACGAGTGTATAGGTATATATGCGTGTGTGATGTGAGAGTGTATTTGTGTGTAATAACGCTGGCAAGACGTCCGTCTCGAGCCTCGATCTCTCGTCGACTGATCGCCAAAGCTCGCGTACGACGCTGCCGCGCTGCTGCTGCTGCTGCTGATGGCTGTGTGAAGAGCAAGGTCGCGCGCAGTCGCTGTTTGAGGTTAGGGGTGGATACGTTTTACTGTCACTAACAGCGCTATACGTGCGATGCGTTCGGATGCTTTTATCGCTCTCTCCATAAACGCGGGTTCTGCCAATGCTCGATACTATGCTTTATTTATTTGCTCATTCTTTACACGTGTAACACTTGTTGAGAGGAAGCTTGAATCGAAGCTCGTGTGTAGATTTTTTTTTCGTTGTTGCAACGGGTATAATTACTTGCGCGATACCCTCGGACCACTCTGATTTCGGTGGCTATTTACATATTGGAGTAGCATCCTCCGAAATTAAATGTGAAAGCTACTTGCAATCAGAAAAGTTGCAAAGCCAATTTAAAATTTCATTCTTTTGCAGTAAATAACGCGAACTCTAAATTATACAGAATTGTGATAATCGTGCCAATTGTTTCCTTACAATTCGAAGCAACAAAGATGCCATTGTGCTTGAAAACGCACAATACGTATTAAAAAGCCACGTTAAAAATATTGATCAAGATACAGTTAGTATGGTTCCGTTAGAACGGCGCCAAGTCCAAAACGAGACAGATGCGACTACAAGTTAATAAGCGACGCAGAAAAATATGAAAGTGCAGAAATATATCTATGTATTTTGATCGCTTGTCGTGAATGACACCCCCGCGTCTTGGGACACGCGGATGCGTTTGGAGCTATCTTTGGTATCGGTGACACGTGCGCCAGCAGCGAGCCCTTTGGCCCCGGCCGGCAGCCTCGTGTAGTATAGTACGCGTGCAGCGTCGCGAGCGCACTTCCGCTACACGTCGCGGTCGCCTGTCTTCTCTGACGTCAGAGCCCGTCGTCGATATGCGTACGCACGCGTCCCGGCGCTCGAGCGGCGACCGTGCCAAGCCCGCGCTGACGCCAGAGCGCCACGCCAACAGCACCGACAACAGCCCAGATGAGGCTTACGAGTCGTGGCTGCGTTGCCCGGGAGACCGCAGACGGATGCATAGATTCTAATTGCCGGCCCCGCTTTCTCTCCTCATTCGCCATGTGCTTTTTATCCTACTTTTTTTATTTGTTTTATGGATTGTTTTTACCGGATCAGGGTGCTTCCGGACATTACTTTCCCTGGAGGATGTCTCGTTACGTCACGATCTCGGCGCGTTGGACTTTCATCTCTATTTTTTACAGAGGATCGATGCGACAAGGCACACGGTAGTAGAGGGGTAGGGGTGCACATGTTGCGTCACTACGCCATGCTCTTGAATACGTAATCGTGCGTGCACACGCGCCGACTAATGATCCGCGCTTCGTAAAGAAGCAGCCGATTAGTATTTATAGTCGGTCAGCTGTACGATTAGAAAAATCGTCGTATGCTCATCGTTACATAAGATTTGCCGGGTCGGTGTATTATTTTCTTTTGCTTTCCACGGAAACATCGCATGGGTTCCATGAAAATGGATTGTACGCTGGCTCCGGCGTTTTCATTTTCGAGGTAATGCTGATGAAGTAGGGCATATCACGAAGGTTGACCATAACACGTTATTTGATTATAAAAGCGATCGCATAACGTAATACATTCGCAGGAGTTGCTCGAATGCTAAACCATTTTTTGTTCCGTGATAAGAGTGTCGTTTAATCAACACCAAAGAGCTCGCTAATAAAAAAAAAACGAAAATGATTGTGAAGTTTGCAACGTTCATCGTGAACGAAAAAATCGAAAATTTAAATATGAGGATTTGACTTCATATATTGCTATAAATATCAAACTAACAATATAAAATACTATAGTCAGTAGTTTATTCGATTCCCAACGCCTAAAAACCACCCTTAAGACAGTTTACACACGAGCAAAGGCGAAGCTGGCTTCTATAAATTTGTGTATTAAAAAACACCACAAAATTCAGCGCTTAAAAGAATTTTAAGAAGAAGAGAATAATACTCCCTACATGCGTAAAAAGTTTCCGGGGTCGGAACGCACCCTACTCACCCTGACACCCTTGCAAATCTTGGCATCCCATGCGCGCAAAGGCAAAATCAGCGCGTTTTAATTTGATTTTTCCAAAACACCCAAAAATAATTTTATCAAAATTATTTCATCATAGAAAGCATACAATTATCTATCCGTGAGCGAAGTTTCGTGCGTCGGAACGCACCCTGTACACTCTGACACCCTTGCAAAGCATGGCGTCTCATGCGCGCAAAGGTGAAATCAGCTCGATTTAATTTATTTTTTCCAAAACACCCAAAAATGAAGGACTCAAAAGCATTTTATCATGGAGAGGATACAACTAGCTATCCGTGAGCGAAGTTTCATGCGTCGGAACGCACCCCGTACACTCTGACACCCTTGCAAAGCATGGCGTCTCATGCGCGCAAAGGTGAAATCAGCCTTGTTTTAACCTCCGAGTGTATCTGTGACGTACACAAAGTCAGTCAGTTCGGTACTTTATTACTCGAAACATAGACATGGGATATGCTGTAATATAGAATTTTAAGCTGAGATGAATAAAAATATTGGTTAAAGTTATTAAATAATATAAAATAATTCAAAGAAAAGTAAAATTTAAAAAAATTATCGCATCTTGTTCGATAACTTTATTTCTAAATTAATAACAATTTTTTCAAGCAGTTTTTTCATACAACATGAAAATGACAACTAAGTAGTTTTTAATACTGCAATAGTTTGAATCTTTGCGAGGTAATGTTGTTCTTGTTTGATTTGTCACGCAAATTAAGGCAATTAAGTTTTTTAAAAAGAGCAACTCCCTTTCTCTCTCTCTCTCTCTCTATCTATCTATCTTTCTTTCTAATGTGTCGCTGAGATTTGATTTACAGAATGTTATATGTATTAATCTGTATCAAGTATAGTTTGATGAAATGTTTGGGATTTCGTGCCGCCTAAACTGTAGTAGTAATGTGACCTATACAAATCATAACATTGGCCGCCGTCGCGTATCTTATATTTCTCGATTTTCGTGGAGTGATCAGCCGGTTGGAATCCTTTTATAGGCCAACCAATGAAGCCAAAAATGAAGTATTTTGTGACATTAATACTAACAGCAAACCGATTATGCAAATTTGTTTATTACTATGGGTAGATGAAAACGTATATGTTTCCAACTCGCAACTTTCATTTAATAACTTTTTACAGCCGTTTGAAATTTGCAAAAACATGTTTTTCACGTATAAAACCAAAACTATTGAAGTTAGGTATGTACCTCAATGGAATAAGTTATAGATAATAGAATTATCTATAAAATGAGCTATCGCTCATCTCAATCGAATAATTAATAATCAATATAATTACAAAAAACATCAAAAATGATCAATAAAGGTTACATTTCAAAAATTCATATCTCCACATAGAATGATGTTGAAAGAATTAGCTTATGATATTTTGTAGATTGCATTGTCTTCTTCATGTATGCTAAATCTGAGCTATATATAGTTATTACTTTCGGCACTATAGTCATGAGAATCAAACCTTTTTTTTATTTAGTACATCTTGCATAATGCCCTGTGGCTCAGCCGTTAGAGTTATACATTATTTGAAAAAAGTTTTTTAAATCTCAATCATCAAACTACAACTTTGTCATTTGGACTTTTGCTCTAAAATCAGTTTAAAAGGGTGAAATTTGTCGTTGAATATCGGGCAAAATGTGCCCGAGCGTGAAAGAAAGCGAGCGGCGGGAGATACAGATCCCGCGGAGGGGAAGTATATATAGTAATAGAAAAGCCAGGCGCTCGGCGTTTGACTGTAATATTACTTATTTTGATATTATTTACGCTATTTTACTGAAATTTTTTTTCGTTTTCAAGTTAATTAAGTACGCATTCGATATTTGTTAAATAAATAATACGAAACATATCAATATATGTGTATATTTTATTATAATGTAGGCAAATAGTAATTTATATTTATTTTTAATACATTTATCATTTAAGTATAATGAAACAAATTAAAATTTATTGTAAATAACATTATAATTATAATTATTATAAATAATATCTCCAACTGTTAATTAAATTTCAGTAAAATATACATATATCAAAATAAGTAATAATACAGTCAACAACCGAGCGCCTGGCTTTTCTATTACTATATATACTTTACCTCCGCGGGATCTGTATCTCCCACCGCTCGCTTTCTTTCACGCTCGGGCACATTTTGCCCGATATTCAACGACAAATTTCACCCTTTTAAACTGATTTTAGAGCAAAAGTCCAAATGACAAAGTTGTAGTTTGATGATTAAGATTTAAAAAACTTTTTTCAAATAATGTATAACTCTAACGGCTGAGCCACAGGGCATTATGCAAGATGTACTAAATCAAAAAAAGGTTTGATTCTCATGACTATAGTGCCGAAAGTAATAACTATATATAGCTCAGATTTAGTATACATGAAGAAGACAATGCAATCTACAAAATATCATAAGCTAATTCTTTCAACATCATTCTATGTGGAGATATGAATTTTTGAAATGTAACCTTTATTGATCATTTTTGATGTTTTTTGTAATTATATTGATTATTAATTATTCGATTGAGATGAGCGATAGCTCATTTTATAGATAATTCTATTATCTATAACTTATTCCATTGAGGTACATACCTAACTTTAATAGTTTTGGTTTTATACGTGAAAAACATGTTTCTGCAAATTTCAAACGGCTGTAAAAAGTTATTAAATGAAAGTTGCGAGTTGGAAACATATACGTTTTCATCTACGCATAGTAATAAACAAATTTGCATAATCGGTTTGCTGTTAGTATTAATGTCACAAAATACTTCATTTTTGGCTTCATTGGTTGGCCTATAAAAGGATTCCAACCGGCTGATCACTCCACGAAAATCGAGAAATATAAGATACGCGACGGCGGCCAATGTTATGATTTGTATAGGTCACATTACTACTACAGTTTAGGCGGCACGAAATCCCAAACATTTCATCAAACTATACTTGATACAGATTAATACATATAACATTCTGTAAATCAAATCTCAGCGACACATTAGAAAGAAAGATAGATAGATAGATAGAGAGAGAGAGAGAAAGGGAGTTGCTCTTTTTAAAAAACTTAATTGCCTTAATTTGCGTGACAAATCAAACAAGAACAACATTACCTCGCAAAGATTCAAACTATTGCAGTATTAAAAACTACTTAGTTGTCATTTTCATGTTGTATGAAAAAACTGCTTGAAAAAATTGTTATTAATTTAGAAATAAAGTTATCGAACAAGATGCGATAATTTTTTTAAATTTTACTTTTTTTTGAATTATTTTATATTATTTAATAACTTTAACCAATATTTTTATTCATCTCAGCTTAAAATTCTATATTACAGCATATCCCATGTCTATGTTTCGAGTAATAAAGTACCGAACTGACTGACTTTGTGTACGTCACAGATACACTCGGAGGTTAAAACAAGACTGATTTCACCTTTGCGCGCATGAGACGCCATGCTTTGCAAGGGTGTCAGAGTGTACGGGGTGCGTTCCGACGCATGAAACTTCGCTCACGGATAGCTAGTTGTATCCTCTCCATGGTAAAATGCTTTCGAGTCCTTCGTTTTTGGGTGTTTTGGAAAAAATAAATTAAAACGCGCTGATTTTACCTTAGCGCGCATGAGACGCCATGATTATGCTTTGCAAGGGTGTCAGAGTGTACAGGGTGCGTTCCGACGCACGAAACTTCGCTCACGGATAGATAATTGTCTGCTTTCTATGATGAAATAATTTTGATAAAATTATTTTTGGGTGTTTTGGAAAAATCAAATTAAAACGCGCTGATTTTGCCTTTGCGCGCATGAGACGCCAGTCTTTGCAAGGGTGTCAGAGTGTACAGGGTGCGTTCCGACGCACGAAACTTCGCTCATGGATAGATAATTGTATGCTTTCTATGATAAAATACTTTTGATAAAATTATTTTTGGGTGTTTGGGAATAAATAAATTAAAACGCGTTGATTATGCCTTTGCGCGCATGGGATGCCAAGATTTGCAAGGGTGTCAGGGTGAGTAGGGTGCGTTCCGACCCCGGAAACTTTTTACGCATGTAGGGAGTATTATTCTCTCCTTCATAAAATTTTTTTAAGCGCTGAATTTGGTGGTGTTTTTTAATACACAAATTTATAGAAGCCTAATAAATAAACTGTCTTAAGGGTGGTTTTTAGGCGTTGGGAATCGAATAAACTACTGACTATAGTATTTTATATTGTTAGTTTGATATTTATAGCAATATATGGAGTCAAATCCTCATATTTAAATTTTCGATTTTTTCGTTCACGATGAACGTTGCAAACTTCACAATCATAAACGAAAAGCGTTGGCAAATCTTTGTGAAATTGGGACAGAATGATCCGTGGAGCCTTCATCGATCGCAAGAGAGCAACTGAGATTCACAATTGTTTCCCATAATACTTGAGTGCACGATGTAAACCTTTACGTTATTTCCGCACACACAGTCGCTCCTCTCCTACAACGATGAGTACGCGACGAGCGTACAGCAATCGACCCGAAGATAGATCGGCGCAACGTTTTACGGATGGCAAGGTGTGAAGTGCATGAAAAATGTATGACAAGCGCATGGTAAGATCGATTACTGCGTTATGCGATTGAGTATACCCATAGACCGCGTCTGGCGGCGATAATGTTCAATTACAATGCACCCCTCACATTCTATTCGTCGATTTAGCTGCCGCAGTTTTAGATATACGCACACATATATTTGCGCTAGTTATCAATACTTGATAGGCCTCTTTCGTCGTGCCAGCCCTCTCCTCCCTTCCCTCCGCCCCTCTCTCTCCGATAGCGCGGTTTCCTGGTCAATTATTTAGCTAGCCATATGAAGTCAAGCGCTGAATAATTTTTGTCATAATCGGCTTTTTATTGAAATGAATATCGACGACTCGCATGAGGGTGCGCGAGCGCGCAAGGGTCAGTCAGCACTGGCTTACGTCATGTATGAGAATCGATCGCGGACGCGGCGTTGTAGGTGTAGTCAAACATACAGCCACAATAATCGATTTTACCATGCGCTCGGTATGCATTTTTCACGCACTTCACTTCACACCTTGCCATTTGTAAATAACTGCGTCGGTCGATCGGCAAGCCGATTGCCGTACGCTCACCGCGTGCTCATTGTTGGCACAGGCATGCAGGTGTGCGCGAAAGAGAAAACGAATGTCGGCTGCTGAGCGGTGAAAGCGCGAGGCGAGCATCGGAACACGCGTGAAAGAGGAATCGCGGCTAAGAGATATTGGTTCGCGGTCGCTATCGTTCGGCCGATTTTACAATCGAGCGATTGGCGCTCCTCGCGGCCATCGAAATAATAACGCCACCCAATGTATGTGCAGCTTCGACAGGCGCTTCCCAGTCGGTACGCCTCGCTCTCGCTCACAATCCACAGCGCTCATCTATCATAATAACAGCGGTGATCATGGCAAGCGGGATGCTGAGCGGAAAGCTAGCGATTGTCACAGGTTTGACTCTATATATACGTGTGCACGCCTTATACGTCGAATATCGACGCGTGTTTGACGCCACTGACGTACGTATACGAGAGATGTGATGCTGCAGGCGCGGGTAGTGGCATCGGTCGCGCGGCTGCTGCCTTGCTCGCCAGAGAAGGAGCCAAGGTCATTGCTGCCGACCAGAATGTCAGGGCCGCCGAGGATACAGTCAGCCAGCTGCAAGGTACATGTGTACGAGCGCACGCGCGCCTGTCCACCCTGATGCATGTGTATATATATATATATATATATATATATACACACATACATCTTCGTCCAAAGACATCAGCTGGGTTTTCTACGCATATCCTAGACTTTTTCCTTTCCCGAACGCTTTCGTGCGGTCGGCGAGCTACCTAACCTTGCGTCCCTGACGTATCGTTGAAATGGTGCAAATGGTGCACCCCGTCGCGATAAGGCATGAGAGTAACGTAATGGTTACGTACACTGTTTTGCAGGGAAAGCAATAGATTTGTACTGGAGTTTAGGATGTTAAATTTGTAGTTTCCGGAAATACTGATAAAAACGTTTTCGGAGCAATTTATGAAAGAACAAGCGGATTGTCCTTAACAATTGTTATTTGGCAAAAAATTGGAAAATCCATGTAAAATTATTGCATAAAAAGCTTGAATGCATGCCTCGATGTTAAATTTAGGTTTGGAGCATATTTCGGTTGGAATAGACGTCAAAAGCAAAGAAAGCATCGAAGAAGCATTTAACACTGTGAAAAGGCATTTTTTGGTACCACCAAGTCTAGTTGTAAACTCTGCTGGGATTACAAGGGACAATTTTCTTTTAAAATTAAGCGAAGAAGATTTTAATGAGGTGCTCAATGTAAACCTGAAAGGAACATTTCTAGTAACGCAATATGCAGCCAAGGTAATGTTAGCTGCAGCAATTGGTGAGGGAGGTTCTATAGTTAATGTTGCTTCAATTATTGGTAAAACTGGAAATATTGGTCAAAGCAATTATGCTGCGTCTAAAGCAGGTGTCGAGGCGCTCACTAAGTCTGCAGCCATGGAATTTGGACAGTAAGGAATTGTGGAGATGCCTTTAAGAGTAAGGGTAGTTACATAATTTTTTATGTATAAATATTTATTTCAGATTTGGTATTAGAGTGAATGCTGTACTACCAGGTTTTATAGAAACTCCTATGACACAGACTGTGCCAGACAAAGTTAAACAAATGTTCATTGAAAGAATCCCATTGAAACGAATGGGAAAAGCACATGAAGTAGCAGAAGTAATTTTGTTTTTAACTTCTACCAAGAGTTCTTACATCAATGGGGCTTCAATTGATGTGACTGGAGGAATGCATTAAGACTTACTTTTTATACTTTTGTACTTAAATTTCTATACAGAAGTTTCTTGTTAATAAATTTATTTACAAATATAAAATATTTATATTCACCTTAAACTAAATCACTCTTCACAATTACTTATTCTTTTTCTTTAGTTTCTTTGCATGCCTATGAGCCTTGTATTGTAGTTTGCGTTTTTCATCAATGATTTCTTTGTATTTCCTCTTGTTGTACTTGGCAAATTCTGCATCAGCCATGAGTTCATCAACAATAGTACGTTTACGCTCCTTCTTGGTCAAACGTCCACTGTAGAAATCTGTAGGTGAGTCAACAACTTTACCAATATGGAAATATTTTGGTAAAGCTTTGATGTCATTCTTCTTGTAAAAGTGTTTGGGATCTAATACTGATCGCATTTGTATAACTTCCAAGTCATGCCTGATTTCATCTGTCATCTCTGTTGCAGGAAGGTTAAACCATTTGTCACCCTTAGTCTTTTCTCTCTGTCTTTTTCTTGACTCTTTCAACTTTTTGTCACTGACGTCATACGCAGGTACTTTCTTTACACGTTCAAATCCTGGTTTTACAGTAGCTTTTTTAAGAGTTTCTGCAATTGGTGCCATTTGGCTTGACATTTTTTTCACTGCTCTGTCTAGTTTTGTTTTCTTATGCACTGAATTTTTCCACCCCATATCCCGTTCAAACGCGGAAAGATTAATATCATTTGGATTTTCTTTTGATTTTTTATTTTGAACATTCTTTTTCCTTACAACAATTTTTGTTGGATCTAGTCCTGAAAAATAAATTGGTAGATTTTTTCAATTTTTTCTACCGTAAACGTTAACCTTACGTGCTAAATATTTATAAACCTTTACCTATATCCTCAAATTCTATATCATCGTCATCATCATTATCTAGAAGTTGATTTTTATTTAATAGATCATTTGAACCCTTTGTATCTATTATAAACTCCATTTTATAATGAAAAATTAACAATTGTTCATTTTCTCACTTATAACCTCACTGGAAATTGCGTTTCCTATGTTCACTTGTTTGAGCATTCACGTGGTTATGTGGCGATACAGTTATTCCCATTGCCAGAGTTGAGCGATTCTGTCAAAAAGCTTCCAGCAGTTGACTTCAGACCTCACAATTTTCGCTCTTGCTTTACATAAGGTCTATTCAACTCAAACTCTCAGGCCCCGCGCCCCATATGCGCATACGCGCGCGTACAAACACGCACAAATCGCTACAAATTTTGATAGTGCCAACAACAGAAAGTTACTATTATTCCTCGCATGCCCCAAACGGACACACACTTACTCCCGGAACAAACGTATCATAACCTTCAATAATATAGCGTTATAATACGTTTGTTCCGAGAGTAAGTGTGTTCGTTTGGGGCATGCAAGGAATAGTAGTAACTTTCTGTTGTTGCCACTATCAAAATTTTTAGCGATTTGTAAAAAAATGGGAATGGGTTATTTTCTGAAATAACCCATTCCTATTAATTAATACAGCTGTATTAATAGGTATTAATTAATACAGCTTTATTAATAGGTATTAATAGCTGTATTTTCTGAAATAACCCATTCCTATTAATAAATGAAATTGCGCGGAGTTATAAATAATTTTTGCTATCTTTGTTAACCACGCGCAGTTTTTCTGTAATTTTTTTATTACAGTTGTATTAATTAATAGAAATGGGTTATTTCAGAAAATAACCCATTCCTCTTAATGTAGCTCTTATAACTTCAATATAATTTTGGATTTGGAATTTGGGGCGGGGGGGGGGGGGGGGTACAGAAAAGAAAATTTAGATAATTTGGAATAGTCCAAATAGACATAAAGTTATTTACTTAAAATTTTTTAAGAAAATTCACCATTTTTCTGCCAGGATCACAAATTAAGAAGAAGACATTCATAATCTTTTACATTAAAATATCACAATTTTTCCACCGAGAAAAGAGATTTTCCGCAGCACGGAAGATACGAAATTAGAATCGTCGAATTAGACTACAAATTAATTTTTGTCTCAATATTTTCGAGGGGTTCAAATTCTAAAATAAATATTTTTCAAATGGTACTGATTAAGGCAAGATTGGTGGTGTATTATTTGTTTTAGGAAATAAATGTTTCCTATCAGAGTTTCCTACTTTATCATCCGAGTAATCAGTTGTTTTTGCGAATGTAGGAGTTTATAAGAACACACGTTAACTTAGGACTTTGTATATATTAACATGACTAATTAAATTTTAGAGTGTAAAAATTACAATAAACATATTTTCAGTTGGTAAAATTTAAGGTAAAGCTAGAAATATATTTTTTTCTTAAGAAATAAAAGATTTTCCTGTAAAATTTATTAGTATTACAATCGCACAAAAAACATTGTATTATTCAAATTCTACAGGGATACAAATTAGTTTTATGTATTTTTTAGATGGTACAAATTAAGAAGAAAGCATTCATATATATATTTTTTTAAATCGCATATTTTTCTGCTGGAAGATAGATTTTCAGGCGCGCATGCGCAATAATACGTTAATTTGAATTGCTAATCTACCCTACGAAAATCTTTTTTTTCTCTATTTTTAGAGAGGGTACAAATTCCAAAAAAGCATTTTTCTGATGGTACAAATTAAAATGAAACTAGTGGTATTTTTTTCCTTTAAGATATCGATCATTTTTCTGCCAGGAGTATGAGATTTCCGAAATATCGTTTTCTTCGCTTTTTTTTAACATTTTGGGGGGGTACAAATTCCAAAATAGCAATTTTGGAGTGATACAAATTAAGACGAAGCTAATGGTATATTTTTTTTGAAATCAATCATTTTTCTGCCAGGGGGCCTATTCTGAAAAAAAATTTTGTGGTAAATCAGTTTGTCACTTGAGTTTACCACAGAATTGATCACTTTAGATGTGATAAATGCTTATGACATGTGCTAAAATTTTTTTTCAGAATAGGCCCCCAGGGTCGTTTCGATGCAAAATGTATAGACTCTATATGCTATATCTGTCTCTTTCCGCAGTATTGCCAACATTTTACTTACTAACTTTGAGAGTTGAGTTGAATAGACTAATGTAAAGCGGGAGCAAAATTGAGAGGTCTGAAGTCAACTCATGGAGACTATCTCCATGAGTCAACTGCTAGAAGTTTTTTGACAGAATCGCCCAACCTTGTCATTGCGCATCATTAGTACGCAATTTGTGAACGCGATAAAGCAAATATGTTAATCACAAAAAAGTGGTTTGTTTAATTGCCAAAAAAGTAATTGAATTAATAAATTAAATTTAATGTAAAAACTGTGAAATGTCCCATTACTTTTCGAATTCTATAAAGGGTATGAAATAATTAATTTATTAAGGAGTAACATTTTTAATTTATTGATGAAATAATCGAATTCTTCAAATACATAAATCTCAACTATAATTTTTGTTGCTTTTATATCTTATATACTTCTTTTTCTCTTTTATAATATTACGAATTTTTAAATGAAAATTTTTGAGATATCACTCTGGGACCATGGGCAATCTTTTCAGCGCGCGAAATTACCCCTAGTAAGGCCTATAGAAGTGATTTTTGGTGACCTTGCTTAATCGCCGAATTCCTCGCCTATATATTTTTTATAGGGCTCGAGAGGAGCGTCAATTCAAAGTTGAACATCTCACCGAAAAACTCTGAAAAAAGGGAGCCGAATTCTCTTTTATATATTTAATATTAAAAATATCATACATTTATAAGTTATATATAAAAGAATATTACAAAATATTTGGGTCGATGAAATTACAATTATTATGAAAAATTTACAGCCATAGTTTTTTCTTAAATATTATGTCTCATCAAAATGCCTTATTTGAAGTGTACGAAATATATGTTTCTGTTCGTTTCTTGCTTTTGAACATTTTTACAAAATAACATTAACAATATTTATGCTTAAAAAAATATTAAGATGATTTGGAACATAACGCATACGCATACGCATACATATACACACACAAAACACTGTCTTTATATTACGCTATAATATATATATATATGTGTGTGTGTTATGATTATTTCAATCAATCCAATTATAAATAAATTGGCAGGTAATTTGTTACAGTCAGTACACGCTGCATTTAATAAACTTTACAAATCTGATTTTTGTAAGCTTCACTTTGTTCAGCATTTTACATCAACAGTCAGTTCTTCTTTATATCACTTTATTTTAAGCTGGATATACTTATGGTCGATCTATTAATGGATGTTTTACCTGCTTTGTTAATTATTTGCATGCGATAATTAAGTCGGGAAATTCTTTTGTATTCTACAGTCTCCAATTTTTTTGTTGTCGGTTTTTTGTATAGTTTTAAAAGTAACGAGCTTCCAACTATTGATACAGAACTAAGTGCCATAGCTGCTGTTGCCATCCAAGGTTGCAATCTCAAACCCAAAGGAGTGAATATGCCAGCAGCAATGGGCAAACCAATAATATTGTACAAACTAGCGAATAAAAAGTTTAGTCTGATCCGCTTGACTGTTTCACGTGAGAGATCAATGCAGGCAATCACGTCAAGTAAATCGTTTCTCATTAACACTATATCGGCAGCTTCGATGGCTACATCAGTTCCAGCCGCTATAGCTATGCCAACGTTTGACTGAGCCAAGGCTGGGCTGTCGTTCACACCATCACCAATCATTGCTACTTTTTTTCCCTGACTCTGTAGTTGTTGTATTTTTTGCACTTTATGCGATGGTAAGACTTCTGCAAATACCTGATCTATTCCTACTTGTCTGGCTATCGTGTTTGCCGTGACATTGTTATCGCCAGTGAGGAGTATTACTTCAAAGCCCATTTTCTTCAGTGTGTAAACGGCAAGGTGAGCTTCAGGTTTTATAGAATCAGCGACGCTTATTACAGCAGATAATTCTCCATCAATAACAGCTAACACAACAGTGTGTCCTAGATTTTCTTCCTTGATCATGAGATTTTCAATTTCTGGCGGAAGGGTCACGGCATTTCGTCTCATCCATTCTCGGTTTCCTATGCAAACTTCAAAAGCTTCGTTCGGATCGAGATTTTCCGCATTGAATTTCGATTCATTTTCAGGATCGGCGATCTCCTGTGGTGATGATACTGGAGCGAAATCTATGAGAACTTCGTTCAACTGTAAAGCATCGGGCGAATTACTCTGCAAACTGTCGACAAAGTTCATGATCTTCGTCGACTTGGCAACGTTCACCAAAGTATCAGTAATGAAAGACACTTTGCATTTCATGCCACAGCCTGGAACTGATTGATAATTTGTGCATCTTCCGCTCAGTTCAGTTTCTATAACGTCTCTGACATACTTAACTATCGCGGAAGCTATGGGATGTTCGCTATTAAGTTCTGCTATGCCAATAATAACTAATATTTTTCCTATATTAAATGCACCATTATTGGTAAATAAACTTATATTAGTAACAGTCGGAAAGCCTTTCGTTATGGTTCCTGTCTTGTCGAAAACAGCACAATTGATCTTGTGGGCGTTCTCTAGAGCGCCAGAGCTCTTGATGAGAATGCCATTGATAGCACCTACTCCCGTACCAACCATCACGGCAATCGGTGTGGCAAGACCTAGCGCACAAGGGCAAGCTATCGCTAATACGGATAACGCACTCCTAAATGCATTTTGAAATATCATTTCATCTTTATTTCTACCCGCGTGATGGTTGTGATCTTCGCTCATCAAGCTTATATATTTAGTGTCAATGTAACCAACAATAATCCAGGCGACGAGCGTTAAAATCGATACAGATACTACGAAAGGAACGAAAAATCCGGCAATTTTATCAGCGATCTGCTGTATTGGAGCTTTGCTCATTTGTGCTTCTTCGACTAAACGCACAATCTGGGCTAAGGTAGTCTTTTCTCCAGTGTGCGTCGCTTTAATGTACAACGGGCCACTTAAATTAATAGAACCTCCAATAACAATAGAACCTTCTTTTTTTGGCACAGGCATACTTTCGCCAGTAATCAAGCTTTCGTCACACGACGAGTTGCCAATATAAACTTGTCCGTCCACCGGCACTTTATTACCTTCGTTAACTTTCAAAATATCTCCTGGCTGAACAAAGTCGATTTTCACTAAACGCTCTGTCAAAATTTCATGATCAGATCCTAGCGTTACTATTACTGCATTGGATGCTTGTAGTGACAATAATTTGGAAAGTGCTTCCGACGTTTTTCCTTTGGCAATGTGTTCCAACCACCTACCTAAACTGACGAAAACTAAAAGCATTGGGGGTGTATCAAAAAATGTTTTTGGACTGGTTACTTCTTCCATAACCATTGCGATAGCAAGTATTATAACTGAATAAACATAGGAGATTGTGCAAGTCATTGATATCAAAACATCCATATTGCTTGCTCCATGTTTAATGGCTTTATACGCTTGGATATGAAAGTGCCACCCTCCAAAGATCTGTACTGGGGTTGACAAAATAAACGAAATTAGATTTTCTAAAGATAAACCAGGAAGTACACAACACATTTCTTCTTCGCTCATAGTAGACATAGTTGACATAAAGTATGCCATAGCAATCATGCTTGGAGCTCCAAAAACAAGCGAGATTAAGAATGAGTTCCTCCACTTATGTATTTCCAATCTGTGATCCAAGTATTGCCTATTCTCAGCTTCATTTCTTTTCATAGATGCATCAAATCCTAATTTCTTTATACACTCTATGATATTATCTATATTTATTTTACTAGGATCATAATTAAACTTGCCACGTTTTGTTACAAGTGATACCATGACAGACTGGATACCTGGCAACTGCTTGACAGTTTTTTCTATCTTGTTGACACAGGAAGAACAAGTCATGCCTGACAGAAGTAATTCTACTTCCTTGATCTGTGAGCCCTTCTCATTTATGAGCATGCAAGGAAATCCCAAGTCTATTATTCTTTCAGCTATATCAGCTGGTCTTATAACATTGCTATCATAATCTACTTCAGTTTTACCGCTTGCGTAGAATATTAAAATATTTTGAACCCCGAGCAGTTTCTTCAATCGCTTCTCGATAGCTGTAACACAAGAAGAGCTGGTCATACCATCTATATGTAGAAAACATTTCTCAATAACTTGCTGCTGGTTCAATTGCTGAAGATCTATAGCTGGTAAATTATCGTTTATCCTGATTGACAGAGTATCTGTTATGTAAACATCATCGTTAACTTTCTTAACAGCAGCTCCAAAGCCCATATCATCTATAGCATCTGCTATTTCCTCGGCAGTTATTAAATTTGGATCATACGACACAGTTCCATCATGTGTCTCCAAACTAACAAATATCTTCTCAATTCCATTTTTCTTAGATATTTGCTCTGTAATACTGTTAACGCAAGACATACAAGTCATTCCAGTGATATCAATAATACAAGTGCTGAGATGTTTGTTGGTGCTGAGCTCTTGCAAGGCATTGCCTCCATCTTCATAAACATGCTTGCTATAGTCAAACAGGTATTTACATTCCTTATTGTTGTCCATCCTTGCGGCTTACTCACTAAATCAGTTTAAAAATTGGAAAGAAGAAAAGCTAGGTTGAGCATGTGTAGGTCAAAAGAAATAAGCATTACACTTTCTAATGAAATACTTGCGGATGCAGAAAGTAATACCTCGATATATTCCGTAACTGATGGCGGGGGTGAGGCAAGAGCGAGTTGTAACAAAAGACAAGGTCCTCTGCGTGGTCGTCAACATCGGCGAGCAACAAAACAAGCACGTGCTCGCTCGGCACTTTCACCTTTCATTGCACCTGCAAAACAGATAACGCAATGTCTCGACAAACGCCATGTACGCAGGTTAACTCGCCAAAAATGTGCGTTTTTGAAATACTTACATACTCTGCCGGTGAGTGTAATTGCTCTGTGTCCCATTTGCCACGCTACTAATCTCGCTCTAGTTTAAGCATTTGCGTATATATGCGCAATCACGTGAGTATATAGAGCTGAGGCCAACTAAGCCGATAGTTGCTCTCGCGCTTATACTACGTGTAAGGTGTATACGTGTGCGCGCGTCGAGTGAAAATTCACGGCGAGCGAGCGCGTGCGCGCACTTGCGGCGGTCGCTATCTTTTGATTTTTCTTCTTTGTTTGTTACACGCGCTTGAGAGCAAAACGAGGATAACGCCGCGAGTTCTTTTTCTCCCCCCCCCCCCCCCGTTTCAAAGTCTCTCGCTCCCCTTTTCTTTTTTTGCTTATCGCTGTCGAGATAAACCCTCTTTTCCTCTGTTCAGGCGTGCGATGGATTTTCTTTTTATTCGATAAATCAGCGCAAGCAATCTAAAACTTTCTCGGATAATTAATTTCGCGTGCGCGCGAAGCGAATGCATGACGGACATTTACTACGCGAAAACTTACTTATCTTCGAATGCTTGCTCTTATGAGGAAGTGGTTTCCTGCGTGTTTATCGCGAGCGCGGCTATTGTAATTTCAAACTCGTATGTGTATTATACACCATCATTTACAGCTACAAATGGGGTTGGTCACGTTGACAGGATCGAGTATAATTAATAAAAAAATGTCGACTTTTTAAAAAAATAAATAGGTCATTGAACTAAACATTTTAACTAAACGTATGAGCAAGGTAATAGCTATAAGCGAAGTTGACGTCACGTAGCCATTATCATCATTGATGAACAGGGGGCGGATGTTCCGTATTCGAACAAACAATAATGAGTCGTGCTTTGTTGCAGTAAAAACGAAGTAGCAATAAATATAGATCAATCTAATATAATCTATTTAAAAAAAACAGACGAAAGGGTTAAGGCTTATCTAAGTGAAATATACAAATACGTATTATGCGTAACGGCCACTAATACTTATTACCTCGTACAGCATCGACATAGTTTCCTGTAGAAAGCGTGAAAGTGCCTACGGCGAGTATGTTCAAGAGTGCATTAGCAAAGAAATTTAAATGATGTAATACGTACGGCTGACTAGACACAAATGTCTGGCTTTTTGCACATAGACCAAATCGTCGATACACACCGACAATCACGTCAGTTACGCCTAGGTACACCTGAATTATTGAGAATAATTGCTATGCTCAACTTTTTTAGGCTTGTGACTATACTGATTTTGACATTTTAGAATTTACGGGTTAAAAGTAACGCGTCCAACCCACTCTAAATGCAATCATATGCGTATAAAAATTGATTAGTAATTTCGAAAAAATTTCCATTGTTACTTGCCACTTTATTATGCCAAGATTGAAAATTTAATTTCCTTAATTATCTTCTAAATTTCATTTTTATGTAATTTGGCATAATTATGCACGTCACATCTCAAAATTGAGCAACAATAATAGTATTACGCGCTTTTACATAATTGTTGCGTTCGACTTCAATTTTGTAAATATCCTGGAACTATGTAACATTTATCCAGGAGATAGACCGTCAATTTTGTCACCTTTCAAAAGTCTATTACTTCAAGAATCTATTGAAATATAATTTCGTCATAATATTGGTGTGCACGTATTTTTTAAAAACTCAGCAATGAATCTTACTTTCAAGACAGAATCGTAAATAATCAGAAAGCAAATGCCATGTATGAGACATAAGTGCAAGTACATTTGTGCATAGTTGCCTCAAATGTTCAGACTTGTGGATGGATCAATTACAATGTATTATTTTTCAGTAATTAAACTTGATTTTGAAAATGATATTTGACAGTTTGATTTGGTGTCACGCGTAAAGCAAAGTACGCGTTACCGGGACGTCCGCATTCGAAAACTTGCGACGATCGTCTGGAGCTGTACTGCCACACGAGCATGGCGCGGGTAACGCTCGAAAAATTTTCAATTGACGCAGCCGCAAGACAAAAACGGAGTGTATTATCAATCGTAAATCAGACCCAGACGACGTCTGCGGCAAGGAGCATTGCACGCGCGGCTTTCTTCCTCGTAACATCGTGGATTACGAGTGCAATATTACGTTTCGAACGCAATTCGCGCCCGTCTAACATAACAGTCACTAGAAGATCTTACTTAACCCGTAATGAGTAGCATTGTGTAATTCCAATTTTTTACCCTTACTTTCCAGCTGCGACGTCAGGTGAATTTGTCTTTTGTACACTAATAGCGACATGATAAGCAATTTCGTTTGTCTGAAAACTTTCACACCGCAAGGTTTTATTCGTCGTTTCTATTAATTAAAAAAAAAATGGTAAAGTTTACACTTAATTTATCGTGTTAAATGCTGTAAGACGAGGTGATTACGATACGGAAGCACCCATGTTTCAGACTGCCATTGTTTTATTTGATTCTACATTTAGGTTTCTATGGTGTGAAGTGTTATCCACGAAAAGTACCATTAAAAAATTGAATAATTATCTTTGACTTTCCAGTTTTCTGCAGATTTTGACCACAAGAAAATATTCATGCTAAAACTGCCAAGTTACAAATTAATTAATCAGCCGACAACCACAGGCTCATCAATTTGTTCGTAATTGAATTTGTTCGTTCACTTCAATCATGATGATTTATTCTGAAAATTGTCGGAGCATTTTCTCCTATCTGGTTTGAACATTTTAAGGAATGACAGTAAAACCGGTTTCGCTTCCTCCTGATACAACTACTTCGTTAATAGGCAATTCGTGCTAATTGAATCTCTCGTTATACGATATATACTGGAGAATATGATCTTGAAGCCAAGAGTCGTTATTATATCAATGCATTAACGATAATCGAGCATACAAGTGATAGTGTCCCGTACCTCGATCAATTAATTAATGTTATAACAAAGAAACGTAAGCGGTAGCTATCCAAAAGACCATTGTGTAAAACGATAACTCGGGAAGCTAGGAGCACGAGAGTAGCATATTTTCACTTTCGAAAAAGAATGCTGATTCAGTGTCGATACAATAGCTACTATCCAGAGACGCGTGTACACGCACACGAGCCCATCGATAACCGAACGTACTATATTCGACTGGCGCGCGAAGCCCCGTTAGTCATCCCGGCGTCAACGCCAACGCGGACAATCGCAACTCTCCTTGCAAATTAAAAGAGCGTCCCACGCGCGCGCGCGAATCGAAAATCATTACGGCGGGCAGATTCGCCGACTGCCAGCTGGGTGCTTTCAACGAGGGACGAACTCTGCAATCGCACGGTAATGCTTTGCTTCGAGACTACTTTGAGACTTCCTGCGCGATCTTGCATTCTGGCTTGCGTGTATCCGAGAAATAACGAGTAGTTGCTGCTTCTTCTTTTCGAAATGGGCGGCCGATAGCCACTCCGCGATGCACTCCTCGATGTGTCGAAATTCTATCTTTTTACGTCTTAGATAGTCTTAGCATACTTGATTGACGTCGGCGAAGAGAAAAGCTTCGGGAACCGTTGTCAGGGAGAAAGAGCTCTACATCGATGCATGGGTTGCGCGTGTGTGGCTTTATTCTTCGGTGAAAACGCCGCGTCTTTTTCTCGAATATTTTAATCAAGGAAGCGACAGTTACGAAATAGCATGATAGTCAAGTTATAAGATCCTGTCAAGTCAAACAACCGTAAAGTCACGTTGCTTATGAGGTTACGGGGCATTCGAATGTGAATTTGGTCGCGTAACTTGATTATCATCTTTCCGCGCGTAATTTGTTCGAATTATTTCTTTGAACCGTCGCTATTTTCGCGGGGATCCACTCGTTACGAGCACGATGATTGTTTGACTTTTGCGCGGAATAGGATTCGCGGAGAAAGTTTTTAAGTATACGTGGCGGCGCTTCCGCGCCGTTTGATTGTGACCGTTCGATGATTGAGTAAAGCGAAAACGATGCGGTTGTCGTTGACTATGTAATTCTTAATAGGAAACTGTGGCATAATTATGACTGCGTAGCGCCAGGCTTAACTGTTGAAAAAGTCAGTGCTAGTGTTCTTAACGTACAGAAAGTTTAATCGTTGCGCCTTAAGTAATATCGCAATAACGTAAAAATCTCGAGTGATGTGTAATACGGATAATAATAAAGCAGTGAGTCACACGGGGAAAAGGTTTTTATAAGATAGATTTTCAACAATGCGCGACATTGAACTTATATTTCGTGCAAAAAATCAAAATTTAATGATGCTCGTTCGCGCGCGTGCAACGTAAATTGCCAATTACATCTTAAGGTGACTTTTAAACCGCAGACGTAATTGAACAAAGTATAAAAAGCGTCAGCTTGTATTGAATTTTCTAAAACTATTTTGCTTCTAATTTTCATAATTCATTCCTCAAAAGCCTTTACTCATCATTCACTGCGAAAGAATTTTTACGCCAAGAGGAGATCCACTCATCGTAAAATAATGGGCCAATTTGAAAAACGATAGGAGCACATATGCCTATGTGTTTATTCGCGATTACCTTTCAGATAAAATCAGTACAAATACGTTCTTCATCGTTCAACGATGCTGCGAATATGCGTGAACGCATACTTAAAACCGATGACGTCTGAGCTGAAGAATAGCATCCAAATGTTTACAAATTATAATTTTTATAATTATTGAAATATCCAACATGGAATAATTTGTTAATAATTGGATTACGGTTAATTTTCAGACTCAAAACTGTTTTACGAGAGTCAATAATATCGAGGGTGAACTACACCACAGCTACCTGTGGTCGTTCCACATATTCAAGGCTGCGCGACGATGGAGAATGACGATGACCTCCAAACCTCCCCCGATATATTGCTTCGGGCGAGCGCACGACCTACTTTTCTGTAAATTTTGAAGGAAAGCGCGTGTGAAAGGTGTGGCGGCGGATACGGCCTACACGAAATTTCTGACGCTTAAATTATCACGCTACTAGTGGCTCGATTGCCATAAGTATCTTTTCGAGTTTTTCGATAGCCACTGATGTGGCCGTTAGACACGGCTCTTCGGAAAATATATTTTCTGTGCTCTCACGAGCGCGAGCGTGAAGTGTGATAATCAAATTGATTTCCTCTTCACGGTGCTTTCGAGCAACTTATTATCGGTACGCGCTACATAGCAGTGGAATGATCGAATTGATCGTGGCTCGAGAATGGAAAATGGCTTTAGAAGAAAAGAGAAACAAAAAAGAAATACTTCTCTTTTGCTGCTGCACGCGTGTGATGATCGTGAATCTGCCTGTTGCTAGCACTGATTTTCGAACGGAGAGCAAGCTGTTACAACAGTGACGGGGTGTCTTATCGTTCTGCAAAAGAACGAGCGCGAAATCTGTTAGTAGAGCCGACGTCGGATAAAAAAGAATAGCAGTCCTAATACGACGAAAGTTTCTTTCCTATCGCATATTGCTATCGAGTTTATCATCGTATCTCTTCTTTTTCCATACGATCGATCGATTCCACGCGGATTTTCGCGCAGTTTTTGCACTCGCTATCTCTACAGACATGACTATATCGCAGCCGAAGATTTATAATTATTTTCCATTGTTGGCGAAGGAGAGATTGAGTTCATTGATTCCCATATTGCCGCGCGCTCGAATAGGAAATTACTGTGTCAAGAGCGTCGCGCATGTGTGTGCGCGTGCTTCTCTTCTTTCTCAGCTATGCAATTACATATATTCGAGTCGATACTTCGACTGTCTTCGACGTTTCATTTCCATTCCTTTCCTTCGAACGAGCGTCTCCTGCCGATCAATCCGCGAAGCAACGAAGCAACGTTGCACCTCGGAGAAACGGATATACATGGCGCGCGACGCGGTGATGATGGCTATAATCGTCGCGTGTATACGATGACTGAATCATTTCGGAGTGGAGCAATCACGAAAAGTGTTCTCTTCGGATGACACCCGAACTGCCGCCGCCGCTGCTGCTGCTGCTGCTGCTGCTGCTGCTGCTGCTGCTGCTGCTGCTGCTGCTGCTTGCGACCTTGACACGTATTGGGCAACCTTACGCTCGGCGCGGATATGGTGCTACATAACATTTTATCCTCGCTGCCGATCCCAAATCCCACGTCGCATTGGCCGGTCCGAGTCGCAATTCGATGACCGACGAATACATAACCCGACTAAAGACAAGTTGTCGAAATGACGACGATCGATGGTTCCATTTTTTGCGCCGACTGCTGCTCAAAGCACCCCAGCTTCAGCGACCGTCGATTTACGATCGAGTGATCGAGATGACAATTTGAATCGCGATGAGCTAAATGGCAATAACAATAAATTCAAGTTCAGTATTTAAGCTATGTTGCATGCATATTGAGGACATTTTCTATCTGTCTATTTTATAAGAATACATTAACTTTCATCTTTGCGAGTTTTAGAAATCGAAGCGAGTCTAATCTGTCGAGTTTGAAATATTGTCATTGTCTTATTAATTGGAAAGTTATGCGGTGCTCATCACTTATCCAACTCACAATGGTGAACTGTAATTATTCGAATGCTGCGTCTCGTGGCAACGTAAAGTATATGTGTATGTTACCTCGACGACTTAATTGAACTCGGTTAAACAGTTAAAATTGAAAAAAGAAAACAACGGCGATTAGTCTTATTAACGCTGCGACGACGTATAAAGCTACGGTATTATTCAGCTAGAGATTATCCCGCATGTATGCAGGCAAAATGTTGCAATCGTCAGAAGGCAGTTGCGCGTGAAAAAACGAAGTCGCGCGCAAGACGTGAGGGGTAGACACCGTCCGTTCGCAAATCAATGCAGTTCGGCTTTTCTTTGCCGCGCCTCCTCGAATATCAGCTCCACTTCGACTGCCGTGCGTAATCTCCAATCAAAGGTCAAGCTATTTTCCACGCGGTGAATTTTCATGCCGAGACCGATAATTTTGACGAGGCGCGTGCGTAGCCTTTCAACATCCCTCGCGCAAATGGCTGCGCGGTCACAATCGCAAAGTTTTGGTCGACGACACTCCGTACAAGAGAGAAGCACGAGTGCCCGCTTTCGACGCGAGCGCGGATTCGGGCGCGATAAGCTCAAGACGAATCGACGCATCGCCGCTTTCAGGGATTCAGGGAAAGCTCAGTTTTGTCGTGGGTCATGTTGCGTTGCTGTGGCGCGACGTTCGTCGAACCGCGGCTACGTCAAGAGGGAGGCGCCGATTGACGTCGCTGCACGTTTGCCAGTGCAAACACACTCGAGGATGCGGGTCGAAAGACAGTGCAAAGCCGTGCACGCACGCTCGCGAACGTAACGACGCGATGCTGGAGAAGGAACGCGCGGAGACAGCGGAAGCTGTTACAAGCAAATTGAACGCGGTCATCGCTGGCAATCGTTGAATAATACATTTCGCCGCACTCGAGCCCCAAATCACGCGCATGTACGTCCAGCTTGATTTCTCGGCATTCGCTTGGCGCACACCGGGGAAAGCGAGCGCACCTCCCGTCGAACGATCAGCTCGAGGTACATGCGCGAGAAAGCGATTGGAGTCTGGTGTGGCCTCTTCACCCTCGCTTCTTCGCTGGGCCCAAACGTGTCCATGCGAGGCTCAAATCACTTTCTCGAACTAGTATCGAGATATACTATTTCGATAGGACGTGTGCGGGACGAGACTTGAAGCGCGTTTGCTTACCCGAGCGTGCGTCGATCGATCGAGTCCTCGTGCGCGGACTCTCGAAGTTCACTGGTCTCAGGAGGAATCGGTTATCTCGAGAGTTGCCTAGAGTGTAAGGTTAAGGATAATCACGTGCGTCTTGAACGTTGTACATATATTTGTGATTGCGAACAGCCCTAGATTTTTATAATGTCACCTTCTTTTTTTCTGTACGAGGAGAAGTTTCAATTACACGGCTTACACAGTGAAAAATTGTACATATACTTGTACACATCTTGGTAACACTTGGTGACATTAAGACGTGTCTGCGCTGCATAGAAAAAAAGATGCGTGCGTTAGTTTTTCAGCTTTCTCAGCGATCACTTCACCTTGCATGCGAGATCAGAAGTGACAAGCAACTCGTAATACCATCGCGTTCGTCAACCGAGAGCAAGGGGAAAAAATAGAGCAAAATATGAAGTAAAGAGTTTTAATGTCTGAAGTAACCCCGAAGGTTTACAGCGATTCGTCAATGTTGCAACCGATTCCCCCTCCCCCTTCCCAGAAAAGCGCGCAGGATTGGTTCAGGCGCAGCATCTCTCTTTCTCTCTTTCTCTCTTTCTCTCTTTCTCTCTTTCTCTCTTTCTCTCTTTCTTTCTTTCACCATCGTGACGATCGGTCGTGACTATTGCGCGGAGGCAGTTCACGAAAAGAGAGAGAAAGAGAGAGAGACAGAGAGAGAGAGAGAGAGAGAGAGAGAGAGAGAGAGAGAGACGTAGCCCGGCAGGCAGCCACCGTTTTCACTGCGGTTCCCCACCTCGGCGACCACTTTTAAACTTGGAAACGCCGCGCCAAGCAAGCGAGCTCCGAAGCTTTGTGTGGTGCTGCAGAGTGCCAACAGACCTCCTCCCGTGCGAGTATCGCTCGGCTTTTACAGTCGCTCGTCGACCCGCCGACCTACAGGACCACAAGTGTACATACGGTGTCCTCCTCCGCTCGCTCCTTTCCCCAAAGTGATGACTGACTCGGTCGCGACTGCGAGCTCGCATGGCCACTGCAATACGGCGTTTCGTCAGTTGATCAGCGAGAAATAGGGGAAGACAACTCGTGGCTCGATAGTGCCGTTCGAGGATGATCGACTCGGTATGATCCGCGACCGAGCACTCGTCACGATGCCTTGGTGAACGAACCACGCGCACACTCGGTCAACGCCAAACAAGGACCAAGGAGGAAGCAGTTGTCTAGTAGGCTTTGGCAACGGAACCACCGAGTCAAGATGCAAGCGAACGCGAGGATACTGTTGTTGGTGCTGCTGTCGAGCTGCGGTCGGATAATCTGCGACAGCGAAGAGACGATCATCGGCCGACAATCGATCATACCAACTATGGATTCCAGTGAACCTGCCAAAGACCATATAGCCGACGCGAGTCCTGTGCAGTTTAATCCCCGTCCAACGTCCAATTGGACGACGCTCGTCGAAGCCCTCGACATATTTAGTGCGAGAAATTTGGCGAATAACTGGGTCGAAGGCGCGTACAATTTGAATCAAGAGTGCGAGAGAGATATCACGAGATACATCGAGGGACTCAGGCGACAGGAAATTTGGGCCCTCAAGAGTGAGTTTTCTTTTCCATTCGGTTTCTTCAACTTTCCACTGTAGCTTCAACATCGATCTCGAAAAAGGAAAATTATTTTTACGATTTTCTCGAGTCTCGCCAAGAAATATCATCGTTTAATTTAGTCATCGCGTTTTAGCGCCTATTCAAGTCAAATAAACGTTCTGCCGTGGGTTTATTAAAGATGAAGTATTTACGAGGCATCGGCGCAATGTGCGAAGAGTATATTTAACGCGCACTAATTGATGTTTAACATCCGATGACAGTGACATGCAAGTTAGAGGATTGTTGGTACGGCTCGTAAGCTCAAATATAAAAAGGGCTAAGGGTCGATTGTTACGTTCAAGGTGCATACCACTTACTGTCGATATACGTGTAGCGCGAGTCGATAATGCACACGCGCTGTGAAATATTCAAGTGTCCGCGAGCGAGGGTGTCCTACTTTCCGTAGCGCACGAAATTGCCTAATTACGCGTAGAAAGAACGTCAAAAAATTATTCGCGATTATCACTGCACGTCGCGAGATGATGATGATGTTCACGAAGGTTGAGATCTCATTAGATGCAAGGAAGGAAGCCGGTCAACATGGCAACAAAGCGGAGAAAGTGAAATTTATCTTCCAAAATATTTCTCTCCAATGAGTATAAAGAAAGTCTCTTTTTTACGCGGAAATTACGGCATTCAAGTAGCAAGGATCCACGCGCGCGCTCGCGCCAAAGTTTCGGTATGCGCGAGCGCATCTCAAATTATCTACTCCGAAAGTGAAAACACACGCGTCGAATCTGCGCTCGCTCGTGAGAAATTTATAAAGATGAGTCCCGCATAGCTTCTCTTTCTTCCTATTTCTTTTTTTTTTCTTTCTTTTTTTTTCTTTTTATCTCGCCTTCCACGAGTGAAAGTCTCGCGAGGGCATCTAAACTTTAATTATTCCCGTGAAAGAGGTAAAAAAGCCAACGAGATGTACTTTTTTTTCTTCGCGGAGTCGTCGTCGAAAACATCTCATTGTGGGAAATGACGTCGAAAGCGAGCATCCGAGAAAGTAGTTGCAATTACATCTTTTTTTCCAAAAAGAAAAGGAGGTGCCTGTGGTCTCACCTTTCCATTGTCAAATATTGGCCGCACGCCCAACTTCCCGGCCGAATGTGTTTCGAAACTCAAGCCAATAGAAAGTGCGACGACGAATCGTGGCAAAAAGCGCCCAAGTTTTTTTTCTTTTCCTTTTCTTCTTCTTTTACAACGATTGTTTCGAGGAAGTTCGCCCTTCGCCCAAGGTTATCGGGATTTCGCGATGTACCTATGTAACGCGGCGATGACGGGCACGCGTAATCGGTGAAAATGCATCGGAGAAATAAAAAACGGAGGCGACATTCTACCGGTAAACCGGAACGTTACAACTGCTGGACGAGGTGCGTGACTCGAGTTACATATACATACATTACTCTGGATCGCCGGTTTTTTCTTCGGTTCTGTGTTGGTAACGTAAGCACAGACTTCGGAATAGCGGCAGTTTTGTTTTGTTTGCACAGCGCGAGATAATGTCAATTGTAAATAGTCGAGCAACAGTTGGTTTTCTCGAAACTTGGCGATTTGGTTTTCGATAAGTCAACTCGAAAGTCCGAGAGACAGATCGGCCAAAAACAATTCGCGATCGTCGCGGGCGTCGGATTCGACGTTGAGTGCCGCGTGCGCGAGTTTAACGTAATTGTCGGCGCACAGGGCAGCTGCTTATCGCGAGTCGATTTCCCGCAGCCGAAAAGTCCGTGCAACTTTCCTCGCCGGCGGCAGGCGACTCCTCAATGTTCATCTCTCGTCTAATCGCGTCTCTTTACGTAACGCTTTTAGCGAAAATTGTCGTGCTCGTCGCGACGTCACTTGACGGCGATAATAATTGAAATCATTGAGATTCTTCGTCGATTGCTTCATCTATTCATGGCGAAACTCATGATAAGGATTAATTCATCAACGTGGGTTCAAAGAAAAAAGTCTATTTTTTTTTCCTCGGCATAGGATTGTTTATGGTAATTCATTTTTTTAAAGACCCCGCGTATCTCCCGGCGAATACATAAAATCTAAGGCGCGCAGCGTTTTCAGTTTTACGATTATTCGATGCCACGCATAAACGTCGCTATTATACCGAACCGATTATCATTTCTTCCTCGGCATTTAATAGCAGACGCCACGAGGACTCTGCCGTAAGTGCAAAAGAACCGGCAGGATCTCTCGCAAGCATAGTCATCGACGGCGAAGCGAGCGTCTCGCGTGCGTGTGCAGCAGAAGAAACGTCTCTCGCTCTCTCGGCATTGCAAACTAAGTCGGCGCGACGCTGCAAAGAAAAGGAAACATTGCAACGCGTGCGCGCTCACTTTCATCGGCAGTTTCACTTTTTAGCGCGTACGCAGAAGCTCCCCGCGAACTCGCCTCCAGCGCCAAATTCCACTCTACTCCGGCGCGAACAGCTGTTCGACGCGCGTTTCGAGCTGCGCTCGGCTTTGCGTTCGTCGCGGTTACGCGTTATTATGTCTTGACGTTACGTAATTGATTTTCAATGTGCGCGAGTTACGTAAGAGACGCGGCGCGCCTGTGCTCGTTCGAGCGGGGAGGGGGTAGGCGAGGCGACGGCCCGCTAAATTTTCTGTCTGTCCGCGGCGAAACGACGCGCGCCGGGCACAATGGTCAGCGGGGTGAAGCAGCATTGACCGCGATCGCAAAGCGTTTCGCGAGCGCACGGCTCCGAATACGAAGCGGCGCTCGCGCCGAGCGAAAGTGCTTTCGCTATGCGCGCACGAGCGTGTGTCGCTTGTCGTCTCGCGCGGTCGAAACGCCAGAGCCAAAAAAGGGAGGAACAACGGAAAGAAAGAGACGAAAAAGAGAAAGGAGCGGCCCCGCGTCGTCTAAGCGCATCGTCGCGCTTTCGTTTCCCCGTTTCTCGCGTTCTTTATCATCGGCGCGCTTCTGAGACCTTGACACGTATCGCGCGCGGCGGCGGCGGCGGCGGCGGCGGCGGCGCGAGCAAATTAATAGCCGCGACAGAAGTGGACTTTCCTCGCGAAACCAATTTTATCGGCGACTCGCCGCGCCGACACGTCTGCGTCGTTGCTCAACGCCGTCGTTTCATTATTCGGAATTACGAGTCCGCGCGGGTCGAGTCGATCATTTCGACGTTGGCATACCAGGGTTTCAAAGCGATCTCGGCGTTCTCTCGTCCGCGCTGTGCGAACGCGGAAACGTTTGTTCGGCGGTAGGCGCCCGCGAATCGATGGCGACCGTGGCGCGCGCTCACATCAACGGAACGGGAGAAAGAAAAACGAGGCTCCGGTAGAGGCTCGTAGCTAGTGCGCGAATCGACGAGCAATCTCAACGATTTTCAATCGCGAGCGCTAACTGCGCCGGCAACCAGCTCGTACACGGGCAGATGTAACGAGACGGTTATATATGTTGTTCTCTCTCAAGTTGTTCGATTTTCTCGACGACGACGCGTAACGCCGCGCGCGCTTTCTCTGCGCGGCGCGCAGCCGGTGCCCGCTAATTCAGACGGCTTATATAGAAAGTAGGCAACAAAAAAATTAAGAGCGATTCGTATCGATTGCGTCATTTTCGTCCTTTTCTTTCCAACGATTCGCGACGTCGGTAATTAAGGCATTATGTACTAGACGCGATCTTGTGAAATGAGAAAGTACGTGTATGTATAATGTACATACACGCGTATTGTTTTAGAGTGCACGCGTGTTTATACAGCCGTTGCACAATGCGCCTACACACGGAGGAGAAATTGCGCCCAAACGATTTTGCGACGGGAATGTTGCAGCCGCGAACGAAGTAATTCTCATTGCCGTCGCCACCGAATCTCTATGGCGCACAAAGAAAGAAAAGCATAATCCAGCTTAGCTTGACAAAAGCATATGGAAAAATCGGCGTGACAATAATGAGAAGCACTTTCTAATCCTCGACACGCGCGCTCGTAGCGTAAAAAAGCGAAGAGCATCTACAACGCAATGTACGCGCGCGATTAATGGATGACAATTATTCACAGGAGCGTTAAGTGAAGAACAAGCATCTCATTGTAATTTTGCCGTCTCTTTCGATACGCGGCTGCGTCTATGTCTCCGTCGCAATTGCATTTTCCGATCCTCGACGCGTACGGTCTACGCCGGCGAGCCATAGGAAATGAATATAAATTGCAATGCAGTCCAGGTGATTGCGCAACGTGCGCGTGATGTATCGACGACGATCGCTCGTAGGAGCGTCAAACGAAACGCACGCACCTCGCTGTAATCGCACTGCATTTCAATGAAAGCCTCGCCTCCGTCTCTGCTTCGCCGCGCGAGGCTCCGCGCGCGAGCAATGAACATTCCGCGCATCGGGAGCATCTTCGTTACATTCCGCGACCGCGAGAAAACAAAAAAAAAACAACAGCGGCAAGTCGTCGGCGTCGTCGCACGTGCCAGGGTTCCCTCTTTGCTACTGCGCGCGTCTCTCGTGCGGATTACGTTACTCTTGCGGCCGAGGTGACGAGTCGCCGCCGCGCGATTACCTTGTTGAAGCGGGGTACGCGCTATCGTTGGACTCCGTCGCTCGCGTTGAATTATTCTCAACTGGTAACGGGCTAGCCGATCGAATTTTCGAACTCGCACGAATGCCGTGCGTTCGCGATGATCGTGCAATATTTCACATCGAAAATAATCGATTAGAAAAAACAAGTCAGGATTTTTTTGCCGGCTAATAAATCTGAACTCTCACCTACAGTATGCATGCATAAATAAGATCGGTCGTAAGCCTCTCGCGGCTAATTCGCTCGTCGAATTTGCATTTCGAAGAATACGAGAAAAAGTCACGTTCGCTCGCGGAGGAAGGACGCGCCGGACTTAGGCGGCACATTGTCCGGTCTTTGGCGATCGACCGAATTGGGTCGTTGCGACACGAAATTCGGCGAGCGCCACGGCGGCACCTTGAAATTCAGCGCGTCAGCCGGGCTGACTGTCTCCTCGCGCGCCAACGCAAAAGAGGGCGCGAATCATTGGAGTGCCGCTCCGCCGTCGGCCGATCGCCAAATCACTCCAGTCTTCTCAACTGGAGATGGGAGACTTTTCAGTTGGATCGCACCGCTAATTCGATCGAGCTTTTAACGCGAGCTCGAAGCTCTCCGAATCGCGTCGTCCGTTACACCCAGGCGCGAGGAATTTCGCTCCTTTCTCTTTCCCAATGACTTTCGCCTTACTTGCGCGTCAGCCCGCGAAACGCACCACTCGACGATCGAAACGCAGGGGTGCTCGGCCACGCTGTCCATCGAGATCGCTCTTCTTTGTATTTTTTTTTCCGTGACAATCGACAGCAGGTGGAATTCCTTTCCGCGTGGCAACTAAAGGATATAGAAAGTCGTCGATTTGATCGATTTGGGAGATCTTGACTCGATCCACGAGACGCGTGCTTCAGCTTCGCCGATCGCTGTGGCGCTTTTTCTACAAGCCGGATTCGAGGTGAGTCGCGTAGTTCAAGTCAATGGAGTGGCAAACAAGAACGTAAATAACTTCAACTTGGTTTGTCAGCCGAGGAAAATAACCATTAGCCGCGGTCTTTTTGCCGGAAATGGAAAGCGAAATCGATCGGACGGGCGCCATCAGCACACGCGTACTCGCGTAGCGATCGCGAATAGACGGTCGTTGTTCGCAAAAGTGAAAATGCTCGTCGGCGTACGGATTCGCCGACGAAGACGAGCCAAGAGTCGTTTTTCTCTCGTTCATTCCTTTTTCTTCGGTTTTGTTGCGCAACGCCGCTGTATAAGGCGTATTATTAGGCGTCCATCGTAAATTTTCAAATGCATATTATCATGCGCGGTCGCGCGTTCCGTCATCCGGCCTCGATATATCGGTTGCAAGGCAGCACGGGCGGCGGCGGCGGCGGCGGCGGCGGCGGCACGCGCGGGTGAAAACGCTCGTCGCAAGTGTCGCGCGTCGCGATCGTCCGGCGTATAATCATTCTCCCCCGTGGGCTTTTCGTCGCGCATGGAAAAACAAGCGAAAGTCCTCGCGTGCGCGGCAGCACGTCGTTCGTTACGGTTTGTTTGATTTGTTAATGAACAGAGCGCGCTTTTCGCGAGGACGACGCCAATTTCGAAAGGCTTCGCTTTTCGGAACGTGCCATTATCCTCGTGCCCGCGAGCTACGTAATTGATATGTCGCTACGCGAGAATGGATTACGGTTCTCCAGAGATTTAGCAAACCTTGTACTATGGACGGCGCGGCCGACCTCGGGATAGGCTAATCAAGTAGAAGGATGTTTGCTCGATTCACCTTTCTTTTTTTTTTATTCGGACGTTTTTTTCCCGTCGTGTTAATAAACAAGTATACAGTGTATAAAACGTCGGACAGCTACACGATAAATAAAGATAAATATAGAATCTTGCGTACCTTATGCGTTTTATTCATCGCTAAACATGCTAATTAAATCGCCATTCTCTATTGTACAAAATGACAGAATCAATTTCATCTCGCTAAAGTTCATCGTCCACATCTAGAGGCCGTGTCTATCAGAGTTTGATTTGATGGCCGAAGGCCGTCGAACTGTTAGATCAGAACCGCGGGAAAAACCATTGTTGGACGTTCGTCCTCTGTTCGGCAAGCGGATGTATATACACTTTGCGAAGGACGATTTCGCGTAAATTTTATGTTATTTATGAATTTCGTTGACTGCCACCTTCAAAGCTCTCCGCGCTTCGTAATCTTTGGAATGTCGTCGCAATCCAGTCGATTATTTTTCAATGCCGAGGGATTGAGTACAGCAGCGGGCCAAGAAAAGTAGCATCAATTATATTTCTAGGCGCAACCTCGCTCCTCGCAAGTTCACCGATCGTAATTTGCCGTGGGAAGGTGCGGAAAAACGTTGCACTCATCGCATAGATATACAGCTGGGGCGATTAATGCAACAGGCCCCTGAACTTCAGCCAACGCCGCGGTCGCCTCGACAGTGAACGTTGAAACCGGCACGCGCGATGCTTTTTCAATCCGATCGGCAGATTGATAAACCGGTCGCTGCACAAGCTTGGCCTACTCGGTTTCGCGATCGCTCGATCGCGCAAGCAGTTGCAAATAGGAGTACGCGGATCGCGCTCGGCTTTCAAAAGGAAAGAATGTCGTAGCCGGGGCTGCGCGTCGCGAAAGGACATCGAGCGATCTCTTGCGTTTCCTTCCTTCGGCAAAGTACTTTCCGCGAAGAGCGCATTCCGTCTCCGTTTCGTCAGGTCCGGAGTAGAAGCCAGCCGCGGTTGTACGCCAGCCGCGAGCAGATATCGATCAGTTTACGTAAATCTCGACCACGTAAGCTTTGCATAACCGGGCGCCGCTTGCGCGCGCCGGCCAAATGACAGCGCTGCCGCAGCCTCGCGTGCACGCGAGCACCCATTTCTCGCGTGTCTCGCTATTCACCGGACACGTGTCCATTGTCACGAATATCGAGAAACAACGCGCATGCGAGTTCATCGAACTATTCGTAGCTCCGGTTTTGCCTGCGCCGCGCGCAAAAAACCGCAGATTTGTCGCCGCGTTAGATAAGAATCTCTCGGATAGAAAGTACGAGATTATCATCGTTACGTAATGTGCATTACGATCATTGCGGGTAGGGGAATCGTTGCACAATAAATCTTTGCGACGCTGGTCGACATGCGCGCTTATGGTTATCATACGTATTTGACGATATTGACAGTCCAAATAGCTGACGTCTCGTTAACCTGTGATTGTCGCTTTTTCACTTGCGTACCTTTCATTAATTACGGACACGCGACGGCGAAACGCGTGATTGACGCGGTTCACGCCCTATCCATCAGTTACAGACCTATTTTCGTCGATCTGTTACTTCGGTAGACCATCGTGCAACAGACGATTTTCTACATTGTCATTTTGCTGAATGCCCATTGCTGTATTGCCATTTTCAAGCATTCACGGCAGTAACATTTTGATATCGAATGACCCTGAAAATATAGATGCTCGTGCACTAAATTGTGGAATTATACTTGTAAAGCATATGAATATTTGGGTATGTTTAAAATTGCTGAGAAAAATTGAAAAAAATAGAGTCCAAATTATTCGAGATCTCGAATTATTAACCACTTGACTCGTTTCAGTTGACTTATTAATGGCTTTTAGCGGTATAAATTTAAATGTTGATAGCAATAAGGTCATTCAATCTATGTACCCTCAAACACTTGTATTTGAAGAGCGTTCGAGTGCTTCTGGGTCAGGTGTTTTTGAAGAAACGAGCAAATATAGGGAAAAGATCGCGTTCAAATAGGCATACCACATGTGTGTTAAGATCGAAAAATTTCAAAGTAAAATGTCAAGGTTAAAGCCGCTTTCGCTCGTCGCGTGTATCAATTCTCTTGACCCCACAAAATAATTCTGCCTCACGTTTTAATTATAAATGATTCTCAGATTTGTATCGAGCAGAGAGTGGCTCGATCGCGCTCGCTAATCAGCCTACGGAGAGTGAAAATTAAAATTCTTTCGTTTCTCACGACGTGTCGTGCGGTTATCAGGGACTGTCATAACGATTTTTCAAGTTGACGTACGTATCGTCTCGAAAATTATCAGAATTTTTTGCTTCAAAGTCAAACGTCGTTTCGACAGCCGTGCTAAAGTACTTTTCGAATTTGTCGATGGTCGCGCCCGCAGAGAAAGTGGTCGGCACTGATACGGCACCTACGCAAACGTACTTTTAACGAATGGAACATGTCGCTAGTTCCGTCTATAAAAAAAAAGGTCGCTAGGATTTTAAGCGTTTTCCAAAAGTGAGCGGTGATTCAATTGTTTCGACATGTCTGGCTTCGATCGTTGTTCGGATATTTCATTGGGCATCTCCAGCCTAACCGCGGAAAGAAAGACAGCTGAAAATTTAGACGATTGCTAATGAATCATGATGTGTATTTTTGAAAGCTGACATGATTAAGATGATTTTGTGTCGAGCAACATCGTAATGTGAAGTCTAACGGATGCTAGACCACAAACATTGATATTGAATAAACATTAAGAGCCGTAAGGATCTACCGAAGTATCACAAAGAATATTGGAGATTCGTCGTAATGATTCACCGTTACAATAGTCGTCTTAGCGCCATGCAAATGAAATGCCCGAAAACGTGCTATCGAGCTCCCATTGTTACATCGGAACCGCTAAGCACGATCATTAGCTACAGACGATCGCAGCTTCTCGACCGCTGTACGCGTATAAAACCTCATTGCTTTCTATGACGTCGGCGAATAAATTTCATCGCGATAGCCATCGAAATTTATTCGTCTCTTGGTAGGAATGACTTTCACGCGCGGACCACCACCACGGCCGGGCCTCGTAGAAATTAGGTTAACAACGGTTGTAGAGTGACTCACTTCTTTGAAAATAGGAGAGCTTCGCGCGGTTGATGACACCGCTTGCAAAAGAAGAAAAGTACCTTTGAGCCTGGGCGTAACTGTATTCCTATATTGGAGTATTTGTCTAACCTTGTAGCCGATTTTATAGCGTAGTTTCTCACTGAATTCAGAAACGACTGTCTGCGTTATCAATTCGTACGATTGAGCTTACTTTGACAATTATGATGTTTTTGTATTATAGCATTCTCGTGATATCCTTTAATGCGAATAAAAAACATTTATCGTGTGATTTGAATTTTCAGTGGACGACGCGACGGGTCGTTACACGAACGGCTTCTATTGGGGCAACACGTACTACGTGGGCTCGGCATCGGAATGCGAATTTATCGGCCAGGGCACCTCTCGATTGTCGTCGACGGCATCGGTGAGCGAAGCCGAGGAGTTCAACGCCGAGCCGCACAGGAAACACGCCAATGGTGGACACAGTGGCCAGTTGCTCGCGCTGCCCGACGACTTCGATGACCGACCACCGTATCCACTCGGATTTTTCATGATGAGGATCGCCGTCAACGGATCTTTCTCACCCGTGGTATGGTCAGCGAACGACGCTGGAACATTCGGCATTTAATAATAACGTGGCTCAGGCGTTTTATTTTCAGACTATAAATGTTAACACTCGTAGAAATTTACTTTTGAGAAACTCGCGCTTATTTTATCCTTCGCCACGCTTTTTACTTTTCAAAAATGTTATTATGTAGGTTACTTAGCCTCACTCGACAGGTTATTCAGAGAAAAAAATTGCACCTTTGAATATAATCAAACTTTCGTTTTGTTCGCTTGCCGAAGCTGAAACCGTGCCCGCCGTGACACGATCGAAAGGCCGCGCTCTTGTGATCAATTTTCGTTCGTTAATTAATCGGAAAATTGGAAAACGGAAAACCACTCGCAACTCTCACGCCCAATGGTACATGAGTCGAAAAAAGATCAAGTTTCAATTGCCAATTGGTTGGGGTTAAAAGGAACTTCATTGCAGGGTATTTAATCGTGCAGCGTATCAGGGCACGCGAAGCGTAATTCGTTTTATTAGGCGACTCTCCATCTTCGAAAGAGAAAAGCCTTGGGCCGTAGGTGTGCGGTGCAGTAAACGTCGCGTCGATCGCGAGACGCGGCTGGAATCGAGCAGCGTCTCGAGCCGCTGACGCGGCAATTTTTCCGAAAGTCACACGTACGGCGGGTTTTCCAGACGAGACTGCTGCACCTGGGCGCCTGCCTGCCGTTCTCCTGCGGCGCCGCCGACGTGGCCGTGATCGCTCGACTGGCAGCCGGCGACAATGCCGCCAGGCACTCGTACGTCGAGAGAGTCCGCGACCAGCGCAACGCCTACGACATGTACGCCGACGGCGTCTTCTGGATCTTGTTGTGAGTGGCCTCGCCGAAGCGAGCTTGCCCGCTCTCGACCTTACTCACGCGCTTCTTTCGCTCGCAGCGGCGTGAGCGCGGCCGTGCTGTTCCTGCTGATCGCGGGCACGAGCTACGACGTCTACTCGGCGAAGAAGATGGCCCGCAAGCAGAACTCGTACGACCTGGAGAAGCACGTGAAGCTGGAGCAGCTCGCCAACGGCCACGCCAAGATCCGCAACGGTAACGAGTAACGTGTAACGAGTAACGAGTAACGAGTAACGAGTAACGAGTAACGAGTAACGAGTAACGAGTAACGAGTAACGAGTAACGAGTAACGAGTAACGAGTAACGAGTAACGAGTAACGAGTAACGTGTAACGAGTAACGAGTAACGAGTAACGAGTAACGAGTAACGAGTAACGAGTAACGAGCAACGAGCAACGAGCAACGAGCAACGAGCAACTCACTCGAACGGTGGTCGCACGCGCCTAACAGCAAACTGGCGAACTGTCTCGCGTTAACCGTTTCACCTCGCGACTAACGAGAGAGGCCTCATCGATCCTTGCCGCTGGTTGACCTTCGTGTTTTTGTCTGTTGGTCGATCGTCGGCGAACACGCGTGCAGCCTCTCAAGGTACGGCCTACATTCCTGTTCCAGTAGCCGAGCCCGTGGTCGTCGGACCGCCGGTCAACAACAACAACGACCACGAGGGCAGCCTGCGCTCAGCCACGCCCGACCCGACGAAGCCGAGTGAGTGCGCGCGCTCCGGATCCGCGATGAGCTCGCGCCGCTCGACCCGACTGACCCGACTGACCCCACTCGTCCGACTGTTCGCAGGCGTCTGGGAGGAGCTGCTGCTGTCGTTCTCGATACGCGCCAACGTCCGCGTGATCTGCGAGGGCGAGGTCGGTCGCGACACCATAAGCACCATCCACGGGCTGCGCGCCATCTCGATGGCCTGGGTGATCCTCGGCCACACGTGCATCGTCGTGTTCAAGTACTCGGACAACATGGAGTACCGCAAGGTGGTGCAGAAGCGCTTCCTCTTCCAGACCATACAGAACGGGGCGTTCAGCGTGGACACGTTCTTCTTCATGGGCGGGCTGCTCGTTAGCTTCCTCTACTTCCGCACCAACGCCAAGGGCGACCTGAACAGACTGACCCAGGGCACGCGCGGCTTCGTGGCCGGCTGCCTCAAGTTCCTGGGCTTCCTGGGCTACCGGTTCAGCCGACTCACCGCGCCCTACATGTTCGTCCTCGGTGTCACCCAGATATCCATGAAGTGGTTCCACCACAACTCGGTCTTCGAGCCACCCTCCGCCGACCACGAGAACTGCCCCAACTACTGGTGGAGGAACCTGCTCTACATCAACACGCTCTATCCCGTGGACCAAATGGTAAGCGAGCGCTCGCGAGCGACCACGGCGCGTTCGCGCGGCCTCATCGCCGGAACTCGTCCGCTTGCAGTGCATGCTGTGGAGCTGGTACCTGGCGGACGACACGCAGTTCTACGTCGTGGGCGCGGTCATACTGATCCTCGCGACCAACCACTTCCGGATCGCGGCGAGCGCGCTGCTGGCGCTGATGGTGAGCTCGTGGATCACCACCGGCTACATCGCCCTCGTCAACAATCACATGCCCCACACCGACGACCCGCTGGCGCTCTTCGACAAAATCTACGACAAGCCCTGGACCAGACTCGGCCCTTATCTCATCGGCATGGCCGTCGGCTATTACCTCTTCAAGACTGACTGCAAAGTTCACATGTCCAAGGTGAGTGCGCGCCTGATCCTTCTTCCCTTCCGCACCCCTGCCTCCGCAAAGACCACGTCCGATCTCCGATTGCAGGCCACCGTTTTCATTGGCTGGCTGCTCTCGACCGCCTGTCTGCTGAGTTTGCTCTACGGCCTCTACGAGGCTGAGTTATCCGCCGCGGCTGGTGCTGCTTACTCGTCCTTGAGCCATAGCGCTTGGGCTCTCGGTTTGGCGTGGATCGTCGTGGCTTGCAGTACCGGATACGGAGGTTAGTCAAGCCAACGCTTTCCACTGAGACGCGCTAATTATAAAAATGTGCTCATCTAGACCTTTCAATATTGCAGGCTACGTCAATGATATTTTATCAGCCCCGATACTCTACCCATTCAGTAGAGTCACTTACTGCGCTTATTTGGTTCATCCGATTGTCATCAGACTGACAGCGATGAACATGGACTCGCCCCTTCACTTAGGGAAAGATAGCGTAGTAAGCGAAAATTAAGTTTCACGCGTCATCTTCATTTTCTTCGATTACATGTCTGTGTGTCATTTCAGATGATCACGTTCTTCGGACAAGTGGTGGCGTCGTACATTCTGTCTTTCGTCATATCGATATCGTTCGAAGCCCCAGTAGTCAGTATGCTGAAGATTTTGTCACCAAAGAAGAGAACACGCATCTAGTGAGAAGAGATTGTTTCTCTTTTTTTTCTTCAAATATCGTTCGTCACGACGAAATACACTTTTGAGTAATCACGACAGTACGACAGTACACAATGTTATGTATCTGATAATAACGTGCGAGTTGTACAAAAAAAATGAAAGAGGTTGTTGTTGACCAAAACGCTACGGTAAATCCTTAGTCGTAACTATGTTTTCTGTTTTTTATGTGTAGCGTTCGTATATAGGTATGTAAAATAAATTATTCGCCTTTGTATAAATGATTGTCTCGGTACTCACTCCGAGGAAGCCTTGGCTGTATACCTATTAATTAATTGTATTATGGAAAGTTTAAAGTTAAGCGTGTTTTATTTCTTTAATGTTAATTCAAACGTCAAGGGTGTCGATGATAACAATCAACTGTTTGTTTAAAATTTGGCATCGCTGTAAATTTTACATTTTTACAAAGCATAATAATTACATGATTGTAGATTTTTAATTTTTATTTTAGAATTTATATAAAAAACTTAATATAATTTTGTTTAATTAAAGAGCCTTTACATTATCTAGAGAAGACAGTCTTATTTTAAAAATAAACCATTTAAATCATTATGATGCTCCCTCAATAGCGATTTCCGTAATTGTCTCGACAAAGAAAGGTCCTTCACTAACGAACTTCTTGATCCTCTGCATTGTTGTAGCATCGAAAATGTTTGGCACAGAGTCCGATAGATTTTTCACGACTTCAAATTTAGCTTCCTTGCATTCCTTGAAAGACTCCACATTCCTGTCCAATAAAAATTCAACTAAGCCTGGATGATTGGCAATATATTCTTGACCCCATTCTTGAGCTCCAATAACAGCTAATACTTCCAAACTTGCTTGTCTAATATCAGCAAATGGTTGTCTGCACAGAGATGAAATGATTTCTAATGGTTTTTCGCAGATTTCATCAAACCATGATTTTGTCAGTGATAATATTCTATTATCTTGCTCTGCCTTTGGTACACTCAATATAACAGTCAAATTATTTAATCCACGCACTCTGAGTTCTGAAGGCATTTTTTGAATAACATCTCCAATTTTCTTTAGAGCATTAAGCATAGGATATCCTAGATCTTGAAGAGCATATTTACCTTTTACTGTTGTTGATATGTAACCTAATGTGTCTAATGCAATTGCCAAAAGGGTCTGATCATTGCTTTCAATGACTTCAAATAGGGCAGATATGACCGGGGGATATCTTGAAAATATGTCATTCGGACATAATTGAGCAACATTTCCAAAGAATTTCATTAGACCAGGGATGAGTAAACTTGAAAGCGGTGTCTCATGAGCTTGAGCAATTTTTTGTGACAACTGCTGCAACACACCATGTTGCTCCAAATAGTTCAGACCTTCCTGATGCAAAGCAAGTGAAGTCAAAGTTTCTAATGCATTCAGTTGCAACAAAATATCATCATTTTCAAGTTTATCAATAAGACTTTGTAAAAAGCCTGATTTTATTGAAGCCTCTAAACACTCTTTGCTATGATTTGCAATATCAACTATAACTTCATAAACTCTAAATGTGACAACATCATTGGTTTTTAATAATTTGGCAATTGTCCTTAGCAATTCACCTTCATATAATGTTTTCAACCCATCGGGATTTCTACCAATTTTTTTCAAAATGTCCATTGAATGTTTTGCTACGTCAAGGTTATTGTCTGCCACTGTTTGAATGACATGTAAAAGTAGATAAAGTTTTGTTAACAATAATGGTAATGAATTTGGATGTGATGCTACTCTGTCAATTTCTTGAAGAGCTAATATTTTAAGAGCAGCTTCCCGGTGTGTTAATAATTCACGTAATTCTCGAGTGTAGCGATGTAAGAATTGACCTGGCTCTGCAGCCTTGAATAGAACAGTTAGAGCATCGCACAGTTGCTCTCTAAAATCTCTGAAAATAGACACAATAAAATATTGTACAATATTGCATTTTTATAGCGATAAGATAGAAAATGTGCTAAATTAGAACATATATTTACTTGTCGATTGCGATGAGTTGACAAAGCAACCTCGCTAAGTCCAAATTTCTTGTGATTTCTACAGCTTCATCAGGATCTAAATTTGCGAATTTGATCTTTATTTCAGTTAACACTTCTTCTCTTTGCTGTACGTTATATAAATCGCTAAAGTGATTTAATTTCATTGCAATCCAATCTGCCATTCTTGACGATGACTCGATCACTTTGAATTCGCTTTGAGTATAAAGCAGGGAGTAAGAGCAGGTAAGAGAGAAGGAGGCACAACTCATATGGCCGCTGAGCCAGAAAGCGGTACGATTTTGTCGGCGAAGATCGCGACGGAATAGCCTACCCCTCGCTAGTTTCAGACCCCCCTCGTGGTTGACGCTCGTACTATATTAGCGAGCTGTTTGACCGACAATTTACCTACTAAACTCGTGTGCATCACCTTTATTTTCAGAGCATACACAGTTTGTTTAAACGTCACAATGTAATATTAAACAATCGCAGTTAATTTATAACAATTATACAAAGCCTAAGCACCTTTAACCTAAACCTATAAACTTAATCACAAGCTCCCACCGGGGATCCGCAACTTAAATATAACCTTCAACCTTTGTACAGTGATGAAGACACGTTAGCCGTAAGGCTAAGGTTTCTGTTCCGTGATCACAAGATCACGGGGTCGAATCCTGGTATAATTTTTTTTTTTAGTTTTTTGGCATTTATGAATCATTACCAGTAATATAACCAAGCAATTTAATACTTATTGTCGATGACCAAATTATATACTGTAATACTTTAATTCTCGTTTATGAAATGGGATTTGTTTTGTACACAACAATTTCATAGCATTTATTTAAACATTAAATTCTTGAGGTCGGTGCTGACACCACTCGGGCGACAACGCAAGAGTGCAACTGCAAGCTGTCTAAGTACTCCAAGCTGTGAATTCTGAAAGCTCTTGCAGTACCGGGCTAGTAAAATCACTAGATGATTGCGATTTCACTGCTCTGAGAATAGGTCCGTCTGGTGTCCCACTCTCAGACTAGTAATTTTACAAATATATTTTTTACAGTGTGGAAAAGAGGCTAGAGTTTCCAAGTCTATATTTGGGTGAATGCGTGTGTAATTTTGCAGAAAATAAGAAATTGTAATATGAATTGTAATTCTAAAAGCTGTAAAAATTAACGAGTACAAATATTTCATAATTTTTATATTTATATCGTAATCGAATTAGACAATACATATAAAATATATATAAAAAAGAATATATATTATACTGTTTTATTAACAAATGTAAAGCACATGATATGTCAAAGTTGTATGTACACTATGAGGTATATGTATAGTGTATACATATGTATGTATAGTTTCTGTATACTGCATTCTGTAGAAAACGACGACCATCTTTAAAAATCTATGCATTTCATGCCGGGATCAGCTATTGTGAAGCATTGTTAGGTGTTCAACAAGAATCATAAAAAAGGTAAGAATAATAATACGTCTGAACATTTATTCACTTTCTGAATGATTTTGCCGCAACGTATAAATTCATTATTTACTTTTGTTCATTAATTTTTCATGTTTGACGTCCATTAGATGCACTTATAGAAAATAAAACGTGCCATTGCGTTTCTATCAATGTGGTAGCCATATTCCATTCAGAATTCACTCGTTGAATATTTTGCATGCAAATATGTTGCGTATCTAATTGTAAATAAACGTAGTGAGATCTTTGTTTTCTAAATTCTTACCCTGTTTAGAGACATTACTTTATGAACAAAGCATCAGAAAATTTCAAAATTTAGTTATTTTGCATTTTTTCAGTTTCTTTTGATGCAGTAGCAATTTAATTCCATCTATATTAATGCATAATGTGCTCTTCTTTGACTGACTTGGAGGATCTGTTATTAAGTTTACTTTTAGCTGATAAAATGCCGTCAGACTTTAATAACAGTGTGTTGGAGACGCAGTTGCGTCGGTTTCTTTATATTGGTAAAGAAAAACCTGAATACCAACCTGGAAATTGGTTTGTGCACCAATATTATTTAGTGAAAAATATCCCATCCATTGACGAATTAGCTGGTGATCCAATCAAGCATTACAAGATAGTTAATAATATTGTGGCGGTAAAGATCTTTAATTGATTTTTCCTAGTGAAATGTGGCAATTAGAATTTACATCCTAATTAATTATTTTATTTTTTAGGCAAAAAACAAATGTCTTGTACAAAATAATGAAACATTAGTATTCGCTCTTGCAGTTTGTGCACAACAGGAAAAGAATCATACTCTTCGTAAGAGTGCATATGATGCTGTAAAGATAATTTGTGACACCCCAGAACGTTTTATTTTGTTCAACAAGTTTTGCTCTCAAATCAGTAAACAGAAAGATAATCCAAAAAATGGCTGGGGCCATGGCTGGAGAAGAGCAGTTAAGGAGTGGTATCTCTCTAAGTCACCTATGGAGCTTGCAAAAATTGTAACCCAATACAAGAGTAGGTATGGATGGAAGCATAAAGATATCATCAAATTAGCTCATGTTCCTACGAGAAAAGATGGTATAATCATTAACTTATGCTTTTATTTTTGACAAATATGAGAATATTAATGCTTGAAATGATATTTTAGGTTTAGATTTAGTATTGAAATATGTATTATATGGTTTAAAAAAAATCAAAGAAGGTTTTGAGTATAATGAACAGAGTACAGGAAATGAGGAATTAATCAAATATTTTGAGTCAATTGAATACTTTAAAAATTGTCAAGATGAAATTAGAGTAGCTGCATTAGTGGAATCTTTAAATCTCACCCTAGATCATATTCCTGGGCATATGTTGAAATCTGAAGAGGTAATAATAATTGTATTATTTTACTTAAATGTAATTTAGAGATAATACATTGATGTGCATATTTTTATTCAGGTATGGAATGCACTAGTTTCTTCAATGAATTTGACTGATTTGTTAAAAAACCTTCAAAGAATTCATAATTTGGGATTTCTTAAACCAAATGGGATAATAGTAAGCAAAGTAATAGACATCATGAGTGAAAAAAATGTCACCGATGAAAAATTACATCCAGCTGTATTTTTAGTTACTCTGAAAAACTACGAAAATTCTGGCAAGTGAGTATTAATTCGATTATTGAAATTTTAAAAAGTACACTTTGCAAATTGTACAAATTAATACATTTACGTATATTGCAGGCCACTGTCATTTGAAAAACGAAAGGTTAAAGAGCAAGCAAAGAGACCACTTCCACCTCCTCCAAAGGTCAACAAAAAAATCGTGGATACTTTGACCAAAATGCTGAATTATTCTTTCACCGTAAGATACTCAAAATTAAAGCTTCTCTAGTGGTGTTTAGTTTATATTTCTTATTTTTATCATTTTATATCAGACCCTGCAACCTACCAATGTTCGCTACATGATTACCATCAATATGAATAAAACAATGTTGGATAATGGATGTTGGCAATGTGGCAACGTGAACGCCGCTGAGGCTGGTTGTTTGATTGCCCTATCTCTTCTTCGAGCTGAAAAGAGTGTCACCGTAGCAATCTTCACGGACAACGGTATTCAATGCGTCGATGTGGATATGAACTCAACACTAGTTCAGATGATGAGGAAGTTGGAGCCGACGAATGTTGAAGCCATCGACTTAAGTAAACCCATGCTGTGGGCTGCTAAAGAAAACAAGAGCATCAACGTTTTCATCAACGTCGTTGATCAGATCTATAAGAAGTCAGATTCTTCAGAAGAGGGCATTAAAGCATACAGAGAAATAATGAATATACCAAAAGCAAAGTAAGTTTTCAGAATTGTATTTTATTTATTAATATGGCATATAATTCTATTAATGATATTGCATGTATTGGCAGATTGGTAAACTGTGCCATGTGTGCCTCATCGACATACGACAAACAAGAATACGATACAGATATTCTTACTGTATGCGGGTTCGATGAAAAGGTACCTAAAATTATTGAAGCTTTTGCGCGATCTTATTTTTAAGACATCATCCGACGACGAAAAAAGTAAGCAGCGCTTTTTTAATCAATTTGTTAACATTTCATATTTTTCTTTGCTTCATGACGTTTTTATAAAATGATTCTTTTCTATTTTTTCCTTGATTATTTGTGGTAATTCTAATAGCATATGTGCTATTGATCAACGGACAAGGTTAAGAAACAAATTCATACAAAAGTGTTCAACATTATATTTTATTTTCAACTTACGTTATTTAAAAAGAAATATTTAGTTATACTTAGCATTAAATATATAGGATTAGGTAAAATAATGCAAATTACTCAGAATTTACGTAAATACAATTTATTTTAATATTTCTAAATTTTACTCCGATTCGAATTTAAATTAAGCATAAAATAATGGTATCAAGTGATGAATCAGCGTTCAAAATTACGTAACTAATATATAAAATGAAGTAAAAAATAAATCGTTTTTTTCCACCTATTTCGACGATAAAACTCGCATTGTACTCTAATAAATAAAAAAATATTTAAAAGTGCGTCATGGGCATGCGCAAATTCTGACGTTGATTCTACTTGTAAAAAAATATATCGACGTAATCGAATCGTCTAACATCGCTATGATAACTCAATTATAATTACATGTTTATTAGCGAATAATATGAAATTAAGCTGTGTGCGGGTTGTTTAATCAATTTTTTTTTATGTCTGGTTCGATGTTATTTTTTTAATTTTTATACTTATTAGTTTATCAGAGTTAAGAATCAGAGTGCCCTATAGTGTATGTATATAAAAAAAGCAAGAAAAAAGTTACACAAAATTTTATTAAATTAAAATTAAAAAATGAATACCGAGCTTGTTTTTTAAAATAGTTCTCAATGAAACTACTTGTACTTCACAAGAGCAAATAAGAGTTTTTATATTGTTTGTTAAATTTAAGTGAAGTAATGAAAAAAACAAAGAACCCGTTTGCACGGCAAATCATTAGTATTAAGACTGGATATTAGATAACTAGAGCATATCCAAGGTAATCTATGGTGCATTTCTTAATAGAAACAAGGAATACAAAATAAAAGAACATACAGATAAGTGAAAAAATCCTATTTTGAGTTCAAACAGCTCGCTTATTTTGCCGATATATAAGCTGCCTACACAGCAAGCAAACACGCGAAAAAGATGATATTGAACGGAAAAATAAAAAATACTTTTCGTATGATATTTGCATAACTCAACTCGATAGAAGATACAAAAGATGGTACAGATTCAAAGCTATAACTTAAACTACGATTAAACGCATTGTGTGGACTAGCGCGCCTCTGCCGATTAGGAAAAAGTACGCTACAAAAAAGAATAAAAAACGATAGGAATTTCTGACTACTTGGTGGTTTAAAAAATACTATAGAAAGAAAAAATTTCCCACTGTGATATGCATTTAGCCCCAAAGAGTATAGACGTACATTAGTATAATTTACTATTATCGTCATATTTGCCATATCCAAAGTGAAGGAAAATGAGAAATAAACTAATTACGCTACTAATATAATACTGTGATACAAGAATACAATGTTTATATTGTTCAAGGTAGTTGAAAAATAAAATGGTAAATAAATAAAAAAAGGCAACGGATGGCTAAGATAAACGTTTATACATTAGTCAGAGGCGCGCTCGCACAGTTCTCCACACACTGATTTGTTGATTAATGTTGATGGCATGTTTCGATTTTAGCGCATAAATTTTGTTGAAACGTAAGCGATTAAAAAAAAGATAAACGTAAAAAGTATGAGAATTTGGTATCCAGCAGAGTATAGTAATTAAAAGGCGAGAGACGAAAGAAAAAAATTAACGAAGCTTGCAAGCCTCGAACCTCGAGTGACAATTCGCGTACTTTCGAATGTAGGGTTCTAAAACTTTTTTGATAAATTTGTACACTGACTTGATAAGCTTGTGACACTTGCGAAAGTAACACTATCAATCAAGTAACTTTATTAGACAATTATGAAAAGTAGTGTCATATAAGTAGTTCCATTCTCTTCCTGTGATTATTGCCGCCCTTTGTACTTGTAAAAAATAGTCACTGTGTATTTTGATATTGCATTACGTTTATTTATTATTATACGTATACACGTTGCCAACAAATTCGCAGGTGTCGCGAGAAATCATAAGCGTGAATAAAAGATAAAAAAACAATTGTTAGAACGCTGCTTCGCTCACTCTTATGCAAAAAAACAAAGACGTAAGATTCTCATATGGCTGTGTCCTGCAAACGAAGTCTGTCCTACGGTGTAAAATTCACCCGATTCGTACAACACTTTGCAGTTTGTTCTCTTCTTCGCCGATGACATTCGAGGTTCTTGACGCTCATTTACAGATTTACATACACCAATACACACACACACACACACACACACACACCATATGTACGCATAATTTCTCGTACGTGTAAAAGAAAAACACTTTCTTATATATAATATAACAATTAATATTTCTTAACAAAGAAATGAAAAATACACACATACGATAGGTCGTAAGCAAATATATGTATATGAAATTTCTCTTAGCGCGCAATCGAAAGAGCGACAAGGAAGAAATTTGAAATGATAAACGATATTTCTTGCTGATCCATTATTAAGTAAAAAAATTTATAATCTTTCCTGAGACAAAAAATAATACATACACATACAGTTCGACTGCTTGAATAGGCGTGATAATTCTGTCACATTGGATTACGAGGGTATAATAGTATTTTTTAGAAAAATTTTTCCTAAACAATGAAAAAGAAAAAATGGAAAACATAAGAATGTTTTGTGAAAAACAATGCGCTTAGAGAGATTATTTACAGATAAAAGACGATATTGCAAATCTCGTTGACCATAAGGTATTTAAATTGATAGTAATAATTAATTAATCATTACAATGTAACACTTTCCTTTGTTTTTATAAGTAAACGGTCACTTGGAAGAAAATGTTTAAAAAAAGAGTAGGGGATTAATATTGTAACGAGTACGATTATAATAACACTATATAATATGCATTGTATCTTATTAGGCAGGTACTTTTGTGCTACGTCTAAAATCGCTCTTTAACGTATATTATAATAAATATAGTTAACCAATTTATTTGTCTCGCCTGCTTAAAGCAGCAAGTTGCGTACGCTACATTCATACTTCTTAGAGATAGCTTTAACGATATAAAAAACAAAATACATGCACTTTACGTGTTATATCCATACCTAGTTGACGTAAGATGTTCATCGACGAGGAAGTTTCAGCTTTGAGTTCATAGCTCAAAAAGTCAAAGGCGAAGTTCGCGGGAGTGTTTATAAAGGGCATTCATGGGTAATCGAAACTGTTGTTTAGGGCAAGTGAAAAAATATCGTGACAATAATGTTGAGAATTTAGGATCTCACTTCGATTTCCGTTGCGGATAAATCTCTGGCGACATTTTTGACAAAAAAATGAAAACAATTGTTTCATCAGATTGAACGGCATTCAGCGAAATTGGGAATGTTCCGAGCTATAGAAAAATTACTCAAAGTTGTTAATATTTTTTATAATTAATGTTAATATATCAACAAAACGCGAACTCTCGATGCGAATTCGCCCCATGAAAAACACTCGTCGATAATATATTCAATATACAATTACACGTGTACCCTCTATAGCAGTAAGTTTTAACTAACTTTGAGAGGAGAACAGGAGAATTGGTAATATTTATTCCAAGTCACCGACGACGAGGCTCGTGGTTAAGGAGAAAAATTTCTAACCGACTGAAAAAAGGAAATACTCGATGAGTCGATGAGTCGTCGATGACTTACTTGGCACTTTCTGTCGCTGTAAGGCCATGTTTTTATTACATTATTCATTGTAATAATTATAATATTAATAATAATAATTATTATCATATAAAAGAAGAGGGAAGGTAGTGTTTAGTGAAAGTATATTACACCGATTAACGATGATTTCTCCAGTACTTTTCCTCTTTCGCAATATTAACTATATTGCAATACATTTGTAGCTTCGTAGCTTGAAGATACTTTTCAGGTCCAATCAGTCTGCGTGACACGATATAGTAGCGATTAAAAGACAAAACAATATGTTCAATGTGTTCAATACCTTTGCGTAACGAGGAATATATGAAAAAGAAACAAAATATGCGTATGCGAATGTCGGCGAAATTTTTTAAGTGCTACAAAAAGGCTGTCAAAGTATGAAACGATGATTACACTTTTACTTGATTATTCGTTATGTTCTTTAGTTGTATACATTTGCACTGTACACATTTGGAAGGATTTTGTCAATTTTCTTTCCAAAAGAAACCGCTTTTAATTTGATAATCGTCTTACTCGTTGTTGTAGTATCGACGGGTTCATTGATATTATTCATTCCAAATTTTTCACGTATTACACGTATATTTTTTTAATTTAAATCGATGTTGACGCGAGTAATGTTTAATGATATTTATTATCGCGTTTAGAGATAAATCTATATATATTTTTTATACCGTTCGCTGTTTCTACCGTTTTAGTGACACAAATTTTAGGCAAAAAAAAGAAAAAGTTCCTCGTGATTATAAATATTATTAAAACGTCGATTACTTGCAACGATTATCAATGTCATGCGAATCAGAATTGCAATAACAATATTGTTTTCTTTTCAATTATTTCCAATTGTGTATAAGTACAACGTAGAGGTGACAAGGCAAGAATTTATGTTGTACATAAATTGACATAACAGAAGTGACAGCAGCGATTCCCAACTAAGAAAAAAAAGCAAAAAAAAAAAAATAAGTCCCGAACATTAGTGTAAGCCAAAAAAAGCAGCAAATGATATCGTATTATAGCAACACACAATAAGTCACTGTATTTCACTTGGACTACGTAAAAAAGAAAAATTAAGCAAAGCACAACTTCATCCGGTAAACGTGTAATTCACTCTAACTAGCGTTCTGTACATGAATTTAACAATAATTATTATAATATTACGTAAGACTAAAACCCACAAGTACATTTTACGATGATGTATAGTGCTATGTTTCTTAGCATTTAAAAAAATTGAGCGAAGAAAGAAAACGTAACACGATGATGAAATAAACAAAAATAATAATACTAATCTGTAAAGGCATTTTTGAGGTGATTCACGAACGTCGCAGTCCCGCAACTTTTATAAATGACATGAAAGATGAAAAAAAAAAACGCTTGATTATATTGTTCGTCAACTGTTGTTATTCTTATTTTTTAAGTGAAACACCAAAAAATGATAAGTGAAAACGGACAACGCGAAAAAAGTACCTATTGTATAAAAGCAAAGAAACAGTCATATTTATAGATTGTAATATGTATACATACCTCAATATCTTGTTGTCAATGATCAATGCAGGACTGCGACGACAATGAGCCTCGTAAAAAAAAAACGAGTAAACCCTCCTTCGCAGCTATAGTATAGACTTTGTGCATTTTGTCGGATTTAAGTCAAGCGTCAGAAAAAGAATAATAAGAGAAAACTGACTAAAAAAATTATTAAAAAAACCATAAGCAAATACGCCTACCTTTCGGCCTTACTACTTTACATACATACACGTGTACACACGAAGCACACACCCGACGCGTGCGTTTTTTATTTGCGTTAGTTCGTATGATTATTACGAGAAAAAGAAAAACATTAATAAAATAAATAAAAAAACTTCTCACCTTCAATAGGTATTGACTGTGTAAAAAAGAACACGTAACAAAGCCTTTGAACTCACCGATTATTTGTGACTCGGTATAATTATTGTATAATAAGTATACAGAAGGAAAAAAGTAATAAACGAAGAAATAAAAACGCAATCATCCTTCTTCTCGTCGTGCGCGAAGTCGAAGCGCCGTTGATCCTCCGACTCCCCTTCACTGATTTTAGCTAAAGTAATGATAAAAGAAAAGGAAAAAAATAAACTACGATGATTGTTTGTTACACTTAACCAGAAACGTTATTTTTGTACTTGGGCGCGTTCTGAATGTTCTACTCTGTGTCTATTGTAAAACAATATCTCGAAGCAAGCAGGTACCACGAGGTCTATAAAAAAGGTGTACACGATATTTGCTGTTGATTTGTTTCGCATAACGAATGGCATTTCTGTTCTATATCAACGCCGTCTTTTATTTGTTAGTGTTTCGTTGTGTTGGACGATTTTACTAGGAGATAAAAAAATACAATTCATACGCGCTTGTAAAGAATAAAATAAACACGGGGTTATACAATCAAGTACTCACCTACGACAATGCGGATGTTAATTATAGAACTTCGAAATTTCTTGTTTTTATAAACTGTGCGGATATTACCCATGCTGTCGTCGTTCTACTTGATTAATCTTTGTTATTGTTATATATTCCGGATACCAAAAGGAAACAAGTCGAGAGTTTAATGATAAAAAAATGTACATTATATAGGAATTCTTTACTATGTTTTTTGTTATATCAATACAAAACAAAGCAGGATCCTCAAAATAAATTCATCAAAAAACCGATATGTTGCACTTATTTATTTAAATCCATTGTCTATAATGTTAGAAGGAAAAATATTTCATGAAATTATTCGAATCTTTAACGATATACCTCTGCAGAGTTGTAATCTTATTTTTATTCGTAAAACTTAACAGGTTTAGCAAATTTATTATAACATTATTAAATATTTCATCATTGGACTAACTTTCAATCAATTTTTTATTATTTTACAGGTAATAATTCATACATTTCTAAGCTTTAATTTGTTATGTTTCTCAATTATGCATCTTGCATTTTTTCATTATAGCGTATACGTGTCTCCAAATCCCTAGAGACAACATTTTTTTTACATTTTTGCCCCTAGCACCTTTATAGCTACGCCCCTTTTTCGTATTGGAATTTTACAGTATTTCACTAGAACCTCACAAGGTTATGTTTAGCCAACAGTTTGTTGCTTCACTCGTCCGCGTCATAAGCTGCTGCATGAAAGTCTTAGAGTTTTCGTATAATGATCATTGCTAGCTGACTTTTAATTATTAATTTTTATTTAAAAAGTACTTGTTGATACGACTGCAACAAACAATTAAAAAATATGGCGGGCGTTGAAGAGCAAGAAAAGTTGTTAGAAGATGCAATTGGAGTTGTCAAAGTACAAGCACTGCAGATGAAACATTGTTTAGATAAAGCAAAATTGATGGATGCTTTGAAACATGCTTCGACGATGTTGAGTGAATTACGTACGTCACTGCTCAGCCCTAAAAGCTATTATGAGTTATACATGGCAATCACCGATGAACTTAGGCATCTGGAACTTTACTTGTTGGATGAATTTCAGAAGGGCAGGAAGGTGACAGATTTGTATGAGCTGGTGCAATATGCAGGCAATATTGTTCCGCGATTGTATTTGTTAATCACAGTTGGTATAGTGTATATAAAAACTAATCCGTGTCTGAAGAGAGATGTGCTGAGAGACTTAGTCGAAATGTGTAGAGGTGTCCAGCATCCATTGAGGGGTTTGTTTTTGAGAAATTATTTACTGCAGTGCACCAGAAACATTTTACCTGACAATCCTGACGACAGTAATTCCGATGAAGGTACAGTTCGCGACAGTATAGATTTTATTCTGATGAACTTTGCAGAGATGAACAAACTTTGGGTTCGCATGCAACATCAAGGTCATAGCCGCGAAAAGGAGAGAAGAGAACGCGAAAGGGAAGAACTTAGAATTTTAGTTGGTACTAATTTAGTTCGTCTTAGTCAGTTGGAGTCTGTCACGTTAGATAAATATACAAAACTTGTGCTTCCTGGGATTCTGGAACAAGTGGTTAGTTGCAGAGATGCAATTGCGCAAGAGTACCTTATGGAATGTATTATCCAAGTGTTTCCTGATGAATTTCACTTACAAACATTGAATGCTTTTCTAAAATCTTGTGCAGAGCTCCAAAATGGTGTAAATATTAAAAATATAATTATTTCTCTGATTGATCGTCTAGCAGCTTTTAGTCAGAGATCAGATGGTGTGGGTGGTTCAGGAAGTCCCAATCAAATGTCTGGAATCCCACAAGATATTCAATTGTTTGATGTATTTAGTGATCAAGTATCAACCATTGTACAGACAAGACAGGATATGCCTTTGGAGGACATTATATCATTGCAAGTAGCATTAATTAATTTAGCTCACAAATGTTACCCTGATAGAGTGGATTACGTAGATAAAGTGCTTTTGAATACTCATCAGATATTTCAGAAAATTCAAACGGAAACTCTGGAATTCAATAGTGCTGTTTCAAGAGAATTATCAAGACTTCTCAAAATACCAATTGATAATTACAACAATATCTTAATGGTACTGAAACTGAAAAATTACCGTCCACTGTTAGGCTATTTTGATTATGAAGGAAGAAAGTTATTAGCTACATATATAGTATCTAATATTTTGGATTACGAAACTATGATTCCATCCCCAGACCAAGTAGATGCAATATTGCTGATGATTGCTCCACTCATTCAAGATCAGGCTGATCATACAGTTGAGGATGACCCTGAGGAGTTTGCAGAAGAACAGGGGCTGTTAGGTAGACTAATACATTATTTCAAATCAGATATTGCTGACGAACAATACATGATTCTCAGTACAGCGAGGAAACACTTTGTTACTGGAGGCAGTAAACGAGTTAGGTATACACTTCCTCCAATTATATTCCAAGCATACCAGTTGGCCTTCACTTATAAAAACCTAGAAGCTGAAGATGAGATGTGGCAGAAGAAGTGTCAGAAAATCTTTCAATTCTGTCATTCAACAATCACAGCACTCATCAAAGTTGAATTGGCTGAGTTACCTCTTAGATTGTTTTTGCAAGGAGCTTTAGCTATTGGTGAGATCAGATTTGACAATTTTGAAATGGTTGCTTACGAGTTCATTAGTCAAGCCTTTTCAATTTATGAAGACGAGATTAGTGATTCAAAAGCACAGTTTGCTGCCATCACATTGATTATTGCAACATTTGAACAAATGAACTGCTTCAGTGAAGAAAATGCAGAGCCTGTAAGAAATCAATGTGCCTTATATGCCAGTAAACTTTTGAGAAAACCAGATCAGTGTCGTGGTGTTGCCACCTGTTCTCACATATTTTGGTCTGGCAAATCTCTGAATACAGAAGGAAAAGAAATGCAAGATAAAACTAAAGTATTAGATTGTCTGAAGAAGGGTATTAGAATAGCTAATCAATGTATGGATATTTCTGTACAAGTTCAATTGTATATAGAACTATTGAATCATTATATATACTTCTATGAAAAGGGTAACACAGCTGTAACTGTACAAATTTTAAATCAAGTGATATCCAAAATTAAAGATGAACTTCCCAATTTGGAAATCAGTGAAGAAACAGAACAAATACAGAAGCATTTTGCAAATACCTTGGACCACTTGAAAAATAGAATAGAATCTCCAGAAGCAGGGCAATTATATGATGGGCTTATTTTACAATGAATCGAATAATGTTAATTTGAAAGAGTTGTTATTAAATTGTTTAACAAAAAATGTAAGAATTTCACAGGAAAATCAAACATTTTTTTAGCATGAAACTTACTTTGACGTCAATTTATCGATATTGTACAAAATTAAATTTATGTAATTGTTTTTAAATTAAAATATAAAGGTAATATCTTCGATGTAAAGGTAATATCTTCAAACTTAATTTTATATTTAAATATATTTTATTTCATCATATGATGTATACAATAGAACTTTTAATAAAATATAATATCATATCAATACTGTTGTTTTAATGAAATGTGGTAAAAAGCTACAAAAATTAATAAAATCTTTAATATTCAACTATTTTTATTGTGATTTTTCAAGTAAACAGAAGATATTTACTTACAATTAAACATTATATAAAATGCATGTTCTGAGATTTCATAAAGTTCTAAATAAATAGAATTTGTAAAAAATTTTGCTACTGAAATATTTATAATTATATCAGATTACACTGAACTCCAGAGATATAATTTTTATTCTTTATATGTACATACACTCGTTAAATTAGTTGAAATTTGAATATAAAAACAATTTTAGATAATACAACTAATTCATTGATTTGAAATTAAAAAAAGAATTCTAAGTACTGGAAAAATTTTTATTCTCGTAAGATATTGAATACATGATGCACTCATTCTAGCACGCATAAATCGTATGATACATAGTACAATACAATAACCTATTTTTTTCAAGGCAGTAATACCACACTTGAAAAATTATACATCCATTCACGCTCCGTTCACTTGAATTAGTTACTCATCACTCGCTCAAACATTCACCACTCAGATAACGAGTGTACCAACTGCTTTTGGAAATGATAATGTAAATGAAGATATAATGTATAAAACAAAATAAATATCAACGACACGATGGATCTTACTATAAAGAAACAGAGATGAGAGAATTTTTCACGGCATCGCTGCAAAACATCTTCATTCGATCCGGTGCTCATTTTACAATGACTTTTACAATTGTTAATGATTCCTATTTATTCAGACGTAATGCGAAGGGCAACGATAAGTTGCGCTGATGTTCCTCGTGGCAAATACAATTCAGAGTAATAATAGTTACGCACGTTGACCATCATCACAGCCGTTGAACGGTTACGATACGTCGCCAACGAAGCATGTTCGTCGCGTGTTTTATCATACATCGACGATTCCAAAGGAAGGAGAAATCTCCAGTATGGAAGCGTCGAAATTTGCAAACACGAGGAAGTGGCTCCGTAGTAGCATCTTCGCACGAGAATATTAGTCTCTAAAGTATTTGTCTAAAGGAAGCAGATTTGCTTGTTATTTTTTATATCAGTCTAAATTGTGAAGGGGCTTAGAATTCAGCCTTGGATTATAACTCGTCTTTGACATCATCGTCGGACTCTTCGCCTCCAGTTGGTGGAGCGCCACCACTGCTGGCGTACAACTTAGCGATGATGGGCTGAACGATGCTCTCGAGTTCCTTCTTCTGCTTCTTATATTCTTCGGGCTCGGTGTCTTGATTCTCTTCAAACCACTTTATCTTCTCATCGATGGCTTCCTCCATTTTAGCCTTGTCGGAGTCGCTGATCTTCGAACCAAGCTTGTCTTTGTCCTGCAACTGGTTCTTCAGAGAATAGGCGTACGCCTCGAGCTCATTGCGAGCTTCAACGCGTTCTTTGAGTTTCTTGTCCTCGTCGGCAAACTTCTCGGCGTCTTTAATCATCCTATCAATGTCGTCAGGCGTAAGCCTATTCTGATCGTTGGTGATGACAATTTTTTCTCGGTTACCAGTACCCTTATCTTCGGCGGACACTTGAAGGATACCATTAGCGTCGATCTCGAAAGTGACCTCAATCTGAGGAATACCACGTGGCGCTGGTGGAATGCCAGTAAGATCGAATTTTCCGAGCAAGTGGTTGTCCTTAGTCATGGGACGCTCACCCTCGTAGACCTGGATAGTAACGGTGTGCTGGTTGTCGGAGGCAGTAGAGAAGATTTGAGATTTCTTGGTTGGAATAACGGTGTTTCTAGGGATGAGTTTAGTCATGACTCCTCCGACAGTTTCAATACCCATGGTCAATGGATTGACGTCAAGGAGAACGATGGCGTCAGTGTCTTGTTCGCCAGAGAGTACACCAGCCTGAACGGCAGCACCGTAAGCAACGGCTTCGTCGGGGTTGATACCTCGGGATGGCTCTTTACCACCGAAGAAATCTTTTACGAGTTGCTGGATTTTGGGAATACGAGTGGAACCACCAACAAGTACGATCTCGTCGACGTCCTTCTTGCTCATGTCAGCGTCTTCCAATACCTTCTGCACGGGCTTTAAAGTACTTCTAAACAGATCCATGTTCAATTCCTCGAACTTGGCACGGGTCAGCGTCTCTGAGAAATCTTCACCTTCGAAGAAGGACTCGATTTCAATTCTCACCTGAAATTATCAACGTCGGTCATTGCAAGGATTTAACAAAAAAAAACACTTCCGTGCAATACCGAAAAAATATTTACCTGGTGGCTGGCACTGAGGGCTCTTTTAGCCTTCTCAACTTCACGACGGAGTTTTTGAGTAGCCCTATTATCTTTACGGATGTCCTTGCCCTTCTTCTTTTTATAAACTTTGATAAAGTGGTCCATGACACGTTGGTCAAAGTCCTCACCACCCAAGTGAGTGTCACCATTGGTGGATACCACTTCAAAGACACCATTGTCAATAGTAAGCAGACTGACATCAAAAGTACCACCTCCTAAGTCAAAGACCAAAACATTTTTCTCTCCTTCTTTCTTGTCTAAGCCATAAGCAATAGCTGCAGCGGTTGGCTCATTGATGATTCTCATAACTTGCAGACCAGAGATGGTACCAGCATCCTTTGTGGCCTGATAATTTATAGAATAACCAGTAAGTATTATATACTAAAAATAAATGTAATGTTAGATAATTGTTGGGCAATTTACTTGTCTCTGAGCATCATTGAAATAAGCAGGGACAGTGACAACAGCATGAGTGACTTTCTTGCCAAGATAGGCTTCTGCAGTCTCTTTCATTTTGCCCAAAACCATAGCAGAAATCTCTTCAGGAGCAAAGATCTTGTCACCCTGGGTAGTTTGAACTTTGATGTGTGGTTTGCTGTTCTTTTCAACAACCTTAAATGGGAAATACTTGACGTCATTTTGCACAGTTTGATCTGTCCATTCACGACCAATGAGGCGTTTGGCGTCAAAGACTGTATTTTCTGGATTGGTAGTCAGCTGGTTCTTGGCAGCATCACCAATTAGACGCTCACCATCAGCAGTAAAGGCTACATACGATGGAGTGATTCGGTTACCTTGGTCATTGGCAATGATTTCTACACGTCCATTTTTGTACACGCCCACACTGTCAATTAATTAAAAATGTTTTAAATTTGTGCTTTTTATAAACTTGAGTATGTGAGAAAATTTAAAAGACAAGAATGACTTACCATGAGTATGTAGTTCCTAAATCTATACCAATGACAGTACCAATGTCTTCTTTTTCTTTTTTCTCTTCTTTGGAAGCAGCAATAGCTGCAACCAATCCTATCAATAATAGGGCAGTTGCTCCCTTCATCTTTCTTTTGTTAAAAACTATCTGAAAAACAATGAACGTATCACGTTAGTACACATATTGTAAATAAAATTATCAAATTACACTTTTATAGATAGCTAAAAATCGCATGGAACAGAGCACTGAATAGCTATGGTATGATGGAAGTATCTAGAAAAGGTCTGCTTGGAATTTCTTTTATTCCGAGTATATATTAATTTCGAACTTAACATACACGAAGTATTTCGTAGACAATATAATTTCGTAGAAATATAATTTTTACATGACAGGCGATTTTTAGCAGTGAAATGTGATCTTGATAAATATAGGAAAAACCGAGTACAGCGCCGAAGTGTCATTCCTTATGAGAGGATCCACAAGATTTACCGTAATTCATGATTCTCGTATAGAAAAAATTGTAAGAACAATTGTTTAAAACCCATTTTGATTTTTATTATACGATGATAATGAGTTTTACAAAATCACAAAGAGCAAAAATCAATATGTATGAAAACATTAATTCGTAAAAAATAATAATTTTGAGGTTGAAATTTTGGAGGCAGCGTCTGTTAACCGTAAAATGGCTTCAAAAGTTATGGGATTAAAATACAAGTTAAAATTAATACTTCAAATAGTCAACAGGATCTGCCACGACGAATCCTCGATGTGTTAGGATGTGCGACAGTTTGCCATGAAATGTTTACACGAAAGAAAAGAGGGGTTTGTCAAAGTAAAATCAAATGACCTCAGCAGTACTCACCGACAATGAGTTCAGTAATACTGCAATGAATAATGTCAGTATGTCACACACAAAATGAAAACTGACGTTGATTCGTACTCAAGACTTAATCTTATACGTTACGTTTGGTTGCTGATGTGAGACTGATCGCGGAGCAAAAGCGAGCGCCGGAATATTAACGGGAAATCCAAGTCGTGGCCGGTCGCGATTGGTGCTCGAGGATACGTGGTAGTCGAATGCTCAGCGGCGAACTGCCAGTGTTTCCTACAGTTGGCTACCGACTATTGGCCCACGTCACGATGCCACTCTACTCCACGTTTGTTCTCGAAGCTTCGGGTATGAACGTGATTGGAGGAGATGTGAAACAGACACGTATCTCGCGAAATCTTTTGCGGGCGGTTTAGGTGCCACGGATCTACAGCGCGTAAGTTATCGCATCTGTTTTCCTTTCGGAGCTTTACGCCTTCGAAACGTTTTGTCGAAAGATAATGATGCAATTTTTCGGTTCCGGTTGGATGTAGAACTGTTCTGGAAAGGTTGATGATTAACAACTTTGTTATTTTTAACCTTATTTTTTTATTAATTAAATTTTTTATTTATGGAAAATATTTAAATTTTATTTTTATTTAATTTTTCACTAAACATTTTTAAATAATTAAAAACTATTGTTTTACGATGTATAAAGAGCAAAATATTTTAAATCGAGTTATTTTTTATAATTCACTTTCTCTTATCAGTGAGCAACTTCATAAGTAAATTTGTTTCTGCGATTAAAAATAATACTATCTAGAATGAAATTGATCTTGACCTGACTTTATCAAGAAAAAAAGTATTTCTTAAAAATCACTAGACAAACTACGTGTCTGTTTAGACGCATGCGCCCGTAGCGTAATGCTTTGAAAAATAACGGGATCGTTCCGGATAAAACATCATGTAATAAATGCCGTTAATTCCGTTTCATTGACACGGTCTAAAGCGTGGGCATTTCTTCACCTTTATTCATCACAGATTACTTCATATGGTATCAGGCAGAAAAACTGTCAATGAAATTTTCATATTTTATATTATAAGAACCCTGATTACATTTACAATTCACCACATTTACCATTTTAAGTATACGCTTCTATACGTAAAAAGTTATGATGTTTCAAAAATAATAATTATGTATACAGACAATTGATTAAAATTAACATGTGTTAAGTAACACAGTCAAAGTTTGTCGCAAAAAATGAACATCGAGAAAATATTATCGGCTCTGAAATAAAATTATGCAACACCATAACTTATAGATAGCCTCTTTTTTTATAATAAGTTTAAAACTATTCAAAACAAATAACAAAACTATTCCGAAAATTTTTTCTGAATAATATAACTAATGAAATATTTACTTAACAAAATTTTTTCGGAATAGTTTTATTATATATTTAATTTTTTAATTTTAGTATTTGCTCTTTGGTCGCAGCAAGTCCAAAATTAAAGGTGTAAAATAAGTTATTATACAATCAGCTCCAGCTCTTCTCATGCAGAGAAGTACCTCTTTCAGCACGGTTTCCAAATTAATGGCACCGTTTTGTGCTCCATGATAAAGCATAGCATATTCTCCAGATACTTGATAAATGAACAATGGATATTCTGGGTGCGCGTTTTTTGTTTGTTTGACGATATCTAAGTAAGCTAGTCCAGGCTTAACCATCAGCATATCAGTGCCTTGTTCCACGTCTCTTGCCTGAAAAATGTTTGGAATGGATAAAACTTTTCACATTTACAATACAAATGAAATTCATTTTTAATATTTAGAAATAAAATAGCCTAGACGTGATTTTTAATCTATCAAAAAGTACACATCACTCTCAACGTTTTAAAATGACGTTATTAAAGTGTATAAAAGCTTTAACGTTATCAACATAGGAGCAACCATTTAAAATAATTTGAAAATATATTACGAAATTGTTACGTTGCGCACGATGCTACAATCTTTTCATTAGAGCTCAAGTTTCCATGACGAAAATTGATAACAAATTTAATTTGATGTAATTAAGTTCTTAAAATAAAATTATAAAATTTTATACCATTTACAGTATTTAAAGATCAAAGAAGCAAAATATAGTTAGCAAAGTAGAAATCTTTTTTAACATTGGAATTTTAGTTACAATAATATTTTAATATTCTTACAGAATAAGCAAAAGTAAAAAAAATAATGGATAAATATTACATACTGCTGCTCTAGCTGCTAATCCACTACTACCGGAAGGTAATTGATAACATTGCCTATCTCCAAATTTTGGAGCTGAACCAGATGCATCTCTGAATGGTCCATAAAAGCCAGATGCAAATTTTACAGCATATGATAGGACAGACACTTTATTTGATAAGTCAGCTTCAGCTAAACCAAATTTAATAGCTTTTATCCTTCCATCCATCATGTCAGATGGTGCTACAATATGAGCTCCTGGAAAAATACAAAAATGATGTTTATTTACGTGAGTTACTTTTATTCCATTGTATAATAGTAGATAATATATCACATTTGTACCAGCTTTTGCATATGCAACAGCAATATCTGCAATGCGTTTGATACTAGCCTGATTGTCAATAGTGCCATCACTATTTAGTATTCCACAATGTCCATGATTAGTGTAAGGACACAAACAGACATCACAGGCAATAACTAAATTAGGAAAGGAATTCCTAAGTAAAGGTAAAGCTTGAATTACTGGATTGTTCATACTATCAGCTTCACTCCCTCTTTCGTCCTAAAAATTTGTTATTTAATATAATGTACAATAGGTAAACTAATAAAACTTTTGATTTGAAAAATAGTTTACTTGTTAGTCAAAATAAATTACATTAAATCAAATTGAATCATTTTATAACATTAAATAATAGTGTTGTTTTGTGAGATGATTGAGTAAAGTTACTATATTTAAATTTTTATAATAAGTTACAATATATAATCAAACAGAAATAATACATGTACCTTTTTCAAGTTATTTGCTACCCCAAATAATAAAATGGATTTCAATCCTTTTGCAACCAGAGGTTCTAATAATCCTTTAAGTTTATTTATTCCATATCTGTTGATTCCAGGCATACTCTGGATTTTAGTAACTGCATTTGGTTCATCTCTAATTATCAAAACATACTTTATGTGAAAGGTGCTTTTACACAAGGAATTATGATAATGACACTTATGTAACATTTTCGAAATGTCATTAATCATTTATTCAAAATGAGCATTCGAATACTTTAATTTTAAAGTACCGCTGATTCAGTACTTCAAAATCTAACAAGTTTTCCATTCATGATTCAACTATCGCGATATTATCATGCGGTCGATAGAGGTTATGTTTATGTACTCACAAAACGAAAATAGGAAACATCAAGTTTTCCGGAGAAATGTCAACGTTGGGTGTCTGCCAGTGCCTTAAAACAGGGTGAAAATAACCGCTATGTAAAATTTGTTTAGATTCTATTCGATCCATCTTGATTATTTCTTTGATGTCTTCGTGATTATTATTCTCTCACGTTTTTCATATGCTATCGGAATCGGATGATATTCTGTTTTATTGGCACCATTGGGGCTTAGGCCCCGGTCCTATAGCTACGTATGAATACGGACGGATACGGACGCGAATCGCAACTCTAGTAACATCACTAAAAATATCTAGTTCGATTATTTAGTACCAACAATACCGGTAGTGAGCAAAAGTAACTGTTGTTTAAAACTGTAGCGCCGAACGTACCACATTTAATGAACGTTTATCTAACCTTTACATTATTGCAGTCTATAAAATGGCAAATGATAGAGAATTGATAGACTTTTAACTACAATTAGTGGAATTAGGCCTTAATTTTTTGAAAGAAAGTTTTTGTAAACAGTGAGAGTTGATTATGCGTGAGAACAGTGAGTCTTATTGAAGATGTTGGATATGAGTCTATTAAAAGTTATAGGATTGAGGGTTATTTTGAATCCAGAGGCATCTGTGAGTTTCATCGGCTCGATAAAAACTGTAAGGGTCCATATTAGCCTTCGAGTAGCTATTTGTTTTTTCGCTTTTGCTCTCTAAAAGTTCCGAATCCTTCGGAGAGCCGGATGTGTCACTAGCCTGAAAGAAGTTATATAGGGAGACCTGACAGAATTAACTGCGTTGCCGTCGGCAAATGCGTCGCTCTCTTTTTTTCTTTAACACAAATCTCCATAACAAGATTTTTATTAGTTGTGGTCGCTAATATAGATTTCTTGTTCTTTGGATTTCGAAGTTATGAGAAATGCGCAGTGGGTACTTTTTGAAATTATTTGTTTGATTTTTGTCGCTAGTGACATTATGATTCCTTTTTTTGATTTCGACATTTGTGAAATGGTACTCGCAGGTACTCTCAAAATGCTTGTAAGCGTATGTTTATCAGAAGCTAGGCGGCCAAGGGCCGTCTGAAAAAGGTTATGAATGTTTGATAGGGTTTGCTTGCTGTGTGTAATGATTAATGAAAAAAAAAAAAAAAAAAGAAGAGTGATGTGAGAAGGTGAAGAATGAAAAAAAGTGAGAAATGAAAAAGAAAAAATGTAAAAAGTCATCTGGTCAAATGCCTTGGCAGTCGCAGTGTCGCAGCGACACTCCACTGTCGGTTGATATGTCGTCTGATGTCTTTTATCGCGGGTCAACGGCCAAAAAAATGCATGCACAGCTTTGATTCTTCTGCACACGTTTGGCTTTGATGGGTGTAAACTTTTGTTTCGTTTTCTCAATTACTCAATTGAACTCGATATAGAAAGTCGAGAGATAAGCAGTGCTGTGTATTTGAGCAAAGCAGTCGAATTATCGCAGAAACCAAAATTATGCAACTCGAACAAAACGGGCAAATTGCATTTTGAGACTCTTAATGCGTGTCGCGTGATTAGAGATTAATTAGTTGTATGAGAATTTCGAACGATCGTTTTTATTATTTATCAATAGAAAGTACTTGCGTTGTGATACGATACATGATAACAAAATAATGCCGTTGTAGACGAAGTTTGCTATACTCGTAAGGGGCATGGAATTGAATGAAAAAATGGGTCTTTAACGAAATGAAGATTGTCGATGTTGTATACTAGTAAAAATAAGATTTATTAGTCAGTAAAAAATGGCTTATTTAATTAAAAAATACTTATAGGAAAAGTATGATCTCGTCATGAAAAAACTTGGAAGGCCGCTTATTTACGGAAATACTTATGAGTATAAGTAAACGGACGCGCATGAATAACGCTTGACTTGCGCGGTATCTCGTGGCCACTTTTGGCCACGCGCACGTCGTGCAATTCGATCGGCTTCTAGTGTTTGGCGGAGGCGTGTTTGTGCGGCAGGGCGTAGCGTATCTTCTCGTAGAACCAAGGGTCGCCCCACTTGATGTAGGTGTTCATTTGCAAATAATGGCGCAGCTCCTGGTCTTGTATCCGCGCGGGGTCGACGTCGCCGTAAAGCACGACGATCAGTCGCGCGCACTTGTCCCTGAGCGCCCTTTTGTGAGCGGCCTGGAACTCCAGTTTGCCCCACTCGCTGTCGACGAAGTGCCGCGAGAGCACGATTATCGTCCGCCTCGATCCCTCGACGCTGCGCTGGATGTTGCTGGGGATCCAGTCGCCGGCAAGCCAGTCTCGGCCGTGGATGCACAGCTTGTAAGGCCTGGGTCCGCTCTCGAGCTTGCCGACCAGCTCCCCGACCACGAACTGCTCGTCCTCGTGCGAATAGCTGACGAAGGCGTCCCAGATCTTGTCCTTGTCGAGCTCCTCCTCGGTCACGAGCCACAAGCACAGATTCTTGGAGTAGAGGTAGACCTTGACCTGCTGCTGGTAGTAGAAGAGCAGAGCCAGGCCGACGGCCAGCAGCAGGGCGAGGAGGGCGGTGGCCAAGCTCGTGCTCACGATCAGTTGGACGGGCCGGGGGCAGAGATCGGCGGGCTGCAGGTCCGACAGGGTGCGGTTGGTCGCCGAGCAGCTGACGTTGTGGCGCTCGGGCAGCAGCCGGTAGTTGTTCTGCGCGAAGTTCAGAAGGGCCAGAGCCTCGCAGTCGCAGCCCCACGGGTTGTCGTGCAGCGTCAGCAGGCTGATGTTCGAGCCGCGCGCGATTCTGTCGAGTAGCTGGTCGTCGATGTGGCTCAGCCTGTTGCCGTCCAGCCGGAGCACCTGCAAGCCAATGCTCGTCGTGAGCGAGTACCGGAGTGACGGACCACCACCTACCTTCAGATTCGGCGAAATCAGGTCTTCGTCGAGGCGACCGATGAGATTCCCAGCGAGGTTCAGCGAGCGAACCTTGTCGTAGCCGTTGCCCAGCAGGCTCGGCGCGAGCGTCAGGGCATTGGCGCTGAGATCGATCTCCACGTAATCCGCGTTGCCGAGGACGATGAGGGCGGGAGCCTCCGTGAGGTTTCTCGCGGCGCAGTCCAGGATCAGGGTGCGGTCGACCGGCCTGAGCCAGCAGTCGCACGCGCCGTTGGCCGAGCAAGGGTCGCCGGAAGCCGCGGTCGATTGCCCGTCCCGGTCGAGAATGCACTTGAGCTCGGGCGTCTTGAGCGACAGCAGCCTGGTGCCTCTCATGTGCTCCGGACCGTCGCAGGCGAGGTGCTGCACTTGGAGCGTGACAAAGTCCAGCGCCGCGGGCTTCAGCTCGCCGTTGGTGTACCGCAGCAGCGAGTACAGCTGACAGTCGCAGTAGATCGGGTTGGAGTTGAGGTTGACGGTCACCTGGCGCGAGTCGTGTTGCTCGGCGGCGATGTGCTCCAGGCGCGTCAGGTCGATCGTCGATATGGCGTTGTGCGTCAGGTCCACCTGGAGCTTGCTCGAGACGAACTGCAGATCCTCCGTCTGTCGGCACAAGGCACTCGCGGTGAAAATCGAACAACGTTCCTCGCTGCCGCGAGCCCGGGGGGCCTCCCTCCTTACCTGCAGGTACTCCAGCGAGTTATAAGACAAGTCGAGTTTTCGCAGTTTCACGTGAGATACAGTCCAGTCGCCGTATATCTCGCTGATGTTGTTGTGCGACAGGCAGAGCTCCTCCAGAGATTGGCAGCCGTGAAAAGGCGACAGCTGGCCGAACATGTCGAACGTGTCGGTGCGCAAAGTGAGCCGATTGCGAGAGAATTTGGCGACTCGCAACGCGGCGAGAGAAACGAAGGCGTCGACCGCGATGTGCTGCAGGTCGTTCTGTTCTATGTTGAGCTCTCGTAAGGCATCCAAGCCATGGAACAAGCGCCTGTGAACACGTTCAACCTTGAGTGCTGTCGTAACACGAGAGACAGTTAAAAAAATACCTTTAATCAACCAAACGAGCATCGGCAAAGAGAATCGCAGTTTTCAAGTCAAGCAATTTTCGATCGGAAAGTCAAATAAATATTTCACTGATAAAAATACAGCTAGCATTGGTCTAACACGGGTAAACGACACCACGGTGACTTTTCAATAAAGCGATCTCACACGGAAAGCGCGTTTCGGCTGATTAGCAAAGAAAAGAAAAGGGGCGATAAACGCGAGATCGGACAGAGAAAACTGACTCGTTGATGGATCTCAGATGGTTCCTGGAGAGATCGAGGAAGTGCAGCCTGTTGAGCTGCGAGAAGGCGCGGTCGGGAATGAACTGCAGGTCATTGAAGCTGAAGCTGAGCCTGTGCAGCTGACGCGCGTCCTTGAGCAGATTGGCCGGCAGAGTGGCGAGGTAATTGCGATTCATGTTCAGCTCGACAATGGCGTCTGATCCCCAGATCAGATTCTCCGGCACGCTCAGCAAGCCCATGCGCTCGAGCGACACTGTCCGCAGCTGGCGCTGATCGGCGAGCAGCCGGTCGGGCAGCCGGCTGATGTTCACGCGGTTGTACATGAGCTTGACCACCGTCAGGTTGCGATTGCGGGAGAACAGCTCGGCGGGCAGCTCGCTGAAGTTGTTCATGCCGAAGTTGATGACCTTGAGGTTGGGCAGCTCGTGGAAGACGTCGGCGGGCAGAGCGCGCAGCCGGTTCATCTTAACGTCGAGGGAGAGGAGCGAGGAGAGCCCGCGGAACGAGTCCCGCTGCAGGGCGCTGATGTTGCTGCTCCACGCGTTCAGCAGCTCGAGGCTGTCGAGGCCGGCGAACGCGCCCGGCCGCAGCTCGTGCAGGTCGTTCTGGCTGAGCTCCAGCGAGACGAGGGCGCGCGCCCGCTCGAAGAAGCCCGTCGCCGGCAGCTTGAGCCGCGTGCCGCGCAGCTCCAGCTGTATCAGGTTCGGCAGACCTGCGCCAACAGACAGCAAACGGGGAGAGTCTCGTGGCGGCCCGCGTGGACCGCGCGCCCGCGGCCGTGGCCGTGGCCGTGGCAACTCACCGTGCAGCAGGTCCACCGGCACCTCTCCGAGCTCGTTACCGGTCAGCACGAGTCTGCGCGCTTGCGGGAAAACCTCGAGGTCGGCCCTGCTCACGTTGCCGCGCAGCTTTTCGATCTTCAGGGACTCGACGCCGGTCACGCCGAGCCGCGCGACGAGCTCCTGGCTGTGCCTGGCGCCCGGCAGCCGGCAGCCGGCGTAGCTGAAACTACTCGCGTTGCCCACGCGCAGGCTCACGCCCGCGAGGAAGTCCGACCAGTGCGGCGAGTTGACGCACTGCACGCGCAGCGAGCTGCCGCTCTGTACGGTCAGGTCGATGGCCGAACCGTCGCGGTCGCTCGTCACGCAGTGCACCAGGTGCTTGTCCTCGCCGTCGTCCGAGTCCATGCAGTGGCACGGCAGGTTCGCCGGGCAAGCGAACGCCGAGGCAGACACGGCGTAAATGCCCGACAGCAGTATCGACAATCCTAACAGATTCATCGTCCAGGCTGGCTCGTACTGTTTCTCCCGATCCTTCGGTGCAACAGACCAATTGAATAAACGCACGAGTTGTGCATCCACTTGGCGACTACGCTCGTATCTAGTCTCATGGACGTTGTATCACTTCGGTTTGTCGAGCGAGTCCCAACGTCACGTGCCAAAGTAGAATTCCAATGGAATACATTGAAAAACTCGCGTATATTTAATTACATTTTGGTTTACTTGCTGGCTTATCGATCGTTAAAAAGTAATTTTCTCGAGGCACGGAAGCAACTGCGACTTACCTTTCGTCGATTCTCCAAATCACGACGACACCATCAACAACAACAACGACGACGAAGCGAAATCTCGTCGACGTGTCAACAAATAAAATTGAGCGTAGCCGACAGTCCTAGCAGGGAGGATCAGTGCCCAACGGCCGAGCGCGCTCAACTGAAGAGGAGCGTCAGCGGCACACCTATTTCTACCCTCGGTCAAACTACCTCCGTACCCCTCCACCGAGTTAGCATTCGTTGCTGCTCGAGTCCCATCGGCAAGTGCGCCGGGATACGCGTCATTTTTACCAGCGCTGGCGAATTGACAGCCGAAAATCCCTCGTCGACGATTGGCTCTCGCGTGCCGCGGATTTGCTGGCTCCGTCGTTGTTGTCAATACGATCGGCTAGGCGGCTCTCGACTAGCACGCCGTTCGAGCCTGACATCATTGGGACTCTGCTCTGCATCCCCCGGTGCAAATGCGAGCTGCAATCGAGACAAGCTCGCTGATCAGCGCACGCGTCGAGACGCGTTCGACATTTCGGCGTCAGTCTCGAAAATCCTCTCAATAGCGCCGTGCACGTTCAATCGGAGCTCCTCTCCCGGCTAAATAATCCGCGCTAATATACGTACACGCACGCGTATCCTCTTTACGACAATACGTACGTCGTGCTCGTACACTTTCGCTGATCGAGTTCCGTCCCATTGGCTCACCAATGAATGTCCACTCATTAGGGATGCGCACTACAATAAAAGACAGTTTGCTGCCGCCGATGTGTTTTCGCAATTGGTCGAACCGCGAACGACAATCGTTATCTCCCGGCGAACGATAAGAAACGAAGTGCCCCGATGTCATCGACGAATACGCTGACCGATCGTTCTTAGCTGTCACAGTATGCGTCCTATTCATAAAGAATATTTACAGAATACATCCGTCATGGATGATATTGACGCTAGGATGGCCGTGTGGTGTGCGAATTATCGCTAGAGATATCGTAAAGTTATTTCGGCATTAGAATCACTTGGTTATTACCGTGCGTTGCAACTCGTTGTACCTAATAACTGTCTCGTCGATGGAACTAACGCGAAATTAATTTTCACATTATATTCGTGAATTGTCCGGGAACGATTCGCCGCATGGTTTCCAATATAACTTTGCCTTAGTCGTTACTAAAATTTGAAAATAATATGATGTAAGCTGTGGCGAATGAAGAGAAAAATATTTGCGTGCAGAAAACGATGAAGGGAAATGAAAGATTATAAATGTAGCTCGTGTGTATCAGTTAGTTAAGAAATGTACAAATCACTCTAATTTTCTAACATTCTAGTATAGTCAAATGTACTATTAGCGTATAGCGGTAAAAGAATTGTTACCGAAGATGAGAAATATAGTATAATTTACTCTACTTTAGTAACTACAAAAAGAGTTGAGTTCACTATATTCTTTCATTGTGGTATAGCGTATTATGGATTACTGTCGAGTGCGAACGGTCCGCCATTAATGCAGATACCGTACTTGTTTGCGCCGCTCGGTTCTAAAATCTGTATGGTATAGGAGTTTCTCCGAGCACGCGCAGCGCCATAAGCCTTATTATGTCCCACCAGACCGACGTAAGGATATCTGCGACGACAGGGACAAATCGTCCCTTAACAGCTTGTTTTGGGTTGTTTCTATCTAGCCGCTTCATCTCAGGCACGTCTTCGATGGCAGGGTGACAGTACGTCATTTAAATAACGACCAGTGTACTAATGCGTTTCTTCGGACCGTCCCGTGACCCATTCTCGGAAACTCGGTACAATAATTGATTGTATGAAGGAAAATCTCCCTATAATTTTTCTTTGTCAAAATATTAATTATTAAAAGGAATTAGATATACGAAAATAGATAAGTAGGTTACCTATTATCAACTTTCTGATAATCATTGGTTTTACATTACAAATTATAAATTCATTATTCAATATAACAGCAAAATTAAGTAATGAAAGAGTTATACTACACGTAATGTAATGTGAACTACACATAAGTAATTTGAAATAAAATTAGAGATTACATCACAGAATACAGGTCTATGGCACACAACTTATAATAGGAACCATTCCATCCTCACAAATGTAATGTTAATGGCAAATCTGTGAGGTTGCACGTGACTGTAATAGCAAGGGCTCATGACATTCTGAATCACGGTACGTGGACTCTCCTTGTCTCGCTAATCTTGACGTAAGCATGTCAGTCCATTAAACCGACGACTGTTTGTTTCAAGCGCACCTTTACTGAAACGCGATGTCACGTTGTCTACTGGATTTTCAACTGCCAGTACCCATTCCCATTCCGATGTTTAGCGAACTGTGATCAGTATAGAAAGGCGACTGGAACGTGTGCGAAACGATGTGCATGATTGCTGCCCAAAGTCAATGTCACGCAAATAAATCAAAATAAATATTTTATTGTATTTAACATGATGCGATCTGGTATTATTATTCATGTGAGAACAAACTTTCACACGTGTCCATTTCGCTCTAGAATTATCATTGATCGTATAGCTCTTATGTGATACACGAAAGTTACGATTCCGATTTATAACCGCCAATATCCAAGTAGCATTTGATCAACGATCGACAACAAGAATTCCTACTTGCGTTGGAGATGCTAAGCCTAGATGGTTCAACCATAATTAAGAAGAAGCTAGCGATAGACGAGGGTTTTCTATTGATCTTATGCCGACGTACCAATGTGGAAAAAGTTATCGACACTAAGCAAAATATTCTTCTATTGTTTCGTGTTCTCCGAATGGAGCTTTTCCATCGCAGTAGTGTAAATAATGTATTTTATTGCTTTACGTGCCTAAAAGAAAAACTCTTTAAAGTATCTGTTGAGAGCCAAGAGAAAAAGGATGTCACAATTTTTATTTCTATATTAATTTAAACAAACACATTTAAGAATATTTTGTTGTTATTAATATTCACATCTGAAATATTGAATAGTGCGCAAGCGAGGAAGAGAAAGACTAGCTGAGGATCTCGCTATTTAGTCGCTGAGTTCTGATAGCTACAGTGATAGAGTAGAGAGAGGAGGGCGGGGGGGTGGAAGCCGTGTGCGACAGAGAGGACGAGGAACAATGAGTATATTCCGTCTTGTCTAACAGCACGATAACTCACTTGGAATTGCAGCCCAGTGCATTGACGGATGAACGCGAGAAGTTATTCGCGTGAATGATCCACGTAGCGAAGGACGAGGGCGCATCTGGAAGCGTGGGTGCTCGTGCCCGGAAGGAGCTTGTCACGTGTGTCTACGGGGCAAGCCAGTCAGACCCCGCGCAGTTGGTCGACGCGTTGTATACCCCCGTGACTACAACAGTAATGTCGAGTTAAAAATAAGTGCGCTTGCAGACTGCATTACGGAATAGTACATTACGATACAAGTACATTTTTGTCTCGCACTTGTATTGTAATGTACTATTCTGCATCGTGTGCACCGGCAGAAACATTTAGATAAAGTGCGGCGTTTGTTTTGATTCTCTCTCTCTCAGCCGTTCCAATGTATAGATACACTAACCATGTAAAAGTTAAAGCAAAAGTTTGAATGTATAGATATACTAACAGTTTAAGTAAAGCGATAATAAATAAATAAATGATATATGAAAAACGAATAAGAAGGAACCGCGATTGGTGAGTTACGACGATGAAAAAAAAATTTTCAGATATCGAAGGTTTTATTGTTTAATACATGAAATAGAGTACAATTGACAAACAAATTTTTATTTTATTGCAAAAATATATAAGCTTAAAAAATATGAAATTACGAAATCTGAACGCGAGGGTACAACAACAGCGTTGACGATAGTAGGATACTACAGACCGGTATAGCAATTTTCGATCTTCAATGCCACCTAATATGGAAGATATATGGTATCCGCAAAACACATGGAAAATCTAGTTTATCTCGACGGTCAACCAAGCGGTCTTGAGATTTACTGCAGTATCCTTGATGTACATTATTATTCATTATTATTCATTATTATTTATTATTGTTCATTGTTGTAGCACCACACACCAAAGTAATTAAAAATTATTGCTTTCAGAAATTCTTTAAGCACAAATATATGATTCAATAAGTACGATAAATTATTCTTTGATATTTTGAACATCTGCAAGAGGATTTGTCACTACTAGAGTTAGATCGTACTTTCTAACGACGTTGTTCTTTCTGTAAAAATGTAAATTTTAATTTGGATATATGATACTAATATGAGATACATTTAACATTACTTATGGATATAACAACATGATATTTTTAAATTATAAATTTAAAACTTCGAATAGTTCGCGTTTGTAAGTAATATCAACAAAGATAGACGCCCGATAGGAAAGTGTGCCATCATGAAGCATGATGAGAAAACATAACAATCAACTTAAGTCTGATACTGTTATGTGTGATCCTCGGAGTTTTATTTTTCCACGGCGACAACGAGACATTGTAAAAGTTTATGAAATGAGGCAAAATAGCCGTCATTTTTTATATTACATTATTATTATTTTCATTTCCATCATCTGAAAGAACTTTGATATTGAAGATGTGTTTGCAAGTTATAGTTTGAACGAAAATAAAGTTAGATTAATAATTAAATTTTTATTTTGTTCCCACAGCAATGCAAAGCAAATTAAAATACTTTAGCTTGCAAGCAAGAATATGAAATATAAATGTATTATTTTATGACCTCTAAAAACCATTCGTTAGATATTTATACTATAGAAATTAAAAAAGTTTGAGGAACAGCAAATAAATCTGAATATGCGGTAAGCCATGTTAAAATACATATACGCGATAGCACTTATAAGAGAGGTAAAAAATGATACGAAAACACACTAGAATAATTAGAAGAAACCACAAACCTTAAACATCTTAACTGTAGCTCAGCAAAACGTTGATATTTTTCATTGGCTGATTCTATAGCTGAAATGAAATCAAATAATTTTTGAATTTATACATCGATTGACAAGTTTCTACAAAAAAAAACATGGATTTAGAAATTGGTAGCAATGTGTCTTTCTTCATATTTTATATTGTCTTTGTAGATATGTCGATCGCCACGGGGGGAAAAGGATCGTTAAAAACATTTACGAACTGACTGACAATGAGAAATGATTTTCTAGCCTAAATATATTCCCATCTGCGACTTGGAGATAGGTATGATGAGATCAGTGAAATAGCTGATTAAACGTTGTAAAAAACCAAATTGCAGTGAGTATTTTTAATATTCTGTTTTTCCCATGACGATTGAAATATCTACAAAGAAAATTAATATACAAGTTAAATCTTAATTTTTGAAAGAATTGACTTCGCCTTTTTGCTTGAGACACTCGGGTTGCAAATGATTGCAGAAGACAGGTTTCGTTACAGTTTTTATGATAAACTTTTTGTTAGTAAGCCTATTGAATATATATTACTATCGCTTTGAAAATGGTAGTCATCTTACATTCGAAGTATATAACTTTAAAAATCATCTGAAAATAGGACCTACATTGTGATGAAGCTTCAGACTTTGCTAATTGGTCTGATCAATCGATGTGTAAAGTTGTCCTGACCATCGGACGGTAAAAACACGGAATAAAACTTCGCACAGTTGTCATTTCATCAGAACATATTGATGTACCTAGGAAAAAAGCAGTCTTGTAATTTAAAGTCTTCCTGAAGCAACTGCCGTGCAATTTAAGAAAATCAATCAGTTTATTTGTAATCGACAATCTCCGAAAAAAAAAAAAAAAATTATCTCGTCCATGGCTTGTCCAATCACATTCCGATTCGATGCAAAAAAATGAAAAACTTCTGAGCTTTTTAGTTTTTCATAAATTTGTTGAGCGTACTACTTAAGAATATGAATGTCAATGTCTTAAAGTTGATCATTATTATTGTACTTAATTAATATACTGCGAATTGAGCATGTAAAGCTGTCTAACAGAAGCTTATCACTGACGGTAGCTAAAAGAAAATAATATTTTCGGAAAACTGCACTGCAAATGCAATGTTCAACTGTGATACGCTAGTATTTAAACATTCAAGTAACGTGTTTGAATATTGATGCAACATAAAAAAGTTCAAGAGCTTTTCAATGTTTTGCATAAAATTTATTAACTAGATAATTTTTTATCGGAGATCGTAGTTTACAAATAAATTAATTGATTTTCTTATAATTTCACGATACATTGCTCACGAAGACTCATCAAATTATAATATTAGCCTAATTTTTTTCCTTACGTTTCAAAACTTTTTTATGAAATGACAGTTTTGCGAAGTTGTCCGTGCATGAAATAGCTTGAAAATCCATGTTTTTTTATCTCCGATTGCCGCCACAACTTTGCTAATTAGTCGAGATGAATTTTTGACGTATCAATTAATGCACATAATCATAAGCTTTAACGCCGTTGCATAATTATGCTCATTTGTCTGCGATTTTATAAATATAGAAATACACTACAAAAGACAGATGACATTATTTTCAAACCGATGATAATAGTGATATTTCCTCGTAATATTAAATCAAAAGAATTTTTATAAATATAAAACTACGACTGATAAATAAATTACACGTTTTATTAATAAAACTAAAGGAAACTGATTTTACGAATAAAAGCATATTATTAATTGGAAATAATGTAGTATTTATTTACCTTCTTCTTCCAACGTATTGCACATCGATTGGTTCTTTTGAGCCTTTCGAAATTCTTTCTTTAACGCTAATATGATTTCTGTTTGTTTTCTGTCCAATATAATCTGTTTTAATTTTAATCGTTGAGTCCTTAGCTTTATATGTTTTTCGATTCGCATTTGCTTTTTCTTCGCAAGCTTATTTTCGTTTTCTTGCTCCGTCATCCAAGCTTTTTTTGGCCAGTATTTCTTAGTTTCACGATCAGTGTCAGGCACCGAAGAATTACTCTGTTCCACCTTATCGGAAGGCATTCTTTTCATAAAATATAAAACAAAAACAAACAAGATAGTATTGCTTCAGTATAAAATTAGCTGAAATGCGCGTTTCAAATAATTCTATTGAAAAGAGAAATCCTTGACATTTAAGAGATTCTTAAACCAAAAAGATCAATCTCATAGCATTGCTTCTGCCAGTCAACCTGTACGAAGAGTTGAACCTTATTTCGTTGTCAATTAGCTCTGTTTAACTCGAGTTAATTATAATCGAGACAAAGTATGCGAGGCAAAGTGTGTCGCGATAATGCACTTACACGTAGGCGTCTACACATTTGAATTAAGCCCGGCAAAAAAAATCGTCCCAAACTCTCAACGCGTCCATCGTGCTGGTACATACTCTGTGTTATCGGCCTAACGACAAATATTCACACATCAGGGATGCCCACTACAGTACAGCTAGATCAAGATGAACTGCTGATGAATCGATCAATGCGCGCAATCTAGATATGCTTTATCGCGGTTTGAGTCCCATTTTCATGCGATTTTTCATCTCAAAGTTATAGGTTTCGCGATTACAGTGACTATCATCTTCAAATCGATAATCAACTTTGATCTACCTGGGGATGGGGCGGCGCTCGTCTGCTCAGTTCTAAAAAGCTGCCAGATGTTTATCTAGGCACGAAACGGTCAGTGGCTGGCCAAGAATACGAATGATGCGGCTATAAAACGCTCAAATTTCTTCCACCTAAGATGTTCGCCGTTAATGTACCTACAGGAGCCCAACAATTTGCTCAGGCTATTTAGGATTTATTTTCGTTCGTTTAGCTCGACAAAAGGCGTTCCAATAAACTGCCAGATGTTTATTTGCGCACGGAGTAGCCAGCGATTGGTCGGGGACAGGAAAGAAGCCGACTGACCGAGGTCTAACTTTCACCCGCCTGAGGTTGGTGTTAGTGTGTACCTGCGTAGCAGCCGAAAAACTACACGGTATCGATAATCGCGACAGAGTGAATATAGAGGACGGATTGTAATGTTTTAGCGAATCTTGAAGTACAACGGAATAATTCAATAAACGCACGCGTCGTGCATCAGCTTCGAGTGCAATCGTCTCTATTCCGACAGATATTATATGACCTTAAGGGCGACAGAGCATTAAACTGTCGCCGGGATGTGCGACTGTCGCAAGACAATAGCCAACAGTTGCGACTAGTTGAATTGTCTCGACACGTAAGTTGATCAGAGTGTGCCTTGGTTATAATTAATACAATCAGCGCATTTACGATAGCCATCGTTTCTTCTTACTTATTTATTTATGATAGAAAAGCAATTTTCACAAAGTCGGCCAACTCTCGTGAGCAATTCTGAAGGATGCAAGGAAATACAAGAAAGGCTTACTTCTCTGCTGCGAATTTCCTGGACAAGAAAGAATGACGACACCAATAACAACGAAACGAAATCTCGTTGACGTGTTAATTAACAAATAAAGTTGGTCGTTGACTGCAAACCTAGTATAACGGTCGAAGATCAGTACGTACCCAAGGGTCGAACGCGCTAAACTAAAGAGGCATGCCTACAGTCGAACTGTTTCTTTCCTTGGTCAACGTGCCTGCGCATCCCTTCCCCGCTATATCGCTCTTCGCTAAATGGACACTTGAGAGTCCCATCAGCCGCAAGCGCTTGTGACGTTTTCGCACGTCTCGTACAGCTGCATGGGATTGACGAGTTAACAGCGAAAATTTCCTCGTCGACAAATGGCGCAGTAGACACTGTCACTCGATGCTCCGAAGTATGCGCACGAACTGTTCAATTTGATTTTGTTGGAAAATTAGCTTTGTCAAATTCGAGCACGCTAATCGAATCAATTGTAATCGAGACAAACTCTGCGATAAGCGTACGCCTCGAGACAATTCAGTCACATGGTTATATTACCTTGCGGTAATCGCGTATTTCGAGAAAACTACATCTCAGCGACACTTTGATGCTCTGTCGCCGTAAAAACTTGTCGATAGCGATCACGTACGTAGCTGCAAGCACATTGATTAAAATGAGCCCGTCTTCTGGTTAAATAATCTACACCAGAAAACAATCATAAACTATATTGCTATATGGTCGTTCAAAATCGACGATATGCTTGCCATACTGTAATTTAGTGTAGTATTTTCACTTCAATTTCAATTCTTTCAGTTTTGTCGTTTCTGTTAATAATTAATCCACTTCGCTGAAGTCTACGAATTTCACGTGTATGTGTAATAATAATTATTTTTTAAAAAACGTTTCTCAATAAAACCGTCTTCAGAACGAATTTTAAGCTTTGACATTGGCAAATCCACCGAATTTTTAACTTTTATGTAATATCCATAAATCTATAATTATTACAGCTGTACGACTTGATAAACATACATTTATTTATTATTTCAATAAATCACCTTATTTCTAGTATTTTTAAAAAATTTCGAGCGTCCAAGTAATATATACGAAAACAAGGAGAGTCATTACTTGAACAAACTGAAAATTTCTAATGAAATAAATCGAATTTCCATGCGTTCTACTCGTGGTCCCTAACGTAGTACATTAATCATATATCTAATGGATAGTTGACCATAAAAAGAAACATTAGTATAATTTACGTCAACGTGTAAAAACTTCTTATAAAAATGCAGCATGTCAATGAAACGAAATAACTCTATCCGAAATTCATGATTTATCAATATTTTGTTATTTAGTGGTAGCGGCCTACATTAACTCAACAAGTTGATAGTTAATATTTATTGCTGGTACAAAAACGAAGAAATCTAGCCGTATCACGAATGTGTGCACCTTACCCGCACAAAATCAGATGATTTTGAAGTAAATAATAAAATTCGTGCAACTTAAGATGAACTTACTTTATTATGCAGCATATTTCTAACAATTTTTCAATATGATTCCTGATGTCTGTAATTCCATCAATTTATTAATTTATTAATAAAAAATATATGAGCTGTAAGTATTCTTATTATTATATTGACATCATCAATGAAAATGTAAGTAATAATGAAATACTAGTAAATCAAAAATTATCAAAGTACTTATGTATCGCATAAATAATTGAAAGGGCGCTAAATGTTTACGAGTTGACGCTCGTGAAATAGTTGTAGGATATTTTCATTACGATGTGTTTACAAACTCGATAAATGTACAGTACAATCTTACAGGCAGGTATACTTTGTGATTATGATTTTTATTCATTCTAAATTGTGCTTTCAAATGGAGCAGTTGATAGTATGTCGATCAATTCTATCAAATATGAAAATGTTTCACTAAAATTTAACTTTTGTACGACTTATTTATGTTTGATCTTCTGACCTTGACAGCAAAAACAGTAAAAAAGTTGCACAGGTATCGCTTATGACTCCTCTTGAAGAGCACACAAATACGTACGCAAAATGATCATAGTGTGATAAAAATTTTTTCCAATTTTTCTTAATAGTAAAAATTAATAATATATTTTCTCAATAGTAAAAATAAATAATTTCAAGGATTTGCCGACATACCATTTTTTTCTTCATTCCACATTGTTATAATTTATCATCTTGATGGTTCGGATTCCGCCTTCAACTATAGATTGTGATCCACGTAATAATTCTTTTTCCACTGCTTTTTAAAAAGAAATATCAATTTATAAAATTTAAACATAAGATCAAAAAATAAATACATTTGAAATAAAGTATTAATTTAAATCCTTAAAAATTGTAATACTATTTTTTATTAATTATTTGCGTAGGTAATATATGCATTATCCTTATTATAAAGAAAGTGTTAATATTATTAATTTAGTAGACTTCGATGCATAGTGCGTGACGGGTTTAACCCTTTGCGGCATAGTGGTAAGTATACTTACCACCTTTTTGAAATGAGATTTTCATGTATGAAGGGCTCTAATAAATCGTTGCTCACGGGGATTTTTAATATTTTATCCTTTTAATATGTTAATGAATGTATAACTGTATCAAATTATCGATTTTTAGTCGCCATTTTTTAAAAAATGGCTGAAAAGTGCACCAAAATGACGATTTTTTAGAAAAAAAATCATTATTGAAAGCAAATGTTACTATAATCGTGCAAAAAAAATTACTTGTAGGTTTTCAGGGTCACTGAATACGAATCTGCAGTCAGAATTTGAAAATTTTAATTTCCAAGATGGCGGATCTATTTTTCAGCTAAATTTTATTTTTTCATTTATTTTGAGTCAATTTCGGTACTAAGGGGTTTTTGGGGTCGCTGATTACGAATCTGAATTCAGAATTTGAAAATTTTAATTTCCAAGATGGCGGATCCAATGTGGTGGATGAATTTTTCAGCTAAAATAAAATAAAGAAAAAATAAGAAAAAAATAAAAAAATAAAAAATAAACAAAAATACAAAAATGGAGACTTACCACCACGTCCTCACTCGTGTCTCTAGGTTCAGCTAAGAGTGGTAATATTATCAAAAATGTAAAAATTATAGCAGAATATAGTATGGAATGGCGAGTGTAAAAAAAACACTGAACAAACACATGGGTCTGTCATATATCGGCTTTCTACTTCCATTCAGGATACTTCAATCTAGCTGAAAAATGGATCCGCCATATTGGATCCGCCATCTTGGAAATTAAAATTTTCAAATTCTGACTTCAGATTCGTAATCAGTGACCCCAAAAACCTACCGGGTAACAGTTTTCATATTTATATTATTGTTTCAAAAATGTGTGCCGCAAAGGGTTAAAGCACGCTTGGTTTGCCAAGGGTGCGCCAATCAAGACCTCGATTGAAATTAATAATATTAACCAAATTTAAAGTTTTAATAAATTAATGAAAAAATTATAGGTTGCTTATATTATTACAGTAAAGCTGCATACATAGTGAGCTAATTAGAAAGCAAAAAACCGCGAGAATTTAAATAAATGGATATGGGGTCATGACGCATCCATTCCTGTTACGTTATCACTATGTTGACGATGTCAGGTTGGTAGTAGTGAACAGATTCACGAATGGGGATGCTGTTACTTCATTAATATTGACATTTTCTTTGTGACGGACAGATCCTCGCACAATATACTGCGCAGCATCCAAGTGCGCATGATCATCACGATAAGGCCCCCGGAGTGTGGTCGAAGCCAAGAATGCACTGCGCAGTAGCAACTACACATTGCGCAGTTATAGCATAGAGCTTATGCACAGCGCATGTTCTCGATTTCGACCAGATCCCTGTCTAACGAAACGGGAGGATTGCGAAGTTGATCCTTCATTTTTAAAGGAAATTAATAGTGAAAAAGAGAAAACGGAATTGAGGGGACCAGTCGATATTTAGTAAAAATTAAACATTTTCTTTGTTAGCGTATAAAAGTCGCCCTAATAAAGATATAGTCATGAAACAAGGACTCGATATAAACTTCCATTTTCCTACTTTTGAGTCCCAAAATCTTATGTAGCGGTCCTAGAAGTTCCTTCAATCGTAACATCTTACTTTTTTGAAAAAATTGACTTTACCACGCTTTTCTGAATGCTAGAGTGAATAGAAATCATTTTAGGAGAACTCGTTGCCTTGTCTTTGTTAGAACCTAAACTATGGAATGAGTGGAGCCGATTTCCAAAAAAAATTGTTTTTTCGATACTCTTGCGCAAAGTGCGTCTTTCCCGCACGCTCGACAGAAAATGTGCATTGAAAATCGCACTTTCCACTCATCATATAAAAAAATACGCTACAGCACATGTACGGGAAAGAGTTTCTCGTTTCGTGTACCTTTCCACCCCCGCTTCGCTCGGGCATAAACGTCACTCGAGACAAGAATCTACTTTCCCGCACTTGTATCGTAATGTACTATTTCACCTTTTTTGACCTTTTTCGAATTTTATTAAAAAAAAAATTCATTCATAATTGTAGAAAACTGGTTGACAAACATAAAAAAATAATTTTTTTGAAAATCGACTCCACTCATTTCATAGTATAAATTCTAACGAAGACTAAAAGATTTCTTTAAATAATTTAGTAGCTTCTAACACGTTCAGAAAGGCGTGAAAAGTACGTTTTTTCAACAAATAAGATATGTTACGAATAAGGAAACTTTCTCGGACCTCTAAATAAAATTCTGGTATTCATAATAGCAAGAAAATAAAAGCTCTTTAAGCTGGAAAAGTTTTCGTGGTTGCAGCCAGTATAGATTTTCTAGAGATAACATTTCTGTCACAATTTAATGATATAGAACAAGCTAGTCTGAGTTGAATAACATATTTGATTTAATAATATGAGTCGCAAAATAAATAACATTCACGAATATAACCTCTATACTGGTCTGTAACTCCGTTATTCATCACGTACGTTTATGCATCGTAAAAGTGATGGTTTTACATGCATTTAACAATTATCGTATCAAGAATATTTAATGTAATTCACTTTGTTCTTACTTTCCGATATAACGGTGGCGTTACAATGTGACCAGCAGTTTTGTCAGAATGGAACGGCAAAATATATGGACTGAGCTCGTTTTCCCGCCACTTGAACGGTCGAAAATTGTTAATTTTATTTAAAATGTATGCAATTTATTGAAATAGTAAACGGCGGGAAGGGGATAATGAGGGAAATTATTTTCATTTTGAGACCTTCCTGCAAAAATTCATAAAATGATCGGAAAATCGGAATTTTCATGCATTTTCTAGTAAATAATCGGAAAAAAATTACTACTAATATCAGGAACAAATAGGGCAATTAATGCCATTTTCCCTTTTTCGCTACTAATTTTCTATGAAAATGAGCCAACTTCGCAGTCCTCGAAACAGGACCAAGACCAGCATTTGCTTAACGTTTTCCCGCCTATTGGCGGGAAAAAACAGAATAGCCGCATTTTGGTCACCCATGTGGCCGATCTGCTTCTTAGGCTCTAAAGCAGTTTGAATATTCATCCGCGACGCGTACGATACGGTTTGTCCTTTCATTGAAGACATTCAACGATAAACAACAGTGAAACTAATTACTCACTTGGACGTCTTTTGTTTAGGAATCCGTGTGAATCTTTTCGTTTAGAAGTGGTTTGCCGATATAAGTACACAATGATGGATGTCGAGGTGAAAGTCATTAGAACAGATTCGCCGGTGTCGGGTGCGTGCTCCGAAAAAGATGAGAAAATAAAAATCGTCCCGAAGGAAAATATTAATAGGGAGATCATGGATATCGTGGAAGACTCAGGCTTTTCTAGCACCTCCACAGAATCTGGATCAGGTTAGCAAATGTTAATTTGTGCCTAGGATATTAATTGTTTTAAAATGCTTAACAGTTGATCACGGTATTATTCTCATAATTCCATGTAATTTTTTTTTCTTGTGCCGCGGTTAGTTCGATTTTACATTAGTATGTAAAACCAAATTTACGTCTGTTGCATACTACTATCCAATTTTATTTAAAATTTTACTTCAATCACAGAACTACTATTTGTACAATACATTACATTTATTTTTAATTAACGAGCACCTAATAATAGTTGAAGAAAAAATACCCCGACGCACTGAAGGTGTTAAAATCCTTCTATAATAGTAAAAAAAGAATTGTTAAATTTGTTGACAACAATGTTTTATAGTTTATAGAAGTTATATGTTAGTACATATTAATTAATTTTTTTTCTATTTTTATTTTTCTTTAATAACCAATCATACTGTCATAAAAAGTTAGCTTAAAAATAGACAGTATCAATTAACAGTTCTTTATGTGATAATCATTATTTATCTTGCAAAAATTTTGAACAAAGAATATTTTTTTAGATATACTTGGGAATTTAACCAAAGTTGAATCTGTTGAAGGCACAATTGGAGATGGTATCAAGTTTGTTGATCCACAATTGATATTGTCTGAACAACGTGAGAAAGCAGAAAAATTGGAACGCTTGAAAAGGAAAAAAATTGCGCAGGAGCAAAAAATAGCTGCAAGAGAAGCTTTTGAAAAAGAAATTCAAGAGCAACAGTACAAACGCTTAATACACTTATTACATCAGAGCAAGGCGTTAACTAGCTTTATTACGAAAAAGATTGATATGAAAGGTGAAAAAAAAAAACCTGCAGGTCGTAAAAGGAATGTAAAACTTGAAGAGGAATCAACAGTAAAAAAAGCCAAAATGGTTCTAAAAAAAACAGTTAGTTTTTTTAATAATTATTTTTTATTTCTAATACTTTTTTATAATTTATTACTACAATTCAGAATATACTATTGAATGTAATTGTATTAACTGAATTTCCAGCCAACAAAGAGAAGTAGAAGAAACCGGAATCTCAGTGATGAAGAAATTAAGAGAGAGTTGAACAATCTTTCTGATGAAGAAATTTATGAATCGCCTAATAAAGAAAATGAAAATGTCAACTCTATAGATGATTTTGTACAGCCCAAATACTTTAAAGGAGAGTTAAGAAATTACCAAAAGGAAGGTGTCAATTGGTTAAGACTTATGTATGAAAATGGTCTAAATGGAATTTTGGCAGATGAGATGGGTTTGGGGAAAACTATTCAAGTGATAGCTTTATTTGCTTATTTGTTTGAAAAAAACATAGCTGGGCCATACATGATTATAGTTCCATTGTCAACACTACCAAATTGGACATCAGAATTTGAACGTTTTGCCCCTCAACTACCAGTTGTAGTATATTATGGAAATGAACAAACAAGGCATAGTATTAGAAATAAGATTCACAGGAAAATATTTCCAGGACCTTTTAAGACAGATCCTATTATATTGACTACCTATCAAGTACCTATCAATGATGCTTCTTTTCTTCGAAAATTTAATTGGAGGTACATAGTAATTGATGAAGCTCAAAGAATTAAAAATTTTGAAACTCAATTGTTCAGGTAACACAACTCAATATATATTTGTAAATTATTATAATCTTTCATTTATGCATCTGATAAATATATTTTTTTAGAATTGTGAAATCATTCACTTCAGCCAATCGTCTATTGCTGACAGGAACACCATTACAAAATAATTTGACAGAATTATGGTCACTACTAAATTTTCTTCTTCCTGATATATTTAATAATCTGGAAGTTTTTCAAGATTGGTTTGATCCTAAAAGGATTCAAAATGATGAAGGGCGTCAAAAGTTTTTCCAACAAGAACAAGAAAAGCGTGTTATGGCTACATTGAGAGAAATTTTACATCCATTCATGTTGAGAAGATTAAAAGAAGACGTGTGTCCTGATGTTCCTCCTATCAAAGAAGTTATAATATACACACCATTAACAAATATCCAGTATGACTTGTACTCAAGTATTATTAAAAGAGATATATCTAAACTTCAGAAAGTTAAAGAAGAACCAATCATTGTAGATATCAATGGAGTCAGACCAAAAAGAAAATGTACCAAAAAAATGAACCTTGATGATGTCTTTGTGATGAATCAAAAAGCTTATAGTAATAGCATTAAAAATTTAAATTCGGATATCACAACAATTGGAACTACAAATATAAAAAATGAAGATTTATCTATGTGGAATCAGTTTACAAATGTCACAGAAAAAAATGTCAATTACTTAATCAGATTGAGAATGTGCAATGAAGGTAACTGATTCTATTAATTATAATTTTTAATTACTAATTAAACGTTTAATAAATTTGTTTGCAGTTATGATGTACAGACATGTCGTAAATCATCCTTATTTAATTCATTACCCTATGAATGATTGTGGCTTAGGATTGATTGATGAGAATCTTGTTACTGCGTCTGGAAAAATCTTGGTTCTTGATGCAATGCTGAAAAAGTTGAAGAGTAATGGTCATAAAGTTTTATTATTTTCAACTATGACTATGGTTTTGAACATCATTGAAGATTATTTATCTTTGCGCGACTATAAGTATGAAAGACTAGATGGCGCGATCGATCTTGATACGAGAAGGGACAGTATAAATAGGTTCCAAACTGATCGAGAGATATTTTTATTCTTACTAACAACTAAAGCTGGTGCCGTTGGTTTGAATCTTGCTGCAGCAGATACCGTAATCATCTACGACAGCGACTGGGTGTGTTTCAATTAAGTTTTTTTTATTTTATTACCTGATAGGTATGTTTTCACGCTAATGATTGATTACGAATTTTTTGTAGAATCCTCAAAACGATTTGCAAGCAATGGCTCGTTGCCATAGGATAGGACAAACAAAACCTGTAGCAGTTTATAGACTTTGCACTAAGGGTACCATTGATGAAGATATTATAAAGAGAGCTAATGCTAAACGATTTTTGGAAAAAGCAGTCATATCAAACGAAGGTAAAATAGTTGATCATGCAGATGGTCTTATGAGACTGAAGAAAATGTTAGATACAGAAACATTCAAAGTCGTGGATCCTAAAAATAATGGTATAAACTTGAAACCTTTTTCAAAAATTATTCTGATGTTATTAAAAATACACTATTGTACTACATTAATTTTTATTAATAGTTTACAGTGCTGCTGAACTTGATGAGCTTCTAGATCGAAGCGATATGGTTTTTTCATCCAGAAACATTGAGTCATTGTGAAAAATTATATGTACTTTAGTAGTTCAATTTATTTTCAAGTATTAATATTATAAAACTGAATTTTGTTTACGTGCCTTAATATTGTATAACATTGTTGCAATCAATCAAATCAATCATAATATATACTCAATCTAAACTGATAAGTTCATCAACCAATAACAAAAATTGTTCTCAGTTGTTTAAGTAGATTATAAGGAGAATATTTAAATCAATGTGTCGTTAGTATTATTTATTTATTTTTTTACGAGAATACTAAACTTTGACGAATAAGTAAATTAAGTATATTTTGTATTTGTCAAGCATTTCATTTAATAAAGAATAAGTTTTGAATGGATAATATGTGATTTTACTATGACCACGTAAATAGAAAATTAACAATAAAATAATATTTTTATAGAAAAGCGTTCCTTCACTACAGATACATATGGGACGTGAAAAAAAAATATTATAGTTTATTTATTATATTTATTATATGCAATTTATTATAGAATTATAAATTGAGGAGCCCGAAAAAGGTAAGTACAATCATGCGAACGCACGTTATGGCCTGACTTTGACGTGCGCTACTTATTGTAGCCCAGTTCTAGGCTGCCACCGGGCTGCGACGGTTAGTAGTCGGGTGGTGAACAAGCGTTTGTTTACGTTTTCGCTGATGGGCAGTTTGTTGCCCCCCCCCCCCCTATATATATATAATGGGAGGAACAGTATTCATGGTTTTATTGCGAAGAAAGATAATTAACTTGGGAAAAAAATATAGTTCGACAGTTTTACTGATAACTCTGCTGAAAAAGTTCCATAAGTTTCCAATCAAAACTATTTATATCGAATAGTAATCAACCATTTTCAATAGATCAGTAATCAAGTGACGATTTGACTTAAATAATTTTAAGTGGTAAATAATACCAATTCTGATCATTCAATGAATAAATATTTTATTTTATAAAATCATCGATCGTAATGAATTAGTTGATATTTTGTAAATCATAATTGATACTCACGATATGAAAAAAAAATATAACTTTTTAGGGAGTGTTTACGCAGGTTTATATGTTATAATCAATTAATGGACATCGGTTCTGCGGTGATAGAATATAAGCAACATATTTCCCACCACGTGCTGAAAATCATTCGCCTTATACATAATGCTCTTTTTTTTTAATAAGATTAAAAATAATCCTCTGATATACATCCTAGGTAAAAAAATCAAGCGATTTCTTGGAAAAACGTGACGTCATGTGAAAAATAATACTCGAAACTACATGATGTCACGAAAATTTAAAACCGAAAGATAGCGATTTACACTAGCTCTACACTCAATGAAGGTTATTAATAAATAAAAGAGTAACGAAACTATAATTCGAATTATAGAATCGTTTGTAGCTGCTGATCTCGGCACGGTAGCATGTTACCGAATAATGTGGAGCGGTGTGGCGTAGAGGGATGGGTCCACTAAGAACTCAATCTCGTGCTGTTCGCTGGGCCACAATAGACTCACTTGGCAGTCCTTTCCTGAGACTACTCAGCAAAAGGGCGGTGTAAATATTAACCCCCAGGATGCAATCAATGGGGCCCTTCTTATAGTACTTTAGATTTGCAAGAGATAGTCCTTCTAAATGAGACCAGGTCTTCATTGTAGCTGCCCTACCCGGAAGAGCTTTGGCAAGACGACCTTCAAGAGGTGCATCCGGAAAGGCATGATGGTAAAGATCAGCGCGACGTCCACCTCACCTACCGAGGGCCAAAGACCGATGTTAACGTCAATTTCGCTGATGGTTGCACGAGTGAGTCGCTTATTGGGCAGTCTCTGTGCCTGAACGACCCGCTTTGACAGGAAAGTGACTTCGGAGCCCTGATCCAATAGCGCTCGTTGAGTCGCTTTCCGTTTAAATGAGCACTTGGGCTATAGCGAGTAGTACTGCTCCCTCATGCAGAGTTCGAGAGTGAAAGGGGGGGGGGGGGGGGTGAGTATCGAGGGCTCCGCGATACTTCCCTGTGCCGGCTGAGCCGTCGGGACCTCCTGATGTAGAACAGTGTGGTGAAGTGCTTCACAGCCTGTCACCCTGCAGCGGTAGGAAGACGGAGAGTTTCTGGTAATGGAGACCCTGGCAGACCTGGCAAGGTGATTTTCTTCGCTCCGCATCGGGCTTTCCATTATTCGCCATCTAAGTGGTACGTATGAGCACGAGCCGTTTTGTTTGATCCTCGGCGTGCGCACCTGCTGTCCGGGGGAGTAATATTGACTGCTCTTGAGGTTTGAAACGTCTTTGACCGGTTCTCGAAAAAGTTCTTCAGATCGGCATACTGGGGGAAAGTGTCAAAGTTCTTGATGGATTTGAATGCCAGGCCTCATTCCGACCAGTCATCCAAGTAACTGACATGTCGCCTCAGCGCAGTCTAGGACCGGATGGCTTCTTTGACTTTATCCAACAGTCGTGTGATCTCGGTAGCCGATCGAGAAATCCTGACGGGCATGGAGAGCAATGGAGTGAGATGGTCAGCTAGCTTGACTCTTCGGTTATCGTACCTCTGCAGAAGAATGTTCCAAGCTACTTCAAAGTTGGAGCCGATTTGAAGGAGATTTCAAAGACGAGCTGCTGCGCTGTCTTTCAAACAGAGGACATCAATCGCTGTAATTTATGTAAGTTAGCTGTGTGCGGAGTGTCCTTGACCATGGAGCTGAAGAGCTCCTTGAATAACTTCCAATTTCTCTGCTCGTCATTGAAAGTAGGCAGTTTCAAGGTAGACAGGTGAGTAAGTGAACCACAAGATAGAATAATGAAACTTATCACATTCGGAAGGCGTTTTAAAACGAATTTACCGGGAAGAAAAAATTTAAAGAGAATGAAGCCTTGGGACATGTAGACATGTGGTTTACAGATGGGTCTAAGACTGACAGAGGCATAGAATTTGGTATATATAAAAACAGATAAGAACAAGACCTATGGTCTGAAAGAGTATAACATTATCTTTCAAGCGGAAATGGCCGCTATAAAAATGTGTGCTATGAATCTGGTATAAAATAGAAACGAATAAAGCAGAATGATCAAAATCTGCACTGAAGCGTCAATAAAGGCACTTAAGAATCCGGTCACTTCGTCAGCACTGGCCAAAGAGACCAAAAAAGTGCTGAACGATCTGGCCACGAGGAACTCCATTACTATTGTGTGAATATCCTAGACACTCAGGTTACAAGGGTAATGAGAAGACAGATAAGATAAAGGCCAAGTAAGGAGCGAAGACATGTGCACACCCGGACTGGGAGGTAAGATTACTATATACCGAAAGGGATGCACGAGAATAAATTCCATTATGGAGGAAGAAAGGTGGACAACCTGAGAAAAATCCCAGGGATGCTGATGAAAAGAACCTTGTTTGGCCGAAACATAAATAAATGGGCAAATAACATAAAGAGCACGAGTAAATATGGGGCTAGAACAATCCTGGGAGTATTTTCGAGCTTCGCTGCTATCACAAAATACAAGAACATAGTAACTTGTGTAGATGGTACTAGGAAGAGGAGGAAATACCATTTCACTTTTTATATAAGAATGCGCCCAGCACTGATGGCCAAAGGACAAAAGTGAATGGGTAGAGGGATATTGGATCCCGAGTTATTTGAGGAGGTTGACCTGAGGAATATACCTGCATTCTGTAGGGCGATAGGAATGATTAATACCTTGTAAAAGTAAAATCCGGCAGGATAGGAATGTAATGGTGAAAATTAAGTGTCCCTGAGCAGGCTTTCTGCACCTCGATTATCTTTATTATTATTATTAATTTTACGTATAGTAAATCTGTCGAACCATATTTTATTCGAGTTATCATTTTTCCTCTAATCACGGGTACTAATTCTCTCATTCAACATATTTATTTTTATATCGCACATATGCGTCCGTAGAGTAGAGATCTTAAAAATATTTTTTATAAATCTGAAGCAAAAATGTGCTATATATATGTCAATAGAATATGTCTATAGAGCAGTAATAATATTTCATTAAATTGTTGACACGCTATGAATTATATTTGTGTGTGTGTGTATATATATATATATATATATATATATATATATAAAACTATTTATATATAAAACTATTATATAGTTATTTTTTATTTTAATGAAAAAAATAAGAGATATCACATAAAACTTTTATTAAAATTTCAAAAAATAACTATCATTTATTATATGCTTGTTTTGTTTTGAATAATTCTATCAATATGAACTTCATTAATTAAGAATATATATAAGGTCACGCGAGTAATAAGAAGATATAAGACAATTGGTAATACAATAACATATGCATGTATTATGTGTATATATATTTAACTAGGTCTAACATGCTTGACACAGAGTCAAAATAAAAAATATACTACTTGGAACATTCTATATTATTTGATGTAACTGTGCAAATCATTTTAAAAATGGTAAGTAATATTAAGAGTATTTAAATCAACAACAGCACTTTTCATTTCATATTTCATAATATAAAATAAAATGATAGTTTGGTAATTAATAGAATTTTAATTATTCAAAGTTGACAGATAAAGAAAGGCAAAAAGATGAAATGTTTGCACTTGAAAATATTTATAATACAAAGGAGTTCAAATATAAAAAAAGAGTAAACATTGAGTGTGAATTTGCAATCAATTGCAAATTGGTAAAGGAATATTTGTATATCAAATGTGGAAAGGAATTTTCAGATATTCAGGATAACCAATGTATCAAGCATTTACCACCATTGCAACTATATGTACAATTACCATACAATTACCCATCAACAAGTGCTCCACAGTATCATTTGTTTGTTAATTGGCTTTCTCCTTGGCAAGCATCTCTTGTTTGCCAAAAACTAGATCAGTTATGGGATGAGAATAAGCAGAATGAAATACTTTTCATATGGCTAGAGTTTCTTAAAAATGAATTACTTTTTTATTTACAAATAAAAGATATTTTAGATGTATCTTATCTTATGAATATATTTTTGAATCCTACAGATGAATTTCAGTTAGAAGTATTGCAATGGACTGATCAAAGAGTCATCAATGGAGGTCTGTATTTGAATCCTTTGGATAAATTAATTCATTACAATGACATACAGGGTTTAATTGATTTTGAGATCAATCTTCACGAGTGTGGAATTTGTTTTGAAAAATATTTTGGCAAAACTTGTGAAAAAATTACTCCTTGTGGGCACATATTTTGCAAATATTGTTTAACAGAATTTCTAACAGTTAGGATCAGTGAGAGAAATATTAATAGTAATTTAGTATGTCCAGCGACAGGGTGTATAGAAAACATAAGTTTTGATCAAATAAGAAAATTATGTTCAGCAAATCTCTTTCATATGTATGACAAATATTTGTTAGAATATAAACTTATTAGTAGTGGAAATTTAGTTTACTGTCCAAGGAAGCAGTGTCAATCATTAGTTACATTGAATGAAGGAGAAAATTTGGCTTCGTGTTTCGTATGTGAATATAACTTTTGCGCATATTGTTTCAAGGTACACAAGTATAATTATACAAGTATAAATATAATAGTATAATCATATAGAATATAATTTTTCAATGAAATTCCAAGGAATATGATTAATTATATTAATCATACTTTTTTTTCGTGTATCCATAACTCAGAACTCTATTATAAAAGTACAATATACAGTCAAATAAAATCCTAATTCTTATTTTGAGGTTTACCATGGTATTATGCCATGTGATATGGATTCTACAGAAAAAATCAAAATAATTGAAGCGTATCAAAATGGTGATGTAGATACAAAAAAGAATTTGGAAAAACTATATGGCAAAATTCAAATTCGGGAAATTGTTGAAAAAAAATTAACTAATGATTATCTCAAGGTAAATCAAGTTGTACATGTAACTATTTCTTATTTTATAACTATGATTAATTAAAAATTAACTTTTTTAAGGAAAATACAAAAATTTGTCCTACTTGTAAAATTACTATTAGTAAAGTATCAGGATGCAATTTGATAAAATGTTCACAATGTCAAACACATTTCTGTTGGTTGTGTAATTCAAAAATAATTTTTGATAATCCCTACGATCATTTCATGTTTATAGAAAATGGTCAATGCAATGGCAAGCTATTTGAAGGTCTTATGGATGAAATAAATGAAGTTGATGAAAACAATAATTAAATTATTTATTTATTTACATATATTTATAGAAAAATTTATATAATTTAGACAATGTCAACATTTACTTTTACATTAAAATAATTGTATATACAACTATTTACATCTATACCTTTTTGTAAGTTCAATAAAAAATAACATATTTTTATGCAATTAAAACTGTCAACAGGACTTACTTTTTTCAGTTCTATCCAATATTTTAACAATATCACAAACAGCTTTTTATTGCAAATTACCTGTGAAATTCACTTTTTAAATTCAACAATGCAAATCAACATCAACTTGAATATTAACTTCTGCTTGCTGAGATACTTCTGAATTTGTAGAATTTCTTCTTTCCGTACTCACAATGACATCTGGACATATTTCATAAATTAAAGTTTAAATAGTGTAATTTTCTTTCATTTGTGTTAATTTATATTACCTATACATTCTGAGTTGTCTTGTACAATTTTGCATTGTTTTTTAAATTTTCTAATATTCATTTCTACCAGAATTGGGCCAAACACATAGTATCCTATGCCACTACCTATGGCAAGTGCAATAGTTATATAACCATTAAATGTCATTACAGTCAGCATAAAAAAATACCCTATTACAACATGCATTGACCAGTGACCAAGTTCTAATAGCCATTTTGTCTGAGAATAGCTGAAGGCAAAATGTATTGATTAAATATTTGTATATTTAGAAGAACATTGAAGGAATAAAAAGCAAAAGAAATAATACATACCATTGAGGTGACTTTAAAATATATTTAGACTTTAAAGTTTCTGAAATTAAAGAAGAACTATCTATGTTTTGAGCTTGGTTTTCAATTTCATCACTTTCTTTGGCATATTCATATAATTTGACTTGCGATAATTTCATAGCCTCATATAATATAGCTAAAGCTATTAAGCCTATCAATGTTGATATAAAACATTGAGTAGTTATTATATTATATCCATAGAATAAAAAGTCTTTGAATTCAGTCCCAAACCAGTAATACATATGCATCTACAGAAAGGAAAAAATATTTTACCTATTAATAAATAAGATGAGAAATATACAATCATTATTTTAATTTACATTTTTAAAAAGAATAAAGCTTATTTCAATCAATCATTAATAGGTTATCATAGAAATACACTACAATATTGTAGCTATAATATCATCCTGAACATGACAATGATAAGAAAGTATATACAAGTGGTATTTGTCAAAAGTAACTATGCATTAGACTGTCCTATATAGATATTTGAAATCTTTGTCATGGTACTTACTTTGATTGCTTGTAGTACCTTGAATGGTAACTCTTATGCAGGTTGTGCATATAAACAATTAGTCTCCGTTATTTTAGAAATCTAAATTTTTAAGGAAATACTGATTCTTGTGATTCATCTTACATGTATAATATGTTCCATAAAATTATCATGATAAACTATGTTAGAGTACATAACAGTTTGGCAGTGTAAGTTACATTAACCTAGTCACATAAGCATACATGAAGTGAAAGGAGTGAATGGCCAAATTAACCATAGTTATTATGTTTATTGCTTGCTCTGTAAAAAAGGTTATTTTTACGTGATAGGATAAGGCACTTTTTTATCAATTCACAACAAGATAAACTTTGTTTGTTACCTGATTACTATTGAACATGAGTACATTATTGTGTAGATGTTTTTCTGCGAGTCTGATTCAGCTTTTAAAGATGAAAATAATATTGCACACGCAGTGCACACTCATCTAGGTCACCGTTGACGTATGTTAACATGACTAGACTATATACGTACAGAAGGCAAGGTTTTATTGACAATTGTTATCTAGTGATACCATTTTAATGCTTTTGCTTCATTGCTATGCAGTCACGTGAAACGAAATTTCATTTACAAGCGCTGAGCGATTTTTGAGACAGAAAATAAACGTCAAATGCTTTTACATAATATACCTATCGAATGTTACCTCTTCTTTAGTCTTCATTTTTTTTAAGTTTTAGATATAGAAAGCATTGGCCGATTACGCGCCATCTAACACCAAAATAGCCTAAATTTTTAAAACTATATATGGATTTTTATAGCTAATTAGAATTCTTAAGCGGTTTTGTAAGTAAAATTCTTGTTCATTTAATTTGAATTGTAGTTTGTGTTTCTGTGTTCCTCAATTCAACCGGTTCCTTCGAGCATATACTGCTAGAGGCAGCCCGCAGGGCTGCCGAACCGTCATCGGGTATAGAAAAAGATAGCGCGATTACCGGATAGGCTATCTCTCTCGCACCGCACGCTGATTGGTTGAGTGCGCTCCCCGCCATTAGTTGTATATATGTTGCGCACTTCCAGGTTGTATACAAAGCATGTGGCTTTTTGTAATAGTTTAATTTTTTATACTTTCTGTTTTTTTTCTCGCGTATGCTATTGAAAAATGCCTCATCAAAGATCAAAAAAATTTGAATCTGTTGAAGCTCAAAAAAAGGAACGCATTCGTAGGAATTTAACTAAATTGATATTACATTACCACGATTAAGATTGAAATTATTTCACTGTATAAGTAATTGTTATATATTTTCAAAGCGTGAAGTCGACTTTATAAGTTACCGCATTGGTGTAATATTTTTATAAATATAAGAAAAGTAAAAATTATCATCACTAATGTACCGTATATTGTTGTTCTGGTTGCCTAAGTAATGATTTCAATAAATATTGAAAAAAATAATGTTTTTTACATATATATTCGTAGTAAATATATTATAATAGGAAAAATTCTATCTAAAACGACGCTCATCTGGTTATACTTCATAATTTTCAGTAAAATAATTTTTAATTTCGCATAAATATTAAATGAGAATATACGCTCGAACATTTACTCTACCATATAAAACTACATATATCTATATATACGGCTAATGGCGGGGAGCGCACTCAGCCAATCAGCGTGCGGTGCGAGAGAGATAGTCTATTCAGGTAATCGCGCTATCTCTTTCTATACCCGATGACGGTTCGGTAGCCCTGCGGGCTGCATCTAGTAGTATATGCTCGAAGACCGGTTCAATGATTGTATTTAAATCTGCTTCCTTTTCGTTTATGCTATATTCTTATTTTAGTTTCTTAGAAGAAGGAAATTATTTTTTTGATTAGGTCAAGGCATTTAAAGACTACGATAACATGAACAAAAACTAAAAAATTGTCATTTGTAAAATCAAACGAGTAAAAATATGCTTAATTGTATCAAAGAATAAAATAAAAACGAAGTCACAAAAATAAAAACGCGAATGTATATGGAAATGCACGTAGTATACCTTAATATTCGAGGGTGAGCACCACCTACTGTATTTTTGAAATAACATGCCTATTAACACACTAATCAGTCCTACTGTGTTGTTGAGTTGAAGCTGCACCCTCGAGTGCATCGCTATCTCTTTGGACTGTATTGCATCGTACATATGTGGCGGTTGGCGTGCAACCGGTGCCGTCATCACCTGGGCACGACCGGAGGCGCTGCCAACGCCTGCGCTTTGGGTTACAGGCTTAGGGGCCAGGCTTGGGGAGTACGGGATTGGCACGGAGAGCGAAGCGGCTTAATCCTGCTAATACTGCTAATCCCCGCTAAGCCGACTAGCATCCCTAAGCGGCCTAAGCCTTTGTTTCCGACCTGAGCGACGAGAGGGGGCGGCATTCGATCATCGAGCTGGGTATATAGAGGCGACGAGCCCCGCAGTAGCCAGAACGAGAGGTACCGTCGAGCTGGCCTTGCTTGCTGTGTTCCGGCCATCGCTTCTATTAAGCAAGACTTACTTGCGCCGGGTGCAGCAACGCACTACATCTGCGACACTCTGTCACTGGGCGTCCGATCAAGCTAATTGTACTTCTCTGCGAGAAATAAAGCGCTGACTTCATCGTAACTCACTCTCTCTCTCTCTCTCATCATCCTCGGCGCCTGCGAGTGCGGCCACACTCTTAACGTGTGGCCAAACATATATTAAATAGTATAATTAAAACTGTGTTCTTTTTCATTACACAACAACATAATTACTTTGCACTCACGTCAAAATTTCGACAATGAATAGCTTGTGGTAAAACGAAGTGAATTTATACTGTAAAATCTCGCGTCATATTCAGCAATCTATAATCAGTTACATCATTCAAGCTATCGCTTCCACATCCGTAAGTACCGCTAACGTACTTATGATGTTATTTCCAGGTTAAACATGTTTATTTAAAAAAAATATATATTTTTGACTGTAGATTCTGGAAAAAAATTGTACGTCTAGATATGTTTTATTTTTTTTTCTATAATGGCCCCTATGGTTATTTCAAGGTAATTTATGTATTTGCACAGAAGGGTGACGTGAAAATTAAAAAAAATACGATAATTTATTCATTACTGTTTTTTTGTCGTTCAATTTTTTATTCCATTAAGTCCTGAATAAACAAGTTTTTACAAGTTTTCAACGTCTACATTTTTTGTGAAAATGTATTGTAAAAAGCATGTGACTAGACGTATTTAACTTAGAATTTAATGAGCTTTTAGAATCTTTCATCGAAATCTTTCCGTCTACTCTACCTGTCAAAGTTTCACATACAATTTTTTATTAAAAAATAGGGTGTTTTTAAGTAGCTTTAAAAGAGAGAGAGACAGTTCAAATCAAAGCGAGGAGTGTGTACGATAATAAGAAAGATCAAGATATGGTGGTAACAAAACAGTTTATTTATATAAACCTCGAACAGACCGTATCTAGCTGGCATAAAAACCCCAGTCCTAGGGGTAAGAAAGCGTGCCGCGGGCCCGTGAAGCGACAGACAGAGAGAAAGCGAGGAAGCTTGGTCGGCCAACCCAGCCGGGCAGTGCATGCCGCTCAGCGAGCGATCGACGGGAGCGACCACATGGACATAGCAATGGATCGACCCATTCATTGCCCAAATATGCTCCTTATGACCTCTCTATGCCTGCTCTTGTAAGTATCTCGGTAACGAGTCGCAAATGTGCGGTGCTAGACGAAGGAAAACGTGTTGAGTTAAGAGGGCCAAACGTGGAAGTAGACGCGCTTTCTCGGCCGAGAGAAAGCGCGTACATTACGATACAAGTGAGAAACTCTTTCCCGAAATGTGTCGTACCGTATTTTTTGATACGACGTGTGGAAAGTGCGATTTTCAACGCACGTTTTCTACCGAGCGTGCGGGAAAGACGCACTTTGCGCTCGGAGTGTCGAAAAATAAATAAAAATAAAATGAAGATCGCGGCGCATTTTGTGCAGCGACACGAGGAGCCCGTATGCTTCCCGTGTCTTGGAAAGTAAATACCGTGAACATAGGGTTTAAAAAAATTTTTGTTCAGATCAATTGTTTACATTGAATTCATTTAAATTTTCACGTTTGAAGTAAAAATATCGTGTCGTCGAATCCTGAGAGTGTCTGCCGTGTAACGAATCAAACGGTAGGCCTCGGTCGAGTTTCAGCATGCACCACCCGTAGATGCATAGTGATGTTTCATTGGCCGCAGTCAGCGTTAGTGGTTGCTGGGTGTGGTAGTATAGAAGAGAGAATTGCGGCAGTATCGAAACCATTGATCCAGAATCAATGAGCATGGGTCTATAAAACTCTCACTCGATAACGTGCAGTTAGATCTCTATCTCCTATTTGTCCATCGACCGCCATGACGACCGGCGGCTCTAATGGTTTTCCGACTGAGCTTTATTCATAAAGCTGCATGGCGGGCAACAATTTTTCGTCTTCTCCCTGAAGTATGTGTGGTAGAAACAGGCCGCTCCAGGTTGTGGGTAGCTCCCTGTCGCGAGGGAGGCTGCTGCCACGCTGTTGGACAACGCCGGACGCGGCATGCAGTTCCTTGAGTATTTTATGCATGGAAACACGCAGTGCAGCCAGCTCGGCCATGATTGGTTCGAGGACTAATTGCGAAGAAGTAACCGGTGGAGGGCTGTAGCAGGTACCGAAACGAGAGCAGGACGCAGTGTGCAGATGTCGGGCGCCGTGTCTACCAACTCATCTGCCGTCTGTACGAGCTCATCCAGGATCCTCATATGCTAAAGGAGTTGCGCGGGGGTGCGATCGCCCATGTTAAGGTTAGAGAACAGCTTGTACAGCCACTGCTGCGTGATGTCGATTGCCATGCCGGGTCAACACTTGCTGTTTCTCGATTTGCTCGACATCGGAGGATTCTACAGAACGTTCAAATCCACGATGGTCTCGCTATTCAGACCGACGCCAGTGGTGTGGTATGGCTGAAGGTCCGTATTGATCTGCTGGCAGTTGAACAGCGACTCCAGCTGCATGAACCAGGCAGTCGGGTTATCCTTCCAGAAAAGCGGCGTAGGAATACCATATGTCGCAGCGCTCTCAAGCCGACCTCAGCATCCTGCAAAGGTTGTGGCTGGTACTGTTGCTCTCCGTCGTTCGCCGGGCGCAGTGGGGTCTAGGCGTGCGTCGTTAGTCGTGTAACAGTGGTATATCCTGAGGATAATAATAATAATAATAATAATAATAATAATAATAATAATAATAATAATCTACCTTTCTTTAATGCTAGTCGGACATGGGTTAGGACACGGTTACCCTTATGGTTCGCTCGCGAGCACAGCCAGGCTCGCTAATCCAAGAGAAGAAGAAAGTTAGGTAAGGTTAACTTCTACTGAAGGTGCTTGTCTTACGCCGCAGAGGTCCAGAAATCTCTTAATAAGCTGTTCGGCTATTAACGTACTGAGTGGAATTATCATGAAGGTTACATATGTCCATCAAGAAGTATAGAGGCTTCAGATTAAGTAAACAGTTAAGGATATAGCTAAGTGTTATAATATTTGGGATTAACCTAAAATATTTTGTTATATTAATTTGGCTAATTTAATTTGAATTTCGTTATAAAGAACAATTGGCCGCGTTTAGACAACAAAGTTACATCTTAACACGAGGGTTAATTTGAATTTCCCGGTGAAACGGAGTGCTATTTAAAACGGCGGAACAAGTGTTTCATATCGTTGTAGGTGTGAAATCCGCTAGTTGTTGAATTCATGGAAATATTGTAAATTTGTATATGTTTAGTTTATGGTCTTATTATGCGTAGTGACTTTTGGATTGTAATTCTAGATAGCAATTTTCGGCTTTTCTGATTTTGACTTGTACCGACATACATTTAAGAATATGTACTACTACCCCT